AAAACCTCTGGTTTGACCATCAAGATTGGTGGATGGTAAGGCTATGCTGACGTGTAACTGCTCTTTTCTTCCTTCCCAAGGATGATTCTCTTAGCTGGCTTCCCTTTCCTGGTATATACCCAAAATGCCCTTTGCGTATCAGCTATGCGCTCATCAATCACTGACCATAGTTTCAGGCAGCCCATGTAATTTAAAAATATGATCGAAAAAAGAACGAGCCACACTTATAGCCGTATAAGGATGAGACGGGGGAATAAAGTGGCCGTATTTTGAAAATCGATCAACCACCACCAATAAAACACTTTTCCCTTTGGACATTGGCAAGCCTTCCACAAAGTCCAAAGAAATATCAGACCAGATTTGTGTTGGAATAGGAAGAGGTTGGAGAAGACCTGCTAGTTGCAATGTTTCTGATTTGTGGCGTTGACAAATATTACAAGCCCGAACAAAATCTCGAACAACAGATTTCATTCCTGCCCAATAGAAATCACGTGTGATCCTGTAGAGAGTCTTTTGATAACCCTCATGACTCTGATTGTGCAGGGCAGCTACCACCAGTTGAATTGAAGGAGAGGCTTTCGGCAGAAAAATTCTGTTTTTGTACAGCAGAAAGCCCTATTTGAAATTCCACTGAGGCGGTGCTGTTTTGTTATTAACTTGAGAGAGTAATTGCTGTACCTCTGGTGAAGATTCTTGTTCTTTTCGAATTTCTTCAAATAAACTGAGTTGCGGCATAGAAATTGCAGAAAGGACAGCAATGTCAGCATTTTGACGAGAAAGGGCATCTGCAACCTGATTGTTCTTTCCAGCCTTGTATTCCACTGTAAAAAAAAATCCCATCAGCTTACTAATCCAGTGCTGCTGGTTGGAAGAAAGAGTCCGCTGCTCTAGGAGGAATTTTAAACTGTAGTGATCTGTCCGCACTATAAATTGGCGTCCCCATAAATAAGAATTCCAGTGCCGCACTGCCTTGACCAACCCAATCAGCTCCTTGTCATAGGCAGGTAATTTCTGATGGCGGACTGCCATTGGCCGACTGAAATAAGCGACTGGTTTGTTGTTTTGTAACAAGACAGCGTTTGTTGTTTTGTAACAAGACAGCTCCCATTCCCGAATCAGAGGCATCACACTCGATGGTGAAAGGCTGGCTGAAATCTGGAAGAGTAAGAACAGGAGTGGATGTCATCGCTTTCTTAAGTTCATCAAAAGCAGCAATTGCCTCCGGACTCCAGTGGAATGAATTCTTCCATAACATCGCCGTGAGAGGGGCAGCAATGATACCGTAGTTCAGGACAAATTTACGGTAATAGCCAGTGAGCCCTAAAAATCCTCTCAATCCCCGAATGGTTGTGGGTCGAGGCCAATCCAGTACTGCAGAAATCTTGGATTGATCAACCTGTACACCTTGTGAAGTTATAACATGACCCAAATAAGCAACCTGGATCTGGGCAAAGGAACATTTGGATTTCTTCAAAAATAACTTATTGCTGGACAATAATTGAAAGACCAAATGCAGGCAATGGAGGTGTTCTGCCCAAGTTTGACTGAAAACCAAGAAATCGTCAAAGAAAACCAAAACAAATTTCCGCAAATAGGGTTGGAATACCTCATTCATCAATGCCTGAAAAGTTGATGGAGCATTCGTGAGGCCAAACGGCATCACCAAAAATTCGAAATGGCCATGGTGAGTGCGGAAAGCAGTTTTCTCAATATCGGGACTGTACATGCAGACTTGATGGTATCCAGCCAATAAGGACTGTACATGCAGACTTGATGGTATCCAGCCAATAAATCCAATTTTGTAAAGAATTTAGCCCCTCCTAACTCCTCCAATAATTCATCGATTACTGGAATTGGGAACTTATCTTTTACAGTTTTCGAATTTAGTTCCCGGTAATCCACACATAACCTCCATGAACCATCTGCCTTGGGAACAAGAATGACGGGTGAGGAGAATGGAGACCGGCTGGGTCTGATGATGCCCTGTTGCAACATGGCTGAACATTGCATCTCAATTTCATCTTTTTGCCCATGATAATATCTATAAGGGCGAACCACCACTGGACCCGTTCCTGGTTCCAAAGTTATACGATGATCACAAGGCCTGTTGGGAGGAAGACATGTGGGAGTATTGAATAAGGCCGTAAATTCTGCCAACAATTTCTGCAATTGAACGTCAGCCTCTAGGGAAGTCTGAATGGCGTTAACTTCCAATAAAAAATTAGGGTTAGGAGTCTGGATTCCCCATAATTCAACCCGTTAACCCTGGGCAAAAAACGTCATACTCATGAGAGAGAAATCCCACAAAATGGGTCCCAATGTGCGTAACCAATTAACTCCCAATACTACATCAAAAGTGGTTAGAGGCAACACAAATAAATCAATTGATAAGGAATACACAAATAAATCAATTGATAAGGAATAAGAGTCCAAGTAGAGAGTGGACTGTTTACAAATACCAGGACTATTGATAGATTCCCCATTGGCCACGTTAACCTGTAAATCTGCTCTTTTATCCACAAAAGCCGTTGAGTGATCTACGGCAGAAACAGCAATAAAACTGTGTACTACCTGAATCAACAAGGACCAGAACTGATTTCCCATTCCACTTTCCTTCCAGACGCATCGTTTGAGGGTTTCTGATTCCCGTGATTGCATTCAATGAGATCTCTGGAGGGACTTCTTCTTCATGGAATTCAGCCACTGCATTTTCAGTCTCTCCTTCAACTAATTCAATCCAGAAGAGTTTTTGCATTGATGTCCCCGCACAAAAGCTTCATCACAATTGAAGCAAAGGCCCTTCTTTCTTCTATCCTCCATCTCTTCATCCTCCATCTCTTCTCTGGTTAATGTTTTCACAGAACGGGTAGGCCTTATGTTTGTCACTGCTGTTTCCTTTCTGGTATCACGAAAATTTGAGATTTTGGAAGACAACCTGCGTTCATACAAACGGGACATGCTCATTATTGTCACCAAATCCTTGGGCTGATTTAATTCAACCTCCACAGCAATTGCTTCCTGCAGCCCACTAAGGTACAATTGTACCTTTTGGAATTGGGTAAGTGTGCCGGCACGAGATACCAAACTCTCAAATTTAGTTTGATAATCCGCTATGGATCCCCATTGTTTGAGTTTGGCTAATTCCCGCAATTTGTTGCTACGAACAGGTGGTCCAAACTGAAGATTACACTGGTGGCTGAACTCCTCCCACGTGGGACCCGTCATATCTTCCAATAATTGCATGTACCAAAGCTATGCTGCCCCCTCTAAATGATAGGCAGCCAAGCTGACTTTCTCTTCCTCCGGGGTGGATTGATGACGGAAAAAGTGACCGCAGCGGCTTAACCAAATCAGGGGGTCTTCAAGCCCATTGAAACGAGGGAAGTTAAGTTTGGTAAATTTCGGTACAATCGTGTTTCCTCCAGTAGATTCAGAAACAAATATACCAGAAATTCCCTTATCTTTGCGGCCCTTGGAATGACTTTCAGCACCAGCAGACATTCCTCTTTTACAGGATTCCAAATCCAGAGAAATTGCATCAAGCTTGGCTTGTATTTGGTCCACCTTCTCTTGTCGAGCTTGGTTGGCTTGCTGCTCGGCTAGGACAATGTGGAGGAGTTTGGTAAGTTGTTCTGAAACTGAGTCTCCCATAACTATTGGCTCTGATACCAATTTGTTATGGTCCCTAGATAAGGATCTAGTTATGGGTTTTTTTTCCCCTAGATAGGATCTAGTTATGGGGCGATGGTATGAGGGGATTGGTGGGTATTGGGATGACGAAGGGCGTTTACTTTTGCCGACCTATGGTTGCGACGTTCAGGCCAATAAGGGACCTGAAACCTCTTGATTTTAAAGTCTCAAAAACTGTAAGAAGTTCAAACTGATTCATTAAGACAGAAAATGAAAAGATTAAATACGAGATATAGTAACTGCCTCTCAAATAGGAAGTTACTTCTGCTTGTGGATTGGTAAACCACCCACTAACTTAGGAAAGCAAGAAAGCAAACACATGACAGAACATGGGAAAGACAGAAAAACAGAATAGAAACTAACTGCTGGACAGACAAAACAGAAAGAAGCTAACTGCTGGACTTGACTGACTTAGCTTTCTGTCCATGGGTGAACCTCTTGTACACCTGGACAGGCTTGCTAACAGGTTCGTTCTCAGTTACTTCCAAAATTCTGATCCAAAGATCCCAATCCTCCGGTTCAGATCCTTCATAGAATGTCTTAATGTTCATACTTTAGCCAAATAGTATTTAATACTTGAGCAAATTAGGATTTCGGAAATACAGCTGGATTTGTAGCTTTCCTAATTTTTCTTCTTTTAAGAGATATTGGATAATCATACATGGTGTCACTTGCAAAATTAGACTAGGCCAAAGAAGAAAAAAACTTATTATATCTACAAAAATCTACAATCACATGAACCAAACCAAATCAACCCGACCCAAATTTACCATAGGATAAAACTAAAGAAAGAAATAAAAATAATAAAAAAAAGTCCAACCAAATTTGAAAAACAGCTACAAACTCAATGCAAAACAGAAAAGCTTAGTCAGTGGGCACTAGGGGTGGCCAAAATCCGGTTTACGAACCTAGAACTGTCAGTTCCGAACCAGTTTGGCTCCGGTTCCATTATTTTTGAAACCGTGAACAGGCAGTTCCCAAAATCAGTCGGAGCCGATCAGAACCGATCGGAACCATCCTGAACAGGTTGGAATCAGTCGAAGAACTGGCCGGAACCGATAATTTTTAGAACCGAAATCATTTAGTTTCAAACCATAACTGGAACAATTAATTTTCGGTTCAATTCTAATTTTAAAAAATTTGAAACCGGAACCGGGGCCACGTCCGGTGGGCACTACTGCAAGTCTATTGATGGTAATGGATAGTGAAAAAAAGCAAAAAAAATCTCCCTATTAAAGTCTCGTATCCAAAGGGTATGGAAATAATCAGTGTTAAAAAAAAAAAAAAAATATCCACCTATTAAAAACCACTTTAAAGTCTAAACCAGAGCCTCACATTCAATCCCCTGTTGTTTCCTCTCTCTCTCTCTCTCTCTAACGATATCAACGCCATGTCTATTTCATCTTCCTCCAAACCATCACCAGCTCTGAACATAGGTATAATAGGCTTTGGTCCATTTGCACAGTTCTTGGCTAAGATTATGATCAAACAAGGCCATACACTAAGGGCAACTTCTCGTTCAGATCACTCTCAGCTCTGTGAAGATTTCGGTATCTCATACTTCAGGTAAATGTATAGAGTCAAATACAGATACATATATCCATGTCTACTTTTGCTTGTACCTGCAATAGTTGTTACTGAATAATATAATATTGATCTGTCCTAATTATTCATCAGGGATGTACGCCGGTTTCTTGAAGCCGATAATGACGTCATTTTGATTTGCACATCAATCCTATCTCTAGCAGAAGTTCTCAAGTCTCTGCCACTGCATGTTCTAGAACAGAAAACTCTCTTCGCTGATGTTTTATCAGTTAAAGAGTACCCAAGAGATGTTCTACTGAAAGTATTGTCACATTAAACTTTATTATCATCATTATGGCTAACAAGCTTATATGAGTAAGAAAATGCATATATATATTCTCAGGTACTGCCAGAGGAAATGGATATACTGTGCACTCACCCTATGTTTGGACCAGAGAGCGGAAAAGATGGATGGAAAGATCTAGCTTTTGTCTATGATAAGGTTCGCGTAAGGGACGAAGATACTTGTTCAAGTTTTCTACGGATTTTTGAAAATGAGGTATTTCCTGTTCTTATCACTCAATCAGCAACATAACTCTACTTTTTTTTTACCCTAAAACTCAGGTTACCTGCTATTTTTGCTAGACGACAACCAAATTAGCTATCCATAATAAGAAACCAGATGGACACGACAGGAAGATATCCAAATTAGCTGGATATCTTTAAGCCAATAGCTAACCATCATTAGCCAAACTCAACCAATGACCAATACATAATGAACAACTGGGCAAACTGCATGGAGCAGCATGTCTCTATCATTAAGTAGATGCAATGACTTGTCACCACAAGATCCACAACAGTGGCTGTCCTATAAAAGTTTAGCATCACTATCATCTAAAAACGGAGAACGTTCTGTAGTTGTTAAATTAAGAATCAGAAACTGGGTTCTGAATCAAGAATCAAATCTTCCAACTCCATACATCTCAAAATAAACAAAATAAATCAAAATATTAGAATTTTGACAGAAATGAAGCGAACAATCTATTTTGAAAAATGACACTCATGCATGCCCAAAAAAAAAAAAAAATCCACCATTAGAACTTGAGAAATAACTAATAAAAAGGGTACTAGGTTAAATTAAAAAGTCACAAATGGTAAATTAATAATAATGATGAGTCTTGCATTTCATAATCATTCAAGCTGTTGCCTCTGTTATAACTTTATAACTTGAAAATCACAATTTTAATCAAAATATTCATCTGAAGCATTGTTAAAAGATTTTATTCAATATTATGCCAAATTTATCCAGCTATAATTGCATAATAAATTGTTATGTACCACAGCAGAATTTATTGCTTTAAACATTCTCAAATTTGAAATTGTTATACTTATACAACAGCTGTATATAAATATATTGACCAGGGCTGCAGAATGTTGGAGATGTCTTGTGAAGAACATGATAGAGAGGCTGCTAAAAGTCAATTTCTTACTCACACCATAGGCAGGTATAGTTTTCTTATTTTACCATAAATAACACCTGGAAAATTTTAAACCATATAAACTCAAGCTTCTTCTTTCTGACAGGATTTTGTCAGAAATGGGAATAAAGTCTACACCCATGAGTACAAAAGGCTTTGAGACACTTGTTCAATTAGTATGTTCTACTAATTAACATTTCATAAAATATTTCTTTTCTGCTTCCTCTTATTCTAATCAACCAAATGTAGCATAAATAACAGAGTAAAGAAAGAACAATCAACATGGTTTTTCCCTTTTGACAGAAAGAAAGCACCATGAAAGATAGCTTTGATCTGTTCAGTGGGTTATTCCTTTTTAATAGATATGCCAAACAAGAGGTAATAACTATTAACTATTGTATCATGTTTTCATATTTATAAAGACTAGTTTTGTCCTTTAGATATGTTGATACATAACATTCAAGGTTCACTATTGTGATGCAGCTGAACAACCTAGGACTTTCCTTTGAAAAGGTTAAGCAGAAGCTACTAGATATGATGGATGTGCAGCAGAATCTAAAAGATTCCGACTCTTGCCAACAAAAATGCCCTTAGAATTTGAAATATAATGCATTGTACTTGTTTTTTTGTAATTAAAAGCAAGTTACAGGCATACTATTAGATTATCTTTCAATACAATTCTATTGTATATTCATATGCATCCATGCTAGCTTATAACAATAGATATGCATGTATTTCATGCAAAATCATAGTCACTCTGATCCAAATCTTTCCCGCATCACCAAGTTCTATTAAAATGCACAGCTCTTGAAAGGATGGTTTAGAAATTCATCCAAAAAAAAAGAAGATCCTTTTATTGAAGTTGTTTTGTGATTATGACAGGCCAAAGCTTGGTAAATATGTGAACTTTAAGGTTTGTACTTCAATAAAAGTCGAGGGATTTTTATTATGAATCGTATTTGCATTGGATGTGATTTGACATCTAAGGAATAGCCTTCAATAGTTGGAATCTGATCACACATCCTGATGTAGGGTTCTTGCAAGCCATCGAAGTAGCCTAACTAGGGAAAGGGAGTAGGAAAAACATGAGAATTGCATTTATATGGTTATAACAATGGGACACATATAGGAGGTTAATGGATGAAGTTAGATGCTGTCTTGGTGCCAGACTATAACCAAGGTACTATAACAGAAGAATTAAGACAAGAAGAAGAAAGAATGCACAAAGAAATGGAAGGAACAAAAAAGAAAACTATACAGGTCCACATGCCTTCGAATAGTAATCCAAAATGTTCAATATTCCGTACCTATATTTAAGAAAATTCCTCGTATAAACAAGTATTTATAGACAATACTGGCCTATCCTTGTCCTATTGATGGAATCATAAATGAAAATCATAACAAACAATTAGTTAAGAATAAAAAGAAAATGAAAATTAAATTGCTAAAATGTAGAAGACTTGATTTATCTAAACTAGTAGAATGCCCAATAACCTTTTTCGAGAAGTTATTGAGCTTTACATTTCTGTATCTGCTTATGAATTCACAGAATTTAATAAAAAATATTAAAATAATTTTAGCCTAAACTAGACATTCCGCCTACAAAACTATATACACAGCGCAAAATGCAGTCAATATAGTTTACTCATCACTTATGTAACTAGAACGCTAAAGTTCAATATAAGATAAAAATAGATGAAATCTGCTTCCCACAGTTGCATAGCATAGAAGAGATCTGTGTAAAAAAAAAAACCCAAGTATTATGCAATTTATTCCATTGAAATAAGCACCGCTGGAGTTCTTACATACACTTTGAATCGAAAAATTGTATTGTCTGCTTATCATGCGACTGATCTACTGGGCTGATCTCATATTAACCAAAATTTGAAAGAACTATATTGAAAATTCTGCTTTAAAGGTCATCGAAGATATAAACAAACAAATTGAAATCCACTTCCTTCAGTTCTTTCTCAACGGCTTTGGAAGAATACAACTTAGTATGACAATGTTGAAGTGAAAGAATCACCTTACTGATTCTTGATTTCATCAATGCTAGCATCTTCTGCAGAATTGCATCCAACTGCTGCTTCACTAACAGAATCTGGCATTTGATAAGAGGATGGACTAGTCTTCTGACTTTGCAGTCCAGAAAAGCGAGCCAGATCAATCCATTGCTGCAGCATACAAAACAAAGAGAAATTAATCTTATTCTAAAGAAGAGTTTTAACATCTCAACAGTTGTGTTCCTCTTTAGAACAGTATATACAAATGTAAATGTTAATCATCTTTGGAATGAATTATCTCGTATTCTGCCTAACAGTTGAAAAATAGGAACAAATGGTGCCTTATAGACAGGCTTATGCTAGAACTTGGACAAAAAAGAGGGTTCTAACCTGTGTTCCCCAGTAGGAGTTTATTGTCCGAACAACAAATGAAAGCATATTTACAAGTAACGTCTGAGAAGAAAATTCATCAGAAATGCGATGCTCGATCAGACCAGCAATAATCTGCATTATGCTTCCCAATTGTCAAAATATTGAATTAAATATTTAAAAGAATCTAGAAAACACAAGCGTAATATAATTCTCTTATTTTCGCAAGAAGAGACAGCAATAAGGTTGTTGCGTTTAATTTGACCAAAAAATAGAAGAAGGAAAATTGCATGATTTTGCAGTCACAGAAAGATTTTGTCTTCGTCACGCTTAGTTGATGCTCTAGCATAAAACTGGTATTAACACTTAAAAAGAAAATGACATGTGCTTTAATCAGAATGTTCATGCCTTGAAGACCCATACTGAGCAATCATCTTTGAGAAAGGTGAAATGGAAATTGGAAAAAGAGAAAAGAGAAAACAACTCAAATGAATTATTTTAGAATGTCATAAATTTTCAAAACAATAAATCAAGGTTATAATACTCGAAACAGTAAGCTCTAACTTACTCTGGGAATAGACAGCCGAAATTGTCATCTCCCAATTTTTAAATGGGCCATTGTGGTATTATGATAGCAAAAAATCAGCATGATTCTCAGATTATATTCCTAGTTAGGACGACATTCACAAGGTCTTTCCAGAGAAAAGGAAACTCAACTAATTTGAGACTGTCATTAGACTCAATACCTTATGTTACCCTTCACTGAATTGGAAATGGATAAGTTCACCTCACCGTGGCGTGATAATAATATGCTTACAAAAGTGATTTGCAGTACGTTTTAAAATGAAGCAAGGATTATCTCTGTTCTCTACCTGGTATCTCAGATTTGCTGACGTTCCAAGGAAGCAGCTATAAATAACTGCTGTTTTAAGTATTGGTGATCTTTTTGTTTGTTGATTCATAGCCAAAGCTGGGTTGATCAGTTTGCGAATTGCATATAAAATATTTGAGGCAGCTACAGCCCCAATGCTGGAGATAAATCCAACACTAGAAAGCTTCAGACCACCAATAAGAACAGATGCAAATCTATGACTAAGATTCCAGTCCTTCCCCGGAAGTGTCTTTTGAAACGCATTGTCAGGGATGGATCCAAGGAGACCCTTTAATGCATCCACATTGTCAGGGGCATTCATCTCATCAGCATATGAAAGAAATGATAGAGTTGGAGCAGGAAGCCAAACAGTAAAAAAATCAACTACCGTTCCCCTGACTGTGTCTGTAATTACATAATCAAGCTCTTCAAAGAAATTTTCTTTACGCTTCTCATATTGTGCTAAAAGGGTCGTGGTTATTGATATAGCTTCTTCTATGGCTAACCGATGCAAGAATTTGGGATCTGCCAACAGTCTCTCCCTAAAACCCTGCACCAAATACAGTTCTTGTCAAGTTAAAGCACCTACACAACTACCTTCCCACCATCTCTTTTTTTTTTTTTTTTCTGCAGTATCACTAAGTAAACAAAAGATAAGGCTCTGTTTACATTACAGGAAGTTTTAAAGTATGCATGTAAGTAATCTTGAGTCTTTCACTTCCAGGAAAGCAAGAATACCTGGAAACGATGAGCAAGTTCCTTAAGAAGAGGGTATTGCTCCATATCAAAGAAATTCTGCAGTACCTCTGGTGATACTAAACCAAGATCAAGTCCTTGTTGAATGTCCTGAGAAGAATGTAAGAATATTGTTTCATCAAAAGAAGACGAGACAATCAGAAAGAAAATACTTATTCGGGAATAACTGTCATAATTAAAAAAAAAATTAGCAAACTCAGAAAAGCAACCACATTTTATGTCATTCTTCTGTCATTAACATATCCATGCACAACCATAGTTGTTAAATTTAGAACCAACAGAGGAAGATTCGGTTCTTATGTTGTAGCATTACAGTTTACCTGGGGTAGGGCATCGCGCCTCCTGCCAGCTGCATTCATTACTCGAGCAATTTCAGCACGATCAAAGCAATTTCTGCTGCAGGGTCTGGCAGCAGAATACCATAAAAAATCAGCAACAGGAACTTCTCCCTCTCTGCGTATGGATTGCCTTTCAGGATCAAGTAATATAACTACTTGGTTCTTCTTTTGTATCTTTTTTGAAATTCGTGCTGGCACTCCAGTACCTCTTGAACCATACATAACATGGCTTGCACCTGTCACCACTACAAGCATACCAGTCGCTCCTCCATTAACCACTGCTTGTAAAATAATTTGGGACATAGTGTAATCTTCAACTACTCTTGCTTGTGCAGATAAATATGAGCTTGGTCCAAATGGAACAGATTGATTTGGAGAGTTCAGATCAATTGTTTTGCGGGAAATTGAAGTGAATCCTGAGATGAAACCTGAGCCTGCTGGAGGAGCATATTGTTTACGGTCAGCCTTTGAAAGCCCACGAATACCTTCAGCTTGCACTGTTCGTACCACCTATAAATAGCAGAAAAATTGTTCTGCCTTGTTAAAAGGACAAATGATGCACGAACACAATAAAGTAAGTGAAATGACTACTCTTGGTAGCAAAGAACAAAGATGAACGGACAGTTTATTCTTTCAGACATCCATAAATCCACCACCATATAAAACTCAAAATAGAGAAGAAAACTTGATGGTGGAATGCAATGCCTTCCAATTTAACATATGCGATAGTGAAACTTCAAGATGGATAATCATGGGTAAAATAAGAAGGTATCAATTTTCATTCTGGTGGGACTAACTGAATTTCATTCTTGTCTGCTGAGAAGTTATCAATTCCTCAAAAAAAATAAATAAATGCATTACTGGCGCAACCCAACATGTATAAGAGAGTATGCTCAAAAGAAAATGGGGCTAACGCTGTTGGAATCATTACAAGCAAATTGTGACGAAAGTTATCATCTTGGTGGGGGATCTCTCTTGTGTGAAATATGCCTACAAGTAATTTGGAAGGATTCTAACCGTTTGGAGAGGAAGCAAATCAGGAAATGGGAAAGGGATTGTCAAGCAGGCTGATATAAAATGCACAGATCAATCTATGATCCTCAAGTAATTGGATAATTTGGATCTTCACAGCACATTCTTTATCATATTATTTGCTAGTGCACAGCACATTCTTATTTAACTGTTTCCCATACTAGAATAGCAATTACCTTAAGCGGAGTAGCACAAGCAACAATCCCAACTCCATTATCGCGACAATAACTCAATAGAGGCTCATACTCTTGCCATCGCTGAGGTGACCAATTTGACAAACAAGACTTCAAGGTTTCTCCATCTATCCTGCCATCAAATACACGCCTCAATATAGATAATTGCTACGCAGACATACATTCATGTAAGCTTTGCAATCATAAAGAGATAAAGTTCAAGCACCTTCCATCGATATATTGATTAAGCTGCGGCTGCAAGTCACAAGGAAACGCCTCCATAGCTACTGAAATGATTTTTTCGCTCTCAACGCACCGTGTTCTCAAATTCTTAACAATTTCAAGCTCCAATTCTTTATCGTCTTTGACTGGCACTTGCTCCGCTTCTCCTAAATACACAATCCTCGCATTCATTAGCTTCTCCCACACTTTGCTCTTATCCTTCCCCAATGCCATCGGCTCACCTATTGCCGTCGCATCATAAATCCGCGAAGTTATCTCCGGCTCCTTCTTCTCAGCTTCCACCACAGACGGCAGCGGCTGCGACTGAGGAGGAGGAGTAGATAAAGAAGACTCTGAAGGCTTGTTGAGTTCATCGGCTTTGGACGCAGCAGATTGGAAGAAGGAGGAGGCAGCGAGAGCAAGAAGCGGAGTCTGCAACACAAGACGTCTGCTTACGATTTGCTTTTGACCATTAGAAGGAGAATCGGAGCCGGCGCGTTGCCGACAATGGATTGTGAGGGTGAAGTGGCGCGGGAACTTTTTGGAAGCAAATTGGCGGCGAAGGGGCGAGTCTGTTGGAGGGGAGCCACGTATGCACGGCGGTGGTGGTCTACAGGCGAAGCCTCCTTTTATGTGGGGCTTCATTTTACGTTGCCGTTAGTTAACTGTGGCACGGTTACAATGCATGGAGACAGTCAGAACTCAGAAGCAGAGAGAAAGAGAGAGCGAGAGAGAGAGGGCGCGTTGTGGTTTGGAGCGTGGTTTTTGCTGATGGAAAAATAAAATGATTTTTTATTGCGCAAGTGGAGGGAAAACAAAAATTTTGTGACGTGGAAATTGCGTGGAATTTGTTTAAGATTTTCTTATTTTCAGGTGAGGTGGAGGATAGAACAAGTGGTCTCTAGATGGCTTCAGCCTTTGAGCGGTGGGGGCTTGTTTGAAATTTAGAAGTAAAGAATAAGAACTATGGATGTGATTTGACCAAGTCGATTTGGTGAAAGATGACTCGTTGTGCTGCACATAAAATGTAACGAAATAGAGGTATTTTATGAGTCTTCATTTTTTCAGGATAATAAAATTGAAATTTTGTATTATCTTAAGAAAAAAAAATCAATCAAACGAGGTCGAATTAATCTTTCATGATAGATTTAAATTTGAGTCATTTCGATTATAAAAATGTTTACTATCGTGATGAAAAAGCAATGAATATTTTAAGGTTTTATATTAATTTTTAATGGAGATATTAGGACTCAGCAAATATAAAGTTTTCATAATCATAAATCAATCTTAATGTTATTTAAATACATAATTTAACCTGTAATACGTTTTAACGATAAGACAAAAATTACATAATTTTTAATATCGTCTCTATTTTGAATATTAATAATGAAATGACAATCTCATTTTAATAATTACATAGTCACATTCCATTATTTGAGAGAGCATGGGATGAAAATTCGAGTCAAATCCAAAAAAATAAAATATGTCACGTTGCCAATCCATCCAAATTACCTACATTAAACTGAACTTATAACAATTTTATCTAAAATAAAATTGAGATTAGATTTATTTCTCAATAACGGCATGAAAATATACTCAAGCAACTATATAATAATTCATATATCTATGAATATAAAGCGAATCAAACTAGTTGTACTTATTATGTGCTTATAACTAGTTATCACTCTCTCTATTTACAAATATAAGTTATTTATGTAAATATAAGTTATTTAAGTTTTTTTACAGTAATTAAGGAAACAAATTAATTTCTTTAAACGAAAATAAAAAGTTCATTAATTACTATTTGTTTAATATTCTCCAACCGATATCCAGATTTTATTACTAGAGACCGCCTCCTCCCTGTAACTTTTTTTAATAATTGACTAAATAATTTATAATATTATTTCAAATAATAAAAATTTTCAATTCTTAATAATTAAGAAATTAATAATATTGTTTAACATCAAACCCATTTTTCTTATATACTACACAAATTTATAATAGACATAAAAAGTATGTAAAAATTTAAACCTAAATATTTATATGAGGTAATTAAAAAAACCGAAGGATTTTTTTTATTAAGGTAATACATTTATTGTTTGAATTATTAATTATTGAAAAAGATAAAGAGTTTTTATTAACACAATAAACTTATTATATTGTGATTAATTATTGAATTCAATTAGTACATATAATTAATTAAATTTTATACCATGTAATGATAAAAATACATATATTAAATTCATAATATTATTTGAACTCTTAAAAGGAATATAATAAAATTATACATTCCAATGTGACTATTCAATGAACTAAATAATATAAATATACCATAAATTAGATATAATTGTTTCATTTTTTTTTAATATGTCCACGCCACGGAAATTGAAGGGTCTACGCAGTGCATATTATGGGCGTGACAACTGAGGATCTCATGACGATTAAACTTCCTGTCAGCTTCTGAATTACCAAATTACCCTTATTATTGAAGCATCCTAGACTCCTAGTCGCAATAAGAAAGAGAAACTAAATAGTATCCTGGTAGGGGTATCCAAGTAATTGCGGACTCTAAAGGACTGGCACATTTCGCGCTTCCAGCATCTATGTAGTGTTTACTCTGCGAGGCCTCTGCTATCTTCATTCCTCTAATGCTAATTTGCTATAATTGTGCTACTAATAGAGCCAGAGCCCTAAACTTTTATAGCATTTCCTTTCCTTTCCGGGGAATTGAAGGTTTAAAGCCCTTTTTTCCCCGAGTGATTAACACTCGCCATCTAAGTTCTAACATTCTTCGTCAAGGACAGTTGATTTAAGAATCTCAGGTCCTTTAATGGCCCTTTTTTTTTTGAGTTCTTATTTATTTATTTGTTTTCATTTTAAATATATATGTATAAATAATTGTATTTGTGCTTTTAGTTTTTGTTGCTGAAATTAATTAGTTTACAGAGGAATTATTTGAACTTTCCTGGAAAATAATGGAAAAGATTTTGTATTCCTCGATGTATGAACAGAAGTTATGAAGAATTACGGTGTCGGTTTGGTATACTAGTTCTTCTTTTTGTGTGTTTGGGGCAAAAATGGTAGAGCAGAAAACATATGTTTGCTTCGTGTTCTTCGAACTCTATTTATCTTGTCTCAAATTGATATCTTGTTCAAATTTGAAAATGCTAGATCATTATGTTAGTCCTGCATATCTTCTCTTTTTATTATCAATTTGGGTTTGAGATAGGGACTACAATTCAGATTTTGCAAATGTGTTATTGAAATATTTACCTGTTATTTCTTGGGATTAACAGAATGGGTGCCGGAAGAAAGACGCGGACAATCACTATGAAGGAGAAGATTGTACCTCCATGGACAGTAAATGGTATTGACACTGCAAGGAATCTAAGAACAAATGATCTCACTGCCGTAATCTTTGGCTGCAAGCATAATACGATCAAAGAATGTTTCTCGAACCAGTTGTTTGGTTAGTTGGCCACCTTTCATATTTTTTAACTTCGAAGATAATTGCCTCACATTACATATTCAAGTAAATTTTTGTCTGCACAATCTTGACTGGATACACTCTTGAAATGTTATTGGACTTCATGGACAGGATTGCCTGCTCCACATAACTTGTATGTAAGGAACATCTATCCTGGTATGCTGCTATTTTTATTCAACTACAGTGATAGAAAACTTCATGGTATATTTGAGGCTGCCAGTCATGGACGACTGAATATCAATCCACATGCATGGACTGAAGATGGTTCAGATTCTTCTCCATATCCTGCACAGGTATTGGGAAGGTTTTTGAGTTATCTAGTTGACAAATGGAACTCGCTGAATGTAGCTTTTTTGTTTTAGGTTAAGTTCCGCATAGCAACTCTGTGTCAGCCATTGGTGGAAGATCAATATGGTCCAATAATTGCTGAAAACTACTATAAACCAAAACTATTTTGGTTTGAATTGGACAAGGATCAAACAAGCAAATTGGTATCATTATTTTGTTCTTCGCCAATGACACAGAAGCAGAGCCCTTTGTTCAAAGGTTCATTCATTCCTAATGCAACGTAAGAATACTGCAAATTGTCCAATGAAAATTTGGTCAACTTGGAATTCCTCTCTGACTTATCTTCATTTTACCAGAGAGAAGCAGAGACAGGAAGGTGAGATTAGTAATAATGAAGGAAGGGAACGAGCGAAAGAAGTTGCAAGTGTGAAACCAAGCCCCGGGCTTTCTTATTCCTCTGTTGTAAAAAACATGAGTTCATCTGTTAAGACCGATCAATCTCTGGTGAAGTGTGGCACTTATATTTTTGATCAATCTAAGACAGCATTGGGTGTCTGCAGCGCTAATGCCATCATAGTACAGGATTCCTCTGCTTGTCCTAGTTTGATTGGAGAACGGCAGCAGTTGAAAGCTGTGGATGTTGCAGAAAATCATAAGCATGAGGCAGTATGCGGATATCCAAGTGCCAATGGATCTTCCTCTTCTCATGTTGATGGCATGGGTGCTTCTCTTCCTCAGAAACCATGGAGTGCCTTGTTCAACAATGAAACTGCTTCTGATGCAGATGCAAGAAGGGAAGCTGAAGATTCAAAGGTACCAACTTTGGAATCAAAATTTTCTGAGATCGATCAATGCAGTTCAGAGTGGGAGCCTTCACCTGACCTAAATCAGAAAATCAATGTCTTGGATGCTGCCGTGAGCAATGAAGATTCTGAACCTTGCGAATCTCTAACCATTGTTGATACAAGGCAGGAAGCTGAAGATCTTAACATCGGTGGGGATCAGTACAATTTGGAATGGAGCTCGTCGTGTGTTTCACCACGTTTGGATGAAGAACATCAGACTTCAGAACTTCTTACTGATGGGTATGTTCCTCAGGAAGAATTATATAGTGAATCAAACTGGGAATCCTTGTATGTAGCCATGGCAAATATGGTTATAGCAGAGGATCATCAAAGGGAAGTTGCTAAGGTGCATTCAAGAGAAGCAATATTTTCGGAAATTAAGTCTTCTGATTTTCATTCTATAGTAGCAAAGGTAATTAAAGCTATCAATTGTCACTGGTCTTTTAACTTTGGCTTTACCTTTTCGTCCTGTGATTTATTTTTACTTTGGATCTCTCCTTCAAGTTACTACTGGAAAGAGAAGAGTTGAAGGGATCTCAGTTTATGCAAGTAAGAAAAATTAATTTGATGGAGCAAGAGCTGGTATGCTGTCTCATTAGTTCCTTTTTCTAATAAGATCTTTGCATTATGGACATACTTGTTATACCATAGCAAATAAAATTTCGTATTATTATGTAGGCACCGGTTGGTTATAATGGAATATAGTAGTTTGTTTTTGCCGCTGCCTGTCATGTACATACCATGGTTTTGTGTGTATTCATACAATATTTAATCACTGGAATCTGAACATAATTGATTCTGTGCATCATCCTACTTTGAAAGTCACTATAAAGATCTTTTTTTTTTTTTTTCTCTTTTGCCAAAATCTTATTAATTTTGTTTCATTTTTATGATAGGTCGCTGTGGATATTAATTTTTGAGTGCCAATTTTTATAGGGTCAAGTTATTTTATTGCATTCCTCTTTTGTGAAATTATCAAATCATTGCTCTCCACTTCTTTAACTGTTAATTTGTTTCTTGGTTTTCTTGGAAATTCACTTGTTTGCTTCCACTGATACTCCGAGGAGATTGTTGTGTGTGGTTATCTATCTTCTTCTCCTTCTTCTTTGTTTATGAGTTTTCCCCATTTCTTGCTTTGTGGAGTTATAACCTGGAGGCGAATTGGCAATCAGGTTGAATCAAAAATTGAAATTCAACAATTGAAAGATAGATGCAAGGCACTGGAAGCTCGCTGTATAAACTTTGATGACCTGATGCTTATAGCTGGAGGATTTGACGGTTCTTTGTGGTTGTCGAGCTTAGAATTCTATTCTCCTTTCCACGACCTAAAGAAACCCCTTGCTTCTATGAATTCTGTACGTTCATATGCCTCAGCAGCAAACTTAAACGGTGAACTCTTCATAATTGGTGGTGTTCACGGTAGTTTGTGGTATGACACAGGTATATTTGTTTTTACTTTTGACCTTTCGACTTTTTATCCTTCTCAAAATATTTGTTTCTTTACTAGGAAATAATATTGTTACTCACAAGTTAAAAATGCTGCAATTCTATGTGCGAAGTTGAGTCATACAACCCAACATGCAATCAGTGGTCATCTCGTCCTTCATTGAATCAAAGAAGAGGGCACTTAGCAAGTGTTTCGTTACATGACAAGATATTTGCAGTTGGGGGTGGAAATGGAGTTGGATGTCTTTCAGAGGTCGAAATGTTGGATGTAAATGCTGGAAGGTGGATCCCTGTTCGGTCCATGCTTGACAAGGTACCACTTTAAGTTATTTTTGTTCCAATCTTCGCTCTTAGGCATATGTCCTCTTGCTGAAACTACAAGATATACCAAGAAAAATTGATTATTTTCTGATGAAGAATTCAATGAAAGTGATAATATCTATTCAGTATGTTCTGTGTACTGACTCTCCTGCATATGTGTCGCTTTTTAATGGGTTTGTAACCTAAGAAAGTGGGAAAATAGGAAGTTCCCTTTTGAGGCTTCTTTATTCAACCTTTACAAATTACAACTTGCATGATCAAGTGAAAGAAAGTGTGATAGTTAATCCCCAGTACTCTGAGGAATGAAATTCTTTGAAAGCTAAAGCTGCTACAATAATTTGTGATGTGAATTTAGATGATAGTTCAACTTGATAGCACTATCCCACCATTTAATACTTTTTCTGACAAGCTTGATGCTCCCTTGTTCTGTCAGCGATTTGCTCCTGCTGCAGCAGAAATAAGTGGCATACTCTATGTTGTTGGAGGATACAATGGAAGTGATTACTTAAAGTATGTTGCCATTTTTCTTTCATTAATTTCTTCATTCTTTTTATTTGGTGGATTAGCAGTTGTTTGCTGTCAATGGTCAGAGTTTATAAAGAATTGGTTTTTCTATCATTTGCTTTGAGCATGGTTGGGATCAATCTTTAGGTTGTCTCTTTGCCTCTGTCAAGTCATCATATGAAATTGATGACAATCTCTTACATGAGTTTTGAGTGGGAACGCTATATAATATATGTTTAATAATCATAAACATATATGCTTAATATGTCGTTATTTTGCATAATCTAGTGCTTGTCCCAATAAAGTGTTGCTTCATAACCATTTGAAGAGCTTGCTACAGTGTAAAGTTTAATATTATATTATATCTTCCATAGGCTTAACTTATCTACTTGTAGTAAACAACATTACCTGGTGTAACCTTAGCTATGATGCTAAGTTCAATAGCTTTTCTAGCTTGCAAAATTGCTTTCCTTCAAAAAATGGCTTGAAATTTAGGCAATTTACTTTTCAATTTAAAAGTTGGGAAATTTTTGCTTCAAGGGGGAAGTGGGTGATCAGCTGATCTGTAGAGCATCCTGTCATTTCTGGTCTAGTGTTGGGAGAAGAAATTTCTTTGTTTCTGTTTAGCCATTGGTTGTAAACTCGGATTTTTTTTTTTTTTGCTAATATCTTGATTTTTAATATTGCCTTGTATGTTTTGAGCTTTTGTGAATCAGACCTATTTATCATTATATTATACGTAAAATGCCATAAATAAATGGATTTATTTTTTATATAGTGGAAATATCATTGTACTTAATATCTCAGCTCAGTTGAAAGATTTGATCCACGAGAACATTCATGGACACGACTTGAGAGTTTGACTGTGAAGAGAGGATGCCACTCTTTGACAGTTTTGAATGAGAAATTGTAAGTTTTTCTTTTCTTGTATTTGATGCTTCAATGTGCAATTTTTCGGTGTGGGCCTTTCCAGGGAAGGGTGGGGATTGATTACCTTACGAATAAAATTTATGGAGTATCAAATGCTTGATTGTATGTTATACATGAAGCCATTATTTTGCATATGAAGAGATTACAATCTTGGGAATACCTCATGGACAAATTTATATTTGCAGATATGCTTTGGGGGGCTATGATGGTCATAACATGGTCTCAACAGTAGAGGTATTCGATCCTCGCGTTGGTTTATGGACAATGGAGGAATGCATGAGTGAGTCAAGGGGATATTTCGGTGCTGTTGTGATGAGAGATTCAATTTATGTAATTGGAGGTCTGAATGACAATGGAAAACCATTAGACAAGGTGAAAAACTACTCCCAACTAGTACACATCTCATTTCTGAATTTCATTGTTCTGGGGTATTTGGCTAAATCTTGTGTGCAATTTTTCTGGATGTGATGAGTACAGGGAGAATATTACAAGGAAGGTCATGGTTGGAAGGCAAGTGACCTCAAAGGAATTGGGAATAGATGCTTCTTTTCTGCTGCTGTTCTTTGATTGAGTGGCTGATAGCGACTAAATCTGTTTGATAATCTGCAAAATGTATATCACAGGTTCATCCTCTATATACTATTTTTGAAACAGATAAATGTAATGGATATTCAGGTTCTTGAAAGCTATTGACGTGCATTCTCTTGGTTGTAATTAGTAATTAGGATAGGCTATATGACTGTCACAGGCACGACAACGGAATTATCAGGGGCACACTCTACCACTGAGCTAATAGCCCGTCGTGCGATTTTCCAGTGCCTAGCACATTATGTAGATAATGAAATGGAATTATGAACATGAACATTGTTACATGTCCAGTATCAGTTTCGATACGTTATTACTATTTACTGAAAGACAAAATTACTACTATGATATAGAAAAGTTATACTATTCAACTAGTGATTAGCTTGGTATGGTTTGCAAATTTTTAATAAAATGGATATTGATAGGCATTTTTTTCCTTCCACAAGTGGAACTTTTATTACAAAAATTTTCAATTGCACATTTTAGATTTCTACTATAAGTTCAGATTGTGATATATTGTTCACATTAAAATTTTGAACCAAAATTAAAATATCTCAAGGAAAAAGGATTTTGAAATATCAATTGGATTTAAAAAGTGGAAACAATGTACAAATTAGAAAATTTAAATACTATAATCTCTGGTTCTTTTTTTGAATGGCTGCAAGCCAGCAAAACGACGATCAAAATTGTCGTCTTTTTTATTCATTAGGCTTTGAATTTTGGTCTAAAACCCATCCGTTAAAGCCCTACAAGAAATCCAACCCAAGCAAGTTTATATTTTGGGCCGATCCAAATTAATTTGGGCCAATGAGTCCACTTTAATGAATCCACTTTTCTGTACTAATGGGTGCAACCAGTGCCCGTTAGCAAACAGCAACTTAAAATCAAAGCTGTAACAACGGCGTGGGCGTGGGTGGAGAAACTGAGGAGAGCGGGCGGAAATTACAAAGACAGACACTCTATTCTCTCCCTCTCAAATCCAAACGTGTCGCTGAACTAACCAAACTATTCATTTCTATAAGTCCCTCTTCTTCTCTCTCCAAGAAGAAAAAAGAAAGAATAGAAGTCCTCCATTTCTCTTCTTCAATCTCTGATTATTGCTCATGGAGTCATCCATTGCTCTCCAATCCTTTCGCTGTAATGCTCTTTAGTCTCCCTTCTTCTTTCTTCTGTGTTGAATTTGGTGAGATCTGTAATTTTTCTTTTTTTTTTTTTTTTTTTTTTTAGAGGAATAGCTGGGAAAGGTGGGAGAAAAACTGAAGGGTGAGAAGCGGCGACCAAATTAAAACAAAGACAGACACTCTATTCTCTTTCCGCGCTCAAATCCAAACGTTGTCGCGTGAACTAACCAAGAAACTATTCATTTCTATAAGTCCCTTCTTGCTTCTCTCTCAAGAAGAAAAAAGAAAATGAAATATAGGGAAGTCTCTCCATTTCTCTTCTTCAATCTCTGATTATTGCTCATGGAGTCATCCATTGCTCTCCAATCCTTTCGCTGTAATGCTCTTTAGTCTCCCTTCTTCTCTTCTCTGTGTTGAATTTGGGTTTGAGATCGTAATTTTCTTTTTTTTTTTTTTTTTTTTTTTTTTGGATTTTGGTTCTTTCTATCTCAGGTAACATTTACGGGCAGCGCTTGACAGTTAGTCGAAAGATGGTTTCTTCTCCTGTGAAGAGAAATGTAGCGTTGGTCTCTTGTGTAAAGGCACCTGAAGCTGCTGAAACTGTCAAATCTGATGGTGAGTTAGTTTTTTTAGTTGATTTTGCTTTTTTTCATTAAGCTCGTCTTGATTTTGGGTATAATTGAGGGTAGTCAGTTTTAACTGCTGTTTCATTAATGAGGTGTCCTCCTTTTCCTCTCTTTTTTTTTTTTTTTTTTTTTTTTTTTTTTTTTAAGCTGGTGGTCTAAAGGCTCGTGGAGGAACAGTAAACTTTTGCGAGTGCGACTGTTCCCAATGGATTTGAAGTAAGTAAGGGCCTAATCTTTTTTCAGAGTTTTAGCTGGGTGGGCTGAATGGTCTACTTCTTTTTAGGTAGCGTGCTGAAAGCTGTTTTATTCTCGTGGACTGCATCAGTGTCTAAAAACCTGAAATTTGTGACTTTAATCGCCTTTATTGGAAAAATTCCAAAGCTTTCAATCATTTTAATTTATCTTAGAAGGTTGACCTGCAATTATACATTTTACATGATCCTGCAACAAGAAGGACCCTGACTATTCGGTAGGACAATAATTATTGTCTTTATCGCCAAAAAACCCATTAAGGATGCCTGCAGCAAATAGTGTTTCCAAATGTTGGACATTATTATCATTGTTCCAATATCAAATTAGAGAAATATGTAGATAAAGGGAAAAACTGATCTAGCTTCAATACTAGCATATCTCATCAAATAAAAGTAGCGCTTTTGGGACGATAACAGAGTGATGCCCATCAAAGAATACTCAGAACACCACGGATAGCCGAGGGTATGTGGGATTTGCAGGCCTGCCTATGCTAAAAATGCCAGTGACCCAAGTTAGGGATGTTCCGTTGGATTTCTTTGGACAAGGAGGGGGCGTCTTCAGTGCTGGGTAGGACATCCTTATGATTATGGCCTCATTCTGTTTTCTTTAATTGCCAATTTGATAGTTTGTGTGTTATTCATGAGAGATTAATCATCAAATGTTTTTACCCTCTTTCTAAAAGAAATTGCTTTAAGTTTTCTCACTCCTTTATTTTCCCGTATCGATTGTTTGACATGTGCTGCTTTACATTATTGATTAAATTTCCTTCTGTTCATTTATAAAATGGTGTAATAATAAGAAATCGTTTAGAGTGTTACAATAAACGTATGTTTCATCGGCCGGATTGGTGTTAGCTAGCGTGTTCTGTGATGTGAAATGAAAGCCAGCAGAGACTTGGCCCGTGGACCCACTGAAACTGAAAGGGTAAACCTCCAAAGCTAGTTACCTGTTAAGCCTTTCTTGCAAAGAACTCTTTGTTTGTAATTCATTAGCAAAAGAGGAGTCTATATTTACTTGAGACATGGAAAAATATGTAGCCAGTGCTTATCTCATGTTTTGGTCATTTCTGGTATTAGTCATTTACAGAATTTTGGCTATAATAAAGGCACAAAATTTATTTAACTTTGCATTCTGATGCTTTATGTTAGGTTGGAGATTTTGAAATGCATTTGCGCCGCAACGTTGGGCTATAACAGCTCTTTGTCCACATTTCACCTACAGAACCACCACCAATTCCAACCCGAACCCCATGAATGTATAGCTCCCAGTTTAACCCCCACCACCAGCACCACCAAAACCCTCCACTGAAAAAAGCACTCCATTAAAAAATCTGTCTTTGGGAAGTTCCAAGTCATCCAAATTTAGCCTGCCTTAGGAGGCTTCCGGAGTTTTTTTTTTTTTTTTTTTTTTTTTTTTTTTTAAGCTGGTGGTGCTAAAGGCTCGTTGGAGAACAGTAACTTGCGAAGTGCGACTTTCCCTAATGGATTTGAAGTAAGGGCTAATCTTTTTTCAGAGTTTTAGCTGGTGGTGCTGAATGTCTACTTCTTTTAGTAGCTGCTGACTGTTTTATTCATGACTGCATCAGTGCAAATAATTGAAATTTTTGACTTTAATCGCCTTTTTATTGGGGAAAATTCAAGCTTTCAATCATTTTATTATCTTAGAAGTTGATGGCAATTATAATTTTACATGATCCTGAACCAAGAAGGACCCTGATATCGTTAACAATAATATTGTCTTTATCGCCAAAAACCCATTAAGGAATGCCCTAGCAGCAAATCAGTGTTTCAAATGTGGACATTATTATCATTGTTCCAATATCAAATTAGAGAAATATTGAGATAAAGGGAAAAACTATCTAGCTTCAATACTAGCAACACAAAAAGTAGCGTCTTTTGGACGATACAGAGTGCCCATCAAAAATACTAGCAACGGAAGCAGGGTATGGATTTGCAGCCTGCCTATGCTAAAAATGCCAGTGACCCAAGTTAGGGATGTTCCTTTGGATTCTTTGACAAGGAGGGGGCGTCTTCAGTGCTTGTAGGACATCCTTATGATATGGCCTCATTCTGTTTCTTTAATTGCCATTTGATAGTTTGTGTTGTTTATCATGACATTAATATCAAATGTTTTCCCCTTTTCTAAAGAAAGCTTGTTTCAATCCTTTATTTTCGTTGTTTGACATTGCTGCTCTTACATATTGATTAACATTTCCTCTGTTCATAATTTTGATCGTTGATTTCAAACTATTAGGCATTGGTGTTAGAGGTGTGTGATGAGACAGAGATTGCTGAACTGAAACTGAAGGTAAACCTCCAAAGCTGTTACCTTAGCTTTTCTTGCAAAGCAACTCTTTTGTTTGTTAATATCATTAGCAAAAGATGGATGTCTATATTTACTTGAAATGGAAAATACTGGTGGCCAGTGCTTATCTTCATAGTTTTGGTCATTCTGGTATTGTCATTTACAGAATTTTGGCTATATAAAGGCACATAACATTTATTTAACTTGCCATCTGATGCTTTATGTTAGGTTGGAGATTTTGAAATGCATTTGCGCCGCAACGTTGGGGCTATAACAGCTCCTTTGTCTCACATTTCACCTACAGAACCACCACCAATTCCAACCGAACCCATGAATGTATCAGCTCCAGTTACCCCACCACCAGCACCACCAAAACCCTCCACTGAAAAAAGCACTCCATTTAAAAATGTTTCTTTTGGGAAGTCATCCAAATTAGCTGCCTTAGAGGCTTCCGGAGCCACTGGATATGTGCTAGTGACTTCTCCAACGGTAGGTGACATACTGTCATTGGATGATTAGAACAATGTTGATAATTATTTTGTGTGGATAAAGCCATAATTGAATATATGCATTGCTTTTTTGTTTCCAGGTTGGCTCATTCCGAAGGAACAGAACAGTGAAAGGAAAAAGACAACCTCCCATCTTTAAAGAGGTATGTGTTAGTCTGGTACCTGTGTGTGTATATATTTGTTGGTTACAACAAAAGCCACCTGTTGTATCAAGATATGTCTGTTAATATTTGTGTTCAATTTTCTTAATGTTCCAATTGTGTCAACTGCATATGCTTTAATTAGTTATCCACTTTTATCTGCTAACACAAAATTTTGATGGGTAACCTATCAAGAATGACTTGGGCTGAATTGCTTCATTTGCAGCTTGTTAGGATCTTCCTATTATATTCACTCTTTCCAGTTTAGCTTGATGTAGAACGGATGACTTCAAAATATTGATTGAAAGATACTATCATGGGTTTTATTGGCTTGGGCCCTAATTCTGAAAATATACCAATTCAAATTTGCAGGGTGATCTAATCAAAGAAGGACAGGTAATAGGATACTTGGATCAATTTGGTACTGAACTTCCTGTGAAGGTGAGTCTATCTATTTCTGAGTCTTTAGATTTGGCTTTGCTTGAATGATGTGTACCTTATCATGGTGATGGTTTTGCAGTCAGATGTGGCTGGAGAAGTCTTAAAGCTCCTCTTTGATGATGGAGGTATGATGTCATTATATGCTGGCCATATTGTTTTAACATCTTGAGGTCTAAGCGTACATCATTAGTGACATTTCGTTGATACTAAATATATGAGCAGTATTTGCATATCCTAGTTGGATTTAGCAAGCAACAATATTCTCATCTTGAGTCTCCAAACAATGATATAATTACCATGAATAGTGAAGGGAACTATAGATATCGAGGTTGTAAATTGCACTCCCCGTGATGATTGGAGTGTACATGTCAGCATGTCATGCCAAAGTGAACGTCACATTTGGCACTAATTGTGAATTTGCTTGGAGAATTACTATATTAACCATATCAGGGAGTCAAAATCATGGCAATCCACCACTTGTTATTAGGATTATTCAACTGATATTTAATACCAGAAATAGATAAGATAAACATGATATGCTTACTCTTTGAATGGAGGTTATTTGACTTGGTGGTGCATTCATTAAGGTTTAGGCTCTCTGAGTGTATCTTTTGTTGATACTAAGAATCTAAAATGGAGAGTGAATTGATTCTGGATAAACATTCAATATGGCCCTTGAATTTTATTGGATGTTTAGTTTTGCCTAAAGTTAGCTTTTACACCAGTTTAGGACATAAATTTGAGCTTAGAATGAAGTCACCCTATTTTTGGTCAAAAACAATAAAATACTAAGTTCTACTTTTAGATAATAAAAAAAATGTTTAAAAAATGAGAAATTAAAAAGAAAACTAAAACAATGTGAATATTGAAAATTACTTATCTTATTTTTCTTCTCCGTCTATAATAATGGGATTGAGTTTTTTCCTTTTTTTTTATTTTATGAAATTTTAAATATTTTTTATTATTTTAAAAATTAGAAAGTTTACCATTTTATTATTTTTGACCAAAAATGGGGTAAATTAATCTTGCACTCAAATTTATGTCCTAAATTGATCCAAAAGTTAATTTTGGACCAAATCAGACATCTAGTGAAACTTAAATGTCAAATTGAACATTTATCTATTGATTTTCAGGATCTAAACCCCTAACGAGTCATGATTTCTGTATGCTATGTTGAATTTTGCTTATACAAGATATTGAAGGCGAAGTCTACTCCTGACTGAATTAACTTTTTTATGTGATGATAATACCATTGTGGTACTGAGATGGAAAAGTTTAGTACTTATTTGGACTTTCTATGAACTGACTTCCCCCCCTTCTTGTCCTAAATGCTTTATGGTAATGTTACAATGATTTTTTCCAAAACTCCTTAGTGTCAAATATGTTTTTCTTCTTTGGATTTAACCCTGTTGATGGCAGTTGAGGAAGATGTCCTTACCCAGCAAATTCTTGCTTTTGTAGTTACTTGCATGATGTTGCATTAGGAGTTAATAAATTGTGAAGGCTATAAAAGTTAGGAATTCTAAGATTGCATTTAAAATGTAAAGTTAGCAAAGAGTAATGAATTGATTGTTTTATTGCTTGATGTTGGCTGTGTATGATACAGATGCAGTTGGCTATGGAGATCCTCTTATTGCTGTCTTGCCATCATTTCATGATATCAACAAATGAGTTGTGTCCTGTGTCGGCTAATCTTAAAGCTATTCTTGGAAATCTCTTAAGTATTGCATGCAGATTGTTTTCCCTGGTACTTTATATCATCCCGTCCTCTACTGTTTGATTGTTCAATTAGAAGACATGAGTTTTGTGGTGACCTGTTCTTAGCTTTGTTGTTTAATTTTATTGACTACAGATGTTGAAATAATTGATAAGCATTGTAATTTTAAAAAAAAATTCCATTTGTATTAGGTAGTATTTTTGTACACTAGCGAAGCTATAAACATTTGTTACTTGTTGAGTTAAATTGTATCACTCAGAAACCACAAGGGTTTTCCATGAAAGCACATTTAGGGCCAATAAAATCTTTGCAAGGTTTTGTACTAATATTTGCTATATGTTTCTTGTTATCGATTTGATGATACATTATGGTATATATGGCTATGGCAAAGTGAAAATTTAAAATTTTCTCATGAACAATTAAGACTTTTTAAAATATCTTTTAAAGATTAAGGTAGTATTTTATAAAAGGTTAACTCCTATAATATTTAGCTTTTAGTTTTTTATGAAAAGCTATTAAATAGCTTCCAATTACTTAAACAATTAAACGCTATTAGAACAATTACAAAAAAGTTAATTTTGCTGAATAGACTCTAACCGCAAAGTAAAGGGGAGGAAGGGCACAAAAAAAAAAAAAAACAGAAGCTCAATCATAAAACAAAACAAACATGAATTACTGTATTTATTGAAATAAAATTTAGAAAAGAACATAAAAAAAAAGGCACATGCATGAGAGGTATAAGCTTATTAGTGAAAACCTAATTAGGCTAACATGACCTAATTAAGCTATGGTTATATGAAGAATTTCTTTAAATTCCAGCCTTCTAGTCTCACTGTAAAACGTTCTATATTTGTTAGGCCAATATGTTAACCAAATCTTCCCTTTAATCTCCCATTCCATTGTCTTCCCTATTGCACTTTTATCCACCTTCCATCTCATACCATTTCCATACTCATCTCTGGCAAATATCACTCCTCCTTGCTTAGTGAAAGGCCGATGAGCACTCGAGTACCGGTCTTTGAACCAAGATTTAGGGTTTATCAACGCCATCTTTGAAGGTTTGGAGGAGGATACCTCTCTTCCATCTATACTATCATGAAGAAACCAATTCAATATCGTGCTATACCCATAAACCGATTCCTCAAATTTCCATGGCTTCAAGCTTGTCGACACAGTCTCTCCGACCGATAGCTTAAGCCCCAAGAAACTGTTGGGAGGATCAAAAGAAGTTTCGATGCTTTTTTCTAGTTCTATCTCTGTCGTCGGATTATTTGAGGATTTACTTACAGAAACACTTATTATGTTTGATTGGAGAATGGGAGTTAGTTGCAATGATATCCGCGAAGGAAAATGCTTCTCTCCACTTCCAACTCCTCGTTCAGCCATAAGAGTCTCATTCACTAGTCTAACAATATCACACCTTATGTTATCTATACTTAGAATCACATCAACCCACTTTTCTTGAATCATAACTCTGTAATTGAATTGGAGGACCCCTTCAAGTTGGTGGTGTTTAAGAGAGAAAGCAAGTCTTTCATCACTTGAAGCAGTGCTTGAACTTTCGATATCCACGGCAATAATAGGGCAATATAATTGAACTTTCCACAACTCAAATGTTGAAACTGAGTAAGAAAAGAGCGGTGATGGTGTCTTGAGAGTTTGATTAGTAGCTTGAAGCTCTGAAATCCAATTTGTTATAGCAAGATTCATCGAACGCATCCATTGCTCTTCCAAATTTGATCCTATAATTTTCATGAGCATCTTTAATCCATCTCTTAGCTTACAATTAGTCAACTGAGTCTTAAGATTGTTGAGACATTCAGGTCGTAGATCAGCAGGAGCTTCATAGATGCAAATCAGAAAAGTGAGAGTGAGAAATGCGAAGTTAAACATCTCCTTCAAGTTGGAAACTTTAAAGTCTAGCTTGGGAACTTTAATGGAGGTTTTACACTTGTTTGAACTAAAAGAGAAGACATCTTCAATTATGTTAACTAAGAAACTAGAAATTGTTTCATCATCTAATAAGTTTAAGGGTTTGGAGTTGGTTTTGATTGGTTTTGAGGTCCAAAGAGAGATGGGTATTAGATTGAAATTTGCAACTATAGAAAAGGAGATAGTTGAAGATTGAAGATTCTTGGAAACAGAAAGATTAAGGGATGGTTGGGATGAACTGGAAGAACACAAACATACTGACATGGAATCTGCTTTCCATTGAAGTGTTGAAGGAAGGTTTTGAATCCAAGTAAATATATCAGGATAGCAACAAAAAGCCATTAGAGCAGGATAGTTAAGAGCTGAGCTCTTTACAGTTTTGTCTCTCTCTTTTCAACAAAGAAGGACTTGAACAGAGTTTTTGATGAGTGAAATATGATTTAATGGTCTCTCTATTTGCTACATATATATATATTGTAAGAGGTTAGGAGTTAAAAGATAGCCTCACCCATTAGACTTCATTAGGGGGTGAAAAATAAGAGAAAAAAAAAAAAAAAAGGGAACCATATATGTATACATTATATCTAATTACTATAATGATAAAATGTTTTGTAATTTGGAGATTATAGATTGAAGGCGTGAAAATATCAACCTCTTTAAAATCTGCAAATATGGAATGTTTCGTACATCACTTCACTCTTATTTATTCAATATTATGAATCCATATTTTTTATCTTCCAAACAAAGCCTTAAAGATTTCTTATGTACAAAGAAAAAAAATGAGTTATTGGTGAAGGAAAGTAAAGCTGAGATTCTGGCAGGTAGAAATGTCAAAAAGTGAAACAAATAAAAGGTTAGATATTTATGCCAATCCATCTACTTTAGCATCAAGGAAAAAAATGCTATATATATATATATATATGCTTTGCCAAAAATAAACAAAGTGACACGTGTCAGTAGCTTCTAACTTGTATTTTATGCTAATTGTGACATTTAATATGCTAATTGTGATTATTTTGAATGTTTCTTCATGTACGTTTGAATTGCCTAGTTCTTTTGTTCAAGTAATGGAAGAGAATAATTGCTTTACATAAAATATTAGATTTTTTTTACAAAAATATTTGGAATATTGTTTAGACTACAAACAGCTTCCTTCCTTCATGAACTTGTTGAAAAAATAAAAAGATTTCAGACCAATTATCATTATGTTAAGCCTCCTCCATGCCAAAAAGCCTTAGATGCAGTTTGGTAAAAGGCCACCTGCAAAGGCATTGCATGCCTGTTTTTACGTCCCGCTCTGAGATAGCATTCACCTAAAATCTTTTCAATAATAGAAACTTTAAACCTTAAATTCCAAAACTCACAAATAAAGTTTATCTAAAAAGCACAGTATGCTTTCATTATTTGTTAAATCAATTTATATGCAGATAAACTTTATTTCTTTTAGAGAAATCTTAAGGACATGTATCCTAAATTAACATAGCTACTACATTTAGAAATTAGAGATCTCTTACAATTAGTTTTTGGAAGTAGGACTTGATTACATTTATTTACAAAATCATGACAATTTCATAAAAATTTGCTTATCTATATAATGAATTATAATGTAAAAATGTGTGAGTTTTCCATTCATAATCACTGAAGATTGATATAATCCCTTGAGATTCCATACTACAGAATTATTTGATTATGTTCTACATTATCCATTACAGTTCACCAATTCTAATCATAGTGTTATTAAATTAATTATAGAATTTAAGTTTTCTCTGAGAAGGTGATATGGAAGAATCTTATGATAGGAAACATATCGTTTGCTTTCATATTTAATGATAGCATAGAGATTAAATTTTCATTGCTTTCGTGTGATACTTTTTCTCTTTTTCTCATTGGAAATGGGTTATGAATACTTATTGACACTCAATACATTATTGTTAAATGCAATTTATATGGCAGATAACTTTATTTCGTTTTAGAGAAATCTTAAGGACATGTTATAAAGCCTAAATAAACATAGCTACTACATTGAGTAGTATTACAGAGATTCTACTCTACAATTAGTTTTTTGGATAGTAGACTTCTGATTGGTACAATTGTATTTACAAATACCTTCATTACCCAAATTTCATAAAAATTTGCTTATCTTATAAATGAATTATAATGTAAAAGTCCTGTGAGTTTTTCCATTCCATAATCACTGAAGGAATTGATATAATTTCCCTCCTTCGAAGAGCTTCCATACTACAGAATTATTTGAATTGTGATGTTCTAAACATCTATTTCCATTACAGTTCACTGCAAGTTCGTAATAAACATAGTGTTTATTACAAATGTAATTCTTTATTAGAATTTAAGTTTTCTCGGAGAAGGAAGTGTACTGGATAGAATCTTGTATGCATAGGAAACATATTCGCATTGCCTTCATATTGTAATTGATCCCAGCATCAGAGATATAAACCATTTTCATCATGATTGTCTTGTGTGATACTTTTTCTCTTTTTCTCATTTTGGGAAATGGGTTATGAATACTTATTGACACTCATATATATATATATATAATATATATATATCATGATAACTTACTATTATATTACTCCTTTATTATTACTATAGTTATAATATATAATAATTATACTACTGGCTTAAATTATAACTATATTATATATATATTATCTCCAGGTATATATTATATATATATATAATAATGTTGTAAGAAAGATGATAATATGAATTAAGGATAAATAAAATCTTATTCTTTAAGGAAACAGAAAACGTAAAGGAATCAACTAACAATAACTCCTTCCAAGGGAGCATTCAAAAACAAGGGATATAAATACAAATAAATTCTCACGGCTCGTCGTGCAATAACATTCTTATATATGTTGTAAGAAAGATGATAATATGAATTAAGGATAAATAAATCTATTTTAAGGAAACAGAAAACGTAAAGGAATCAACTAACAATAACTCCTCCAGGAGCATCAAAAGGATAAACAATAATTCTCACCGCTCTCTGCAATTAACATTCTTGATTAGGCAAAAGAACACTACAAATTAAGTTGTTGAAGAATATTATTCACAATATATTTTCCTTCTTCAAAGGTGTGTACGTATCTCAAGATTATAAAAATTAATTAAAAATGATTAAAACTTCATGTATTTAAAAACTTATGGTTAAATGTATAAAAATATATAAACTTCATCAATGACAAGCGGTTGAGCCCTATAGCATACCAACTTGGATACCTAATTTTCTCCCTTTTTTTTTTTATATATATATATATATATAAAAGCCAATTGGTAACATTTAGCACTCTTCAGAAGAGAGAAATTGACGACAGCAATCTGTGTCGGTCAAATCTAAGGTCGGCATTACCTTTCTACAAGCACCTGCAAGTGCTGCTGATAAATACAAGTAAAGAAGAGAGCAGAGGCATCTTTTTCCTAACAGACATGTACCAAAGAAAACTCAGTTACATGAGGTGTGATTTGCTGCCACCGCGCCAAATACCCTTTCACACGGCGCACCGTAGCATTTGCTATCTCTAAAAATGTTTCTTTGATTTACATTGCATAATTACAATAAATATCATCTGAACCTATTTCCAGAGTGTGATCAGCCACAGCAGGATCTAAGACAATGCAAGTAATCATATCAATTATACCTTGAAGGGCGAGGTCTTGGCGGCAAGTAAAAAGAGTTGCTAAGATCTATTGGAGTCTGCAAAAATGGATTCCATCTATCAAATACAATTCGTCCACCTCGGCCAATCCTCCCATGAAATCGGTAAGGAGGGTTGGATGTACCATTCTTTGACGATGAATCTACTGGTGGCACAATGCCTGCAGCTGCCAACTTTTCTGGAACTAGAGGCTTTGTGAACAATAGAACTGGCTCCAGAGGATCCTGCATTTACCCATAAGATATAAAATTCACCTATCAAATTGATTTTCCAAGAAATGTAGAGAATGAAGTTAGATTACGCCAAGCCAACTTATATTGCATAAGCCAATGGCAGGGAACCTTACAGCTATTAATTCTTTTAGAGTTAAATATAGCATTTTATACTGATCTGCACAGTAAGCTATGTGCATACCATTTTATTAAGCCAACCATGTGGCATATGTCGCCGCCTAAACTCTTGCTTCATGGTTCCTCCTGGCACAGCAAGGATAGAATCTGTGAAAGGAGGATTTTGAACTGCAGCAGGTAGAGCACGTGGACGGCTGTTTGATAGGTCATCTGAATCTACAAACTCATCTTCACTTGAAGCAAACTTGGACGGGACAGGTGGGAATCCAGGAAGAGCCAAACTGTCTTCAAGGAGCTCAGTTTCATGCTAAGAACAAGCCAGAAGCCAATCAGTTAGCGGCTTTCACACAAGACAAAGAAAAAAGCATTAAACACTAGCAAATTGGTTAGTAAAAAGCCCAAGAAAATAAACTAGTCCATTTCCACCATCAATCATCCCAAAGTTCAATACAGCTATGTGAAAAGAAGATGGTGAATTTTACATACAGCAACAACATTATTTGGACTTGTGGCAAGTATAAACTATGAAAAAGATCCCTACAACATGGTCCAAGGGGGAAAAAAGCATAAAGAAAACAATGAGTATCAAAAGATACACATGAGATAACACAGACACACCTTATACTTCATTTGGATCCTTTGAAGGCTCACTTCACTTTCCATTGCCTCTCTTTTTTTCTCCTCCCGCTGTATACATATTTATGTGTGGTCAATAAATACTTCTGTTAACAATGAAAATCATTTAAACTTTCAGATAATCATTGAAATTCAATAAGAAGATTACCTTAATTAGAGCCTCAAGTATTGTCTTTGCTTGGTCAAGGTTTCTCCTGACCTGAAAATAGTAAATTCCTATAATGATTAAAATGCAAACATTTGGTAATAAAATCAGAAGTACCTAAGTTATATGTATATTATTTGTACAAGTAAAATCATCATTAATACTCATCAATGGGTTAAGGTGATTTTCCTCATCCTTTAAGGTTCTTACATTTCAAATCGTCCAAACAAATCAACAAATACAACCACGATCAAGAGAATAATTTTTTCCCCCTCTTCTAAAAGGTGCAGAAATAGGGAAATGTGCCTGGCTCCCTAGTGCGATACTTAATGGTACTAGGTCTTAAATGAGGAATGTTGTCTCAAACGACTTACTACTTCTTGACATCAGTGTGGACTTAGATATGAATAGAGCGGAGTACAAACAAATGATCTATATAGCCAACCTCAAGTAGTTGGCTACATCACAGATTCTCCTCTAATATGCATTCTCATTCACAACATGGACCTTAACTCATGTGGTTCAATATTCATTCACAAAATGGACCTAGTAAAGGGCAACAAATGTTGTCTCTAAGGCAACTGCAACTGCATTGAATATTGTTTTCCAGATGAAGGGAAGTCCAATATGATTTCCAATGTACTTTAGATGTCACTTCCCATTAAGCAAGTACAGATTCTTCTAACATGTAAGGTAACAAGTATTAAACACAATAAACGTGCTTCTTTTATGTCAGTACTAACCTGGCGAAGCTTTTCAAATGACTGCACATTATTTTCCCTCCTTTGCATCTGTAAAGAAGAACACATAGCACTTAAGAAACCTATGAACAAAGAAGCTTATGGAAGGTTTCCATGATGAATATCAATTAGTCAAAATTCAATCACCTACCCTTCTAGTGTGGAGTCTGTGAGCTTTCTCCCTTGGCCTGAAGACATTGTAGGGATTGGTATCATTAACTGGTGGAGGAGGCTGTGACCAAAGAAAAACAAAAACAAACAAAGAATGAGAGAACGATAAATGGACACATACATGTGATGCAGAGAAAATGGATAAAGTTAAAGTCCTTAATATCTCAAAGCTAGCACCAACAATTTTTGCTCACAAGAAGTATTTTCTTTTTCCTTTTCTGTTGTGGCGGTGAGGAGGGTGTGACAATAAGAAAAAAACAAAAATACAAGACAAAGTATAGAGACGAATAAATGGGACACATACATGTGATGCAGAATGTAACAATGGAATAAAGTGTTAACAGCCTTAAATATATTTCCTCTCAACTAAGCTTAGGCATCTACAGCATCCCAACTAGATTGTTTATTCACTAATAATATCTTCCTTTGTGCTGGCGGGCGTGGGGGTGGGGGTGGGGGGTGAATTCGGCGCTCCTGTGGGGAGAGATGCTTGAAATTGACAGTTGCAACTTACGATCACTTAATGTATCTTCTCATGATCATTGAACCACATTACAATAATAGAAGCATTATTTTATGTATCTAGTGACCTAATCCATTGCCCTTCGGCAATGTCTTTCATTTGCACCTTACATTTTGGTGACTTAAAATCTTTTAAATTTAAGCATACGTTCTAGAAGGACAAGTTAGGCCAATTAAGGGGAGGACTCAGAAATATAAGAAAGCAAGTATATTTGGTCGGAGGCATAGCTTCATCGGTTGTCGCCTTGCGCCCTTTTCGATGGTTCTTTAGGATTGATTGTGACCTGAAGCTTGTGGTGATAGAACCATTTCTATCCACCATTAAATGTCTCCCCTTCACAGAATGTCACTCAGTTCGACTCGGAATATCTTTCTTCGACCCACTCAGATTCACTGAGGAGACATCTATACTCTTTATAGAGGCGTTAGTAACTCATAATTAGCATCTAGTATTGACCGGCATGTTGACATTTCGCTAATACAATATTCTGGTATCTCACGAGTAAACAGGTTTCGTGAGTGATTACGAACAAAATCAATTCATCTCCACTCACATGAATCTTCCTGGTTCAGTTAAAAATTAGATTTTTGCACTACACAGGGTGATAAGTACTTTCTCTCCCTCTGTGTTTCTCTTTGATAGAAAAAATTATCTTCCTCCTTGCAGAGCTTGATTTGTGTAAGGCAAAGTATTTTAGGGTGAATCCCGACTCTCATCAAAGATGAATATGACCCTAAACTGGTTCACTAAGAAACGTTTTTTTTCGAGTAAAATCTGGAACTCTCATTTAGCTTTGCTTCCTATTACTTATCTGATTATTCAGGAGTAATTGTTACCCTAGACCCTTCAGAAAACAGGGAAAGCTCTTGTTTCACTCTCACTACGCATGTGATTGCTCCTGGTTGCCCGAATCAAGTTGCCGTTTTCCTTCGTTAGTTGAACCTCGTATAATGAATGAGTGTAGCAGCATACCAAATAGAAATTTTCACCTTTAGCATAGTGCCCGTCGCCACACCACTCGTATAAATTTTCTCTCTATTCTATTCCAAAGTTGTCACGCTAAAACCATTACCCTTAATTGGTTCATTTTTTGCCTTATGTTTCTCCACACAAAGCTGTAACAGTTCTTTTCTTCGAGGAAAAAGGAAGTTCTCATAAGCATATTGTAAGAAATATTAGGACAAAACTAAAGATACACTTGACTTGTAGAACAAAAATAAGAGGGAAAATTACTTGAGCAACCGCAATGTCATTCATTGCCGAAAGTGAAGAATGAGCATAACCTGCAGACGCCGCAAAATGTGGGCTTCATGGCAACTTATCTTTGTTCACGCTCGAGCCTATGGAAAGACATAGAACCAAAAGAAAAGATCCATAATTAATTCTACATTCACACACAAGGATAACGTAACGTTTTGGCTTTCCACGCCAACGTTCATAAGATAAACATAAACTCTACTGTGTGTGCTACAATTCTCAATGAGTGTGTATCTTTTATCACCAAAGTACTGCGCATGTCTGACTGTATCAGCAAAACAAATCTGAGCTGACTCTCCATCCTATGGGACGAGCGCGCAATGAAGATTTTTTGATCACGGCTATTTTGTTGCATGAGTTTCATCGCTGCCCCCCCCCGGCACCTGGCAACTGCCCGAACCCAAAGGGTATTCAGGATTAGACACCCCTCTGGTTGGCTTCTGAATCAAGTCCACAAAAAGACTCATAAAACAGAAGCTTAATTAGAGTTCGATGGCATAAAGAAATATATACATCAATATATATTTGTATCGAGTTAAGCAACAGAACATTCACCCATACCACCACGAACTTTGATACTACACGATGTCTGGAGCCACTCCTATGGGTGGATTAGGTCTCATTCCACAAGATATCGTATCTTGCCTTATTATCGTTAAATGGTCCCTTATTTGCCTTAATTTGCCCTGTACTATATTCAGATGTAATACTCCCAATGAAATCAGTCCTTCCATTTTGTCCCATCTGATGTGCTTCGCACACGGAGACTCGTGTAGATAAGCATATCACTAAAGTCCTCCTCTTCTTGACTATATAAAATGGTTTTTTTATAGAACATATAGCAAAGCTAATTAAAACTAACAGCATTTGCCAGTATGCACTAAGACCATAGTAAAGCTCTCACTCACGTGATGGCCCAAACTCCCCTTAAGCTCTCATTGTTAATTCTCGGGGTGGGGGTGGGGGAGAGATGCTTGAAATTGTGACAGTTGCAACTAGATCACTGTAATGATGGGCCAAAATCATTCAACCACATTATCAGAAAAGAATTTAGAAAAATCCTGGCAATACAATTAGATAAAATCTTAAAAAAGTAGAAGGACAGTTGGCAATTAAGGGGAGACTCAGAAATAAAGATTTATGTCACTAGCTATGTTGCTTGGTTAGGATGAGGCAAGTATTTGACATACATAATGTCTTCACTTCACAGTGACTGAACAAATAGGTGTGAATATTGATTATGAGCATGTTGACATGTTATATTGATCGAGTAACATTAGGACACAAAGCAATCACACGATCCTTGTAAATGATTGATGAAGTAAACTTTCTTTTGTTTCATAGAAAATATTTCCTGCATTTGTTGGTATTTGAATTCCCAAAAGAAAAAAACTGGTCAAAAAAATTATTTTTCTAACTGCTGTGCTGTCAAAACTGAGTCATTGTTCCCTTCAGTAAAACAGGAAAGCTCTTTGTTCACTTACTATGATGTCAATCAAGTGCGTATTTTTCCTTCTTAGTCAACTATAAATGTTGCAACATGAAATTCATATAGGTCCAACCATTTCTTTTTCTATTCTATTCCAAAAGTTACAAAATATTGGATTGCCTATGTTTCCACCAAAGCGTAACGTTTGGATTAGCAATAGAGAAAAAGAAAATAAAGAAACAACTGAGGAACAAAAATAAGGGGAAAATTACAACAACAATTCTTTACATTGCCAAGTGATGAAACTAACCTGCAGACGCCGCAAAATAGGCTTCTGCCATCTTTCACGCTGGCCAAAATAGAAAAAAGAAAAGCATCCATAAATTAATTCACATTCACACACAAAAACGTGGCTACACTTAAGAAAAAACATGTTGTTTATTTATACAAAGTATGCAACAGAAGGAACTATTTGGGCACATGAAGATGAGGCATATGGTTCATCAAAGTTCAATTAATCTTGGCTGAATCAGTCAAAAGCCATAATATATTCATAAAATAATCAATATATTTTTTCATTTGCAAAATCACAGAAGACTGATAGATTGGAGCATTATGGTGATACATCCCAAGAATGGTTATCCTATACTATGAATGCTTAATTGCCTTTACATCAACAGTCTCATTCCATGTCCTTGATCTCCAAAAACTGTGTAAAATCAAATCTTTTGACTAAATGTTTTTTAAATATAGCAAAGCTAATAAAACTAAGTAGCAGTATGCCACTAGTAATCTCTCATGCCCAAACTTAAGTTCATTATTACATGCCTTCCAGATTATTAACTTCTGCTTTTCTGCCTAATATTCCAAAGTTCAATGACTAATCTTTATAAGAAAATCAAAAAGTTCACCGCACGATACTGAATTGAATTGTAAATCAAAAATTTCACAACAGTATGTAAATCGTACCTTCTCCTTCCAATAATTATAAACAGACTGAAAAACTGCATATCTGGTAGACTGAACTTGAGCTTGCATGGCCTAACATTGGAAGAGAAAATAATTGAAGAAACACTCAGGGGAAAAAAATAAATCAAAATAGACCACATTATTCTAATGACTTTGACACAATCTTTGTAAATCAAGCATTTATTACCAAATGACAATTACAACCAAAGCATGTGAATCCAAGTTTAGCTACAGTGAACACCAATGTGAAAGATTGTTTGCGGAATTGACAAAATTAAATGAGTAATTGCAAATTGGAATAAAGGTTGAGATTTTTTTGGTTAGACCATGCAGACAAAAAAGAATATTACCAAGGCACACCCTTTGAGCTCGCGCCTGATAAAGAAAAAAAAAGGCACGCACATCAAAAATATCAATGTCACTATGGTTGAGACACTATGTCCAGTGGTGCCTTTCACGTGAAGTGCATCCTTAACAACTACATGTATGCAATCTAGGGCAATACTATCCATCAGGTCTAGAAATCATAAATCCTTCCTTATCCGTCCATTCCTATAAAACTATTATGTATTCATCTTTTGTGCTACAGCATCAACCGATCAACATAGACATGATGAAATCATTTTAATAAGCCACCTTCAATTCATCTTAAATGGATTCAAATTTCACATTTGTCCAAATAAATTGATTCAAAAACTGTTTGTCCAGTTAAAATCACACGCCATGCTTCCTCCCCATACTTTTTCAGAAATTCTAGATGGTGAACTTTGGCCCTTATCTGGAAAAATCAAAATGTTTTTATGTCAATCATATCTCAAATATTCTTAATCAATCCAAAATCTATTCCACTACCTAGAGTTGGAACAGCATAAATGAAAGCAAGAGTTTCAGATCCAAATCAAGGGAGACTGCTAACTTGCATATTCTTAGCAAAACAAATTTATTGATAAGTCAATCAATGTTGAACATAGTTACTATAGTGCTGTCATTACCCAGAACCATACCATGCTTTCCCAAGACCTTGTGAAATAATACAAACGTAAATAAGTGGAAAAGCTGAGAAGGATAATTTTATAGAAACTCTCCTCCTACTGAGGTTACAATATCATCAATGAGAGAATCAGAAGCATTCTCAAAGGGAAAAGAAAAGCCAAAACTGCATCTTTTTTCATCAACGAACTTAAATATAGATACCAATAGTCAATTTAATAAATAGGGACCAAAGGTCCTACATACGGTAAATGCAAAAGGTTAAGAGTGAAAACTAGAATTATTTGCAAGGAACCTCTCAAGGAAAACAGCTACTCACCTCAATTGCAGAATCATATTGTAGAAGTACAGGTATTGGTGAACCAAGAGTGGGAGTTATAACCCCTGCTCTTTCCCGAGCTTTATGATCCAGGACCTCCAATTTGAAAAGTAAACTTTCAAACCTACAAGAATAAGTATACCTACATGATTACAATACAAGAAGAGGATGAAAGTTGCAAGTGAATCAACAATGCAATAAACTGGGACAAAAAGAGTTGGATGAGTTATTGAAGAAATAAAACTTTGGCAACTATGCTGAAGTAGAAATCTCAGTTTAGACTTTCAATAATTCACGGCGTTCAATTGTAACCCACATGAACCACAGTATGGGGAGAAAGAAAAAAAAAGGCGCAGGCAATATGATGCTTGCTGAGTAAACACATCTACTCTTTCTAACTTCTTTTGTTTCGAGCATATATACATCTATAAATGGGCAGAGCTTGATATTAGTTACCTTTCAGGTGAAAGATTCTTCCTTTCTTTGTTGAAGTCTTGAAGCCAATCCTCATCTTCATTGTCTAAATCGTACTCAACAAACTCTCCAATCTCCGCTCGAGCTGCAAAAGATGCAATGAAGTTTAAGCATTTCATATGGACACATACTAATAAATGATCGTTTTTCAATTAACAAACCTCCTCTCGCTCGTAGATAGGATGTGGGTTGACTGAAAGTGCGTGAATAGTCTCTTTCATAAGTATCAACAATAACAAACTGAGGAGTGGGTATTTCGGGAGCTAGTTTCTTGCTAGGGATATGGTGCACCTAAAAAGAGAAACCTTTTTCTTCAAATTAATTTAAGAAAAAAAAAAAAAAAGGCAATCTCATTGTTGTAATAAATGTGACACATTTAGACTCTCAAATAAATAAACAGATAAATAAATGTTTACACATTTAAATCTCCAAGCATTACCTCATTATCGACCTCGATAGAAGCAATGCGAAGGAGCTGAGAGTTGCGAGTAGAAGTGGGAGTATCATCTTCTTCAAAATCTTTTACTGACTTAACAATTGGGAGCTTCTTATGAATGTCCAATGGCCGTGGCCTGAATGACAACCTACTCATTATTTTTTCTTATAAATATGTCTCTGCAACACATTCATCTCCTATCTTCTATGCCAGTCAGTCTATAAAGTATAAACGTAAAATCTCATCAAACAATGCCCATAATATGCACAGGCAATCACTAATTGTAGCTCAAACCATGTATAGAAAGATGAAAGCTCTTACTAATTCTTAGTAAATCGTGTTTAGGGTTCAATACTGCAACAGTTTCATAAAAGGAGAGAATTTTCTGCTTTTTGACCAGACCTCTCCTCTCTGCTAGGGTTTTGCGATTCCTCTCTTTCTTAATTGTCGAGTATGCGTTTGTTAGGGTTTGTGAAAGGGATAACAGATCTCAAATCAAAAGGGCAAAAAGGTAGGATCTGTTCTGTGCGCGCGTGAGAGAAGAGGGAGAGCAGAGATGAGACTTGAGAGGGAGATGTCCGGGTTCGAACTTCGAAATCGGAATCGTTTGGTTCGCAAGAGAAGATTTTATTGGGCCCGGTCCTCTTTCGAGGCCAACTGCCCCGGAAGGAAGCGGGCCTAAACCTTTTTGTAATCCCGGATGCATAGGCCAGGGATATTGAGAGAGCTATTATTGAGCCGAAATTTTATTTTGATGCCATGATTTATTATATGCCTAGTTTTATACCTTTAAAATTTGCTGCCGTCTAAAAAATATAAATCGGTTTAAAAAATATAAGTGGTTTAAAAAATATAAGTAATTTTAGAGTGATTATTTTGACGAAAATATAAGGTATTTTGAGTAGTTTAAAGAATAATATATGATTTTTTTATTTTGTCCTTATTTATATTAGTTTCACGAGTTGCATGTAGTTTTGAGAAAAATAAATAGTCAAATTATTCTTGATTTTTAATAATTTAAAAGAATTAATTATTTTTTTACTTTTTATATAAAAACACTTATAAAAAATACATAGTTTACTTTCTAAATAGCTGAATTAGTAAATGGACCCACGTGGATAATCAACGTGCCCACTGGAATTTTCAAATAGATTTATAACTGAGGCTGACTCTCATCATAAATGCTTTTACATAGACAAATAGAACTCGAGTTTGCTTCTTATTAGGTTATCCATAGCAACTTCTTGCAAAGTTTTGATTAGGATGATCAAATGACTCGATATTTAGTGACGGATGGGATATAAATTCTGAAATAAAATCTAATTTGGATATAATATAATATAGTCCAATCTATGAAAGGTAATTTCACTTTTTTTATATATTATTAAATGTAATTCTAAATATATAATTTCTTTTACTTCTATAAATTCTGAAATAAAATCTAATCCGAATATAAATATAATATAGTCCAATCAATGAAAGGTAATTTCACTTTTTTTTATATATTATTAAATGTAATTCTAGCGCTAGAAGGGCCCAAAGGGCCTAAACCTTTTTGTAATCCCGGATGCATAGGCCAGGGGGATATATGGGGAGAAGCTAGTTATATGGCACGCGACACAATCCATTCTCTTCAAATGTGTGTATTTGACTCGCGGGACAGGAATCTGAGTTTTATTATTATAATGCCTCACGATAATATAAAAAAATAAAATAATAATCTCCTTTAATGAAATGTTTAGCACGGTGCCGCGTGCTCTAAAAAAAATGATAACAATTCGGGTGTTATGCTGTGGAAAACGAAGAGCACATAGGATGGAGAATGTTTCTATGCGGCTAAAAGCCCTCTAAGAGTAATAGAGAAAAATATTTAAAGTGATGCTTTAAAAATTCACCTCAAGTGAAATTTTCATTGGAGACCGACTGCCAGTATTACTAATTTAAATTCGTATCGAAATATTGAAATAATAATGGTTAATTTTATATGTGAACAGTTAGATTTTTTAATGATAAGAATTTTGAAATATATCGGATTTTTTTCAGTAGCTATTTGTCCTTATTTATATTAGTTTAACGTACTGGTGCCAGTTGTTCAAAGTTCTTGGAGTTCAACTATGTTTGGAAATTATAACGGTTCAAATTTGACTATTTCTTTTGTTATCTTTCTCTTATCGATAATTTTATCATTCCTATAAAACTTGATATTAATGTATCTCTCTCTGTTAATAGATTATAGATATTTTTATATAAACCAGAACACTTACTCAGAAAAATACAGTATTTATGTTTATTGCTCTTTTCTCATTTATTTTTATTTAGTCTGAATTTTTAGTAATACCACTGGGTTACCACAACCTTGTTGTAGTGAATTCTATACGGTGGACCCACCAACTGTGATTAATCAGGATCATACCCGAATTATAGTCAAGGCTGAGATGTTTCTTGTGTCATGATCTCTTTCAATCATTTAACAATGACTATTTTTATTTACTAATCTAGTCATCACTATAATTTTTCATCGGAACTCGATGATAGTTATTGCGTCTGGCTTATGAGTTGTTTTCGCATAGCAGTAACACTATACGTGTAGAGCATAGTGAGACCCGCTTTTGTATATATAGCTCCCGTTATGTATTTCCATTAATGTTGTGGCTCATTAGTTCGAATACTTTTATAGGGAGATCGGGATGGGATATGAACTTTGAATTCTGAAATAAAATCTAATTTATGAGTTATATATCTAAAAATATAAATAATACGGTCAGCAATTTCTATGAGAAGGTAGCTGTCTAATTCACAAATATTTTCTCTCTCATAGGTCAATAATGTCTATTCATTATATACCAAGAAATGTAAAAATTCTTAGACTCTATAATTAAGTGCTATGGTAATTGTATCAATAGTATATAACATGCTTGCTAACGATGGAATTTCTTCTATATGAATAAAAATAGCCTTCAACAATCATATTGTACACGCTCTAGTGAAATCTATAAATACAGATGGGGAATAAAGGGAATATGGAGGATCGCTTAGTCAGGATGAAATGACGGTAATAGTCTTCTCTCACATATCCTTTTTTTATTTTACTCCCAAACACGGTATTATCTCATATATTAATTGAGTATATATACTTAAATATAGTTAATTTCGTATCCTCATTTCATCTTTTCTGCTCTTCTCATTTACTTTCTCGGGATATTAATTGAGTTTTCTATTATATATTATTAAATGTAATTCTAAATATATAATTTCTTTTACTTCTATAAATTCTGAAATAAAATCTAATCCGAATATAAATATAATATAGTCCAATCAATGAAAGGTAATTTCACTTTTTTTTATATATTATTAAATGTAATTCTAAATATATAATTTCTTTTACTTCTATAAATTCTGAAATAAAATCTAATCCGAATATAAATATAATATAGTCCAATCAATGAAAGGTAATTTCACTTTTTTTTATATATTATTAAATGTAATTCTAAATATGTAATTTCCTTTACTTTTCTCCTCATTTCTTTCCATTAATATTTTAAATCATTATATACATAACTTTCGCCTTGTATTTTTTTTAATCACATTCACCTTTTTTCATTTTTTTTTTTTTTCAATCTCTACATCAATTGTGTCACAACATACAATATTTCCAACTATTATTCGGAATTTTTGTGTTTTCAAGTATAATAAATATTATTAATTTTTATTAAATTATTATTATCTTTTTTGTTTTCTCATAGAAAATACCGATCTTATAACATCCTATTCAAATTAGTGTAAATATGGATATATGAAAATCTTAGCATATCAAATATGGAGTTGTGGATTAACGTACATATGGATCAAATATGGAATTGTGGATTAACGTACGTATGGATATATAAAAACCTTCGCAGAGTTGCAGATTGGTGTAGATATGGATATATGAAAATCTTTGCAGCACAAATATGGAGTTGTGCATAATCCGATCCATGATCATCACCGGTTTCGATGATATTGGTAATTTTGGTTGTACATCATTTCACTGCTTCTGTGCAATCATTTGTCTTGGTTCTAATGGCTATGTTTTGTAAATTGGTTGGAAATATCTGAACAATCACTTACACAACACAAACAAGATCATTCAACACAATTTTTTAGAATGAAACCATGAAAAACTATTTCAAATGCATAGAACACATGATCCCAAAGAACCCAAAACTAATTACCTAGCATGTACACAGGCCTCTCCCTCCTAAAATCTATACATATTCCCTCGTCTCCCTTCAACTTGTCAAGCAATATTTCAACATAAAATGCAAATTAAGCACCACCATTGAACAAAGTAACCCACAGATTTGAAGTAAATAACGCAATATCAGAATCAATATAATCCACCATAATAATCCAAGTTACAGTGCAAATCAACTAATCAGATCTAAGATAGCATCCAATCCTAGATTAATCTACAAAACTTTAATCCAATTAATTGCATTAAGATCAGCCAAGAAACAAAAATGAATCTTTCACTTTTTGCTCATAACAAATGTACTAAAGCACTAATCAAACATACGAATGAGTGAAGCCGCATCAAACACGTGAGGCAACCGCGGGAGCAGCCACAGCGGCGGCGGAGGACGCGGCACCGCCGAGGAAAGAGAGGAACCCAGCACTTGCAGGCTCTTGATCATCAAGAAACAGATCCTCAGGCACTCTAAACGCACCGTGAGCACAAACAATTGCCAATCCAATCATCAAAGCAGAGATCAAAAGCGAGCCAACGCTAGTCAAAAATACCACGACTATAGTCAATACGACCAAAACACCTAGGGTTTCTCGATCTGAGAAAGTTCGACCGAGAACAACCACAGGCTGATCCGCCGGTCGAAATAGGTAGAGAAAGATCCATCCGCCAAGAAGACAGAGAAGGACTAGCAGAGAGAAAGGGTGAGACAAAAGAGAGAGGGCGAGTACAATTGCCAGTAAGGTAATATAATTGACTTTGAAATAAGACAGATTTTTACGGATCCGGGAAGCCGCTTCAGAGAGGGAATCGGGTCGGGAAATGGAGTTACGGTCAACCAGTTCTGACCACGGGCGGCGTTGAGAGAAGCTCTGGCGGATCGAGGAGGAGAGGCGTGAAAGGAACGCGCGGAAGGCAGGTGTGGCGATTGGTGGTTGCGTTTGTGGTTGGGACTGAGGGTTTGAGATTGGGATCGTCGGAGCGGCCATAATGGTGGCGCGTGTAAGGAAGTGGAGAAGGAAGATGTCTCTCTCTTTCAGATCTCAACAGCGAGAAAAATAGAGAATATAGGTGTACTGGTCGCGCACCAAGAACAAATTGGAAGATGGAGACGGAGATGATAATTGCATGTGCTGCGGAGTTCTGTAATGGATGTTATAACGGTGACGATTTGTGGGTTATTTCGAGTGGACGGTGTTGATTGAATTATCAATCACCTTTATTGAGTGTCGGTGCAGTGGACTCTTGTAAACCTTCCCTCGATCTCCTTTCCTCAACTTCATTAATCACATTTATCATTGACATCATTAATGATATATGTTTATATTTTTTTTTTCAAATAATTGAATATTTAAATAAGTGGAAAAATATTTTTAAGTATTCTTTTAAAATAATAAAATGTTTTACTTTGTATTTTTGAATGATTGATGAAATTAATAGTATTATTTGAAAGTAATAGAACAATAATATCAATACTCTATCTCTCTCAAAATATAATCTGTTTTGAGTAATTATTTTATCCTAAAGTATAAGTCATTTTAAATATTTTAAAAAGTAATAGATGATATTTTTTTAATGTTATTCTTATTTACATTAGATACAATAAATAATTTTATAAGTAATTATTGATTTTGAAATAAAAAAATAATTTAGTCAATTTACGATTGGTTTTGTTATAATTTATGAGAATTAATTACCTCCTTAATCATTGTATAAAACCCCTTAAATCTCTTATATTTTGGAAGAGATGGAGTAATATTTTAAGTTTGATTCTCGATAAACACATTTGTAGGAATGGAAGCGGGTATCCGTGAATTTTAAGTTATCCATATCCGTATCCGTACATATCTCAAACTCATTTAAATATCCATTTGAGTATATGTATAACAGGTAGAAGTATATTATCCAAATCTAAACTTATTTCAAATACAATTTTTACTAATAATGGATATATCAGGTCTACCAACTCCGTTTAATATAGTAGGTCATGGGTATACACCTACCTTATCTGTATATATTATGTATAATAATTTCACTATTGGTGCTTGTCGCAAACCCCTTCATAATCACTCATATTTTCTTTAAATGGATAGGAGCGGATCAAGATAACATAAGATACTCGTACCCCTTCCATCTCTGATCAGATTGGCTAAAAATAATTAATTCATCCGTCCTATTTTGTTTACTTGTTATTCGTATTTGGAACGTCCCAAAATATTTACAATGTTTCTAAATTTGTACATTTAAACAATTATTTTTCATATAGTAACCATTATGATTATTCATTAAATGAAGGATTTTTATTAATATCTTAATGAGTTAAAGGGTAAAAATAATTTTTATTGACTAAATTTTAACATGCGCATTTTGTCAAACCATACAAACAAAATGGGTTGGAGGAAGAATATTTGATGGTTAAAAAACAAGAGAGAATTTCTTTTCTAATAACTTACTCACACTCAATATACATGCTCATTCAACCGATTAAAAATAAAATTTTAATTTAAACAATGTTATTTCTTATCATATTGTAAAAAAAAATAAAAAAAATAAACATTTTTTTTAATTGCTTGGTATATGAGTGATATTTACGGGACATAAGTAAGATTTATCAAATTTCTCTCATTGTAAATGTATGATATAGTTCATGGATGAATGTTTTAAAAAAATATATATATATATATATATTTGGGCTTCCCCTCCAAATGAGATAAGATTGTTTGGGCTTTGAGTTGGGTCAATTGATTTGTTCATTTCTTTGTGGAGGATATGAAGCCCATATTGGTGGGCCATAATTTCCTACTCCAATAAGGAAAAATGTATCCAATTATAGATAGTGGACCGATAATGGATCACCATTTTATCTCCAAGTTGTAAATCAAAGAAGTTAGACAATGAAATTTCCAATCAGGACCACACAAATTTCCACGTCACATAACCTCCTTTTCAATACTGAGCCCTTCCAAAAACTGAGTTCATCATTAAATGCTCTCGTGTGCATTAACTCACATGGTTAGCAGCATCCAACGGTGTACATTAAACAATAATCCAATCCTCAACCCTCAATCCCACAACTGTCAGGAATTTTGGGTTTTACTACAAAGTGACCAAGACATAACATGTTTTCCTCGGACAAATAACTAAATAAAGTTCTCAAAAAAGCCATGCCCCTTTGTCTTTATTATTAAAAAATAAAAACCTTAATGTAAAAGAAAATTGAGATTTTTATTAATATTAATAATGTTCATTTACTTTACTTTATAGTTTAATTATAAAGAATTTTTTCCTTTTAAATCTAAATTAATTAGTTTTATTTTTATATTTCCCTATTTTATAAAAATAGGATCACTTTCTTTTTTGGTTCCATATTATAATCCAAAAAGAATAATTTTTATAGTTTCCTATTCTATCCTTATTTAATATGAGAAATATACAACTATTATAGATAATTGATATTTGTAATTGTGACTATTACTTATATTAATCAATTTCATAACTTTGAAATGTTGATTATTTATATTTAATATAAGGATATATTAAGAAAAAAATTAAATAAAAAAAAGGATTTTAGTCATATTAATTATATTTTCTTAATTTATATAAAAGTCAAACCAAATCTATCATTACATAATAGAGCGCTAATTTCTTAATTTCGTCCTATTTTTTTAGAAGAATTTTCTCCTATTTAATATGCATTATCAAGAAATATATTACCATTACTAATAATCAACTCTTGAAACGAATAAAATAACTATTAATCATTAATATTTAAGGTAAAACTATAATTAGAAGAATAATTAAAATTACAATTTAATTATTATTAAGTATAATTTTTTGATTCATTTGAAAATCAAGTTAAAGGGTATTATTATGAGAGGAATTTATTTTAATAAATAAAATAATAAATTAGTCTAGTCATTTCTGATTTATGTGATCCGACGTGGCATATACTATGCAAGTTCTTGTTGGATCCATAAATGAAATAGCCGTTAGGGGGGCGCCGTAGGGGCAATAAAGGACCAGACTATAAACCCATGAGTAAAACTGGTCAAAAAAATGTTCATTGAAACGAGAGAAGTATAAATAAAAACTACATATATATCCAAATAGATTAGCAAAGAAAAACTAGCCGTTATGCCCTTTCTGTACGCAGAAGAGCCTCTTCCCTTTCCTCTCTGCAATTTCTTGCCTCCCACTGACAATCTGTCTCCAAATTCCTCTCTCTCTCTAAACACAAAGATTCTTTCTTTCTCTAACTAAGCTCGTCACGTGGCCTTCAGCAGAAACCCCCACCTCTCTATTTCAATTTTCACACTACAAAACCCAATTCACTAGGCAGTTTTAGCTCCTGTTTCATTCTAAGCTACAAACCCTAACACAAATCTTAATTTTGTTTCTTTTTTCTTCTTCCTTTTTTCTTGTTATGGAAAACCCAAATAGAGAATTCAGCAGTTTTTACAAATACCCATTTCAAAATCTCGCAAATTGGTGTTGCATTTCTAACAAGAAGAAGGAGAAATGGAAGATTCTATCCAAATTACGAACAACCATTTTCATGGTTTTTCAGTTGCTTCTCATTTGTTTCATTAGACCTGTCTCAAGTCAAGATTGGGATGGTGTCGTTGTTACTCAAGCAGATTTTCAAGCATTGCAAGCTTTCAAAGCAGAATTAGTGGACACAAAAGGATTTTTGAAAAGTTGGAATGATAGTGGCTATGGAGCTTGTTCTGGTGGTTGGGTTGGAATTAAGTGTGCTCAAGGTGAAGTTATTGTAATACAACTTCCATGGAAAGGCTTAGGAGGCAAAATTACTGATAAAATTGGTCAACTTCAAGCACTTAGAAAGCTAAGCCTTCATGATAATCTTATTAGTGGTTCAATACCTAAAACATTAGGTATCATTCCAAATCTTAGAGGTCTTCAATTATTTAATAATAGGTTTTCGGGTTCAATCCCTCCTTCTTTAGGTTCTTGCCTTTTGCTTCAGAACCTAGACCTTAGTAACAACACTCTTACTGGTACTATACCATCAAGTCTTGCTAACTCCACTAAGCTTTTTAGACTAAATTTAAGCTATAATTCTTTAATGGGTTCAATCCCAATTACCCTGACTAACTCTTTTTCTCTCATCTTTCTTGATCTTCAACACAATAATCTCTTTGGCCCCATTCCTGATTCTTGGAGTAATAATCTTTCTGTTCTAAACTTGAAGAGAAATCAACTTAGTGGTCAAATCCCTAAAACATTAGGAAACATTACGTCAATTACCCAACTTGATTTGTCAGAAAATAGGCTTAGTGGAGAAATCCCAAATTCTTTAACCAATCTTCAAAAACTTGATTCTTTCAATGTTTCTTATAACAATCTTTCTGGTTCTGTTCCTAATTCTCTTTTACAAAAGTTCAATTCGAGCTCTTTTGTGGGTAATATTGAACTATGTGGGTTTAGTGGTGCAGCTCCATGTCCTTCTGAAGGACCAGCACAGGGTATATCGGCTCCACCACCAGAAATGCCAAGAAAACGCCACAGGAAACTTAGTACTAAAGATAAAATTATCATTGCAGCTGGATCTCTCTTAATTGTGTTGATTATACTCTGTTGCATTTTGCTTGTTTGCTTGATAAGGAAAAAGGCAGCTTCAAAATCCAAGAATGGTCAAGCCACAGCCAGGGCTGTTGCTGCAGCTAGAGGTGAAAAAGGCGCTGCACCATTGGGGGGTGAAGTTGAAGCTGGTGGAGACAATGGAGGGAAACTAGTACATTTTGATGGGCCAGTAGCTTTTACAGCTGATGATCTTTTGTGTGCAACTGCAGAGATTATGGGAAAGAGTACTTATGGAACAGTGTATAAAGCTACATTAGAAGATGGGAGTCAAGTTGCTGTGAAAAGATTAAGAGAAAAGATAACAAAAGGCCAAAGAGAATTTGAAAATGAAGTTAATGCTCTTGGTAAAATTAGGCACCCAAATCTTTTAGCTTTGAGAGCCTATTATTTGGGACCTAAAGGAGAAAAGCTTCTTGTATTTGATTATATGCCTAAAGGGAGTCTTGCAACTTTCCTTCATGGTAAGCAGCACAAAACTTAAATTCATAATAATTTTGTTTGCTGCACTAAAAATCTATTATCAGTACCGATGAGTTTTGGCTTAGTGGTATTGGAGTTGTTTCTAGTATTATGAGTCACCGTTATATTACTCATCATGCTCTATTTTGTTGCAGCTAGAGGACCTGATACACCGGTTGATTGGCCAACAAGAATGAGAATAGCACAAGGCATGACTCGAGGCTTGTTCTATCTTCACAATAATGAGAATATCATACATGGGAACCTTACATCAAGCAATGTACTGCTTGATGAGAATGCAAATGCGAAAATCGCGGATTATGGGTTATCTAGGCTAATGACAGCTGCTGCAAATACTAATGTGATAGCAACAGCAGGTGCATTAGGCTACCGCGCACCCGAGCTTTCAAAGCTAAAGAAAGCAAACACGAAAACTGATGTATACAGTCTTGGAGTGATCATATTAGAACTCCTTACAGGGAAGTCACCAGGGGAAGCAATGAATGGTGTGGATTTGCCTCAATGGGTTGCTTCTATTGTTAAAGAGGAATGGACTAATGAAGTTTTCGACTTGGAATTAATGAAGGATGCATCTACTATTGGTGATGAATTGCTTAACACATTGAAACTTGCTTTGCATTGTGTTGATCCTTCACCATCAGCGCGTCCGGAGGTTCAACAAGTTTTGCAGCAACTAGAAGAGATTAGACCTGAAACTGCTGCCAGTTCCGGGCCTTCTGGAGATGATGGTGCAGCTATTCCTTCAACTAGTGATTAAGGCAGCAATTCTACTAAGAAAGTAGACTAATAGAGTAACAATTCTTTCATTCTTCAGCTTGTTGGGTTTGAGTGTTAAATGTCATGTCTGTAAATACTAGTTTGTTTCAATCTATTCAAGATCATTCTTTTTTGGTTCTAATTAACCAGTTCAATAGCTTGGTAGTGAAACAATCTTTAATAAAACGGCAAGAATCAAAACAGAGTAACCATAGTATGATACAAATTCAAAAGAACCTCTAACCTCACACTGTTTAGGAAAGGATTTTTTCATGCAGTTCATAAATAAACTCTTATTCATAGCCTTGTAAATAGCAAGAAAGAGGAGTTCTTGGGCTCGCACGCACAAGATTAGGCCAAGAATCCAAAGTTGGTGGATTTTCCCTCCTGCGTGGGAGACAATCTGCTGAGCCTTGTACAGAAACTCTTATTCATAGCCTTGTAAATAGCAAGAAAGAGGAGTTCTTGGGCTCGCACGCACAAGATTAGGCCAAGAATCCAAAGTTGGTGGATTTTCCCTCCTGCGTGGGAGACAATCTGCTGAGCCTTGTACAGAAACTCTTATTCATAGCCTTGTAAATAGCAAGAAAGAGGAGTTCTTGGGCTCGCACGCACAAGATTAGGCCAAGAATCCAAAGTTGGTGGATTTTCCCTCCTGCGTGGGAGACAATCTGCTGAGCCTTGTACAGAAACTCTTATTCATAGCCTTGTAAATAGCAAGAAAGAGGAGTTCTTGGGCTCGCACGCACAAGATTAGGCCAAGAATCCAAAGTTGGTGGATTTTCCCTCCTGCGTGGGAGACAATCTGCTGAGCCTTGTACAGAAACTCTTATTCATAGCCTTGTAAATAGCATGTTTTTCACTCATCTTCTTAAAGAAAGTTAATTACTAATGACCCTGATTTTCCTAAATTTTATCATACAAATTTAGGTTGTTTAGTTTTACGAAATTAATTTGGAAATTCCATCTATTTCGATAGAATTTGATTTAGTTATATTCAATTTCATATAACTGAGTTCCTAGAATTGAAATTTTTATTTCTGTATTCCAAACACAATAATTTATAAATAAATTTCATAAAATTTTGTAGAATTTACTCATTCCAAATAGGGAATACTTCAAAAAATATATGTAATTCATTAGAAATTTCAAATTGTTATAATCAGTGTCGATGAAATATTAATTTCATTATAAAAATTAATTTTTTAATTAAATTCAATATAGCGATTTTACTATTTATAAATAAATTCAATACAAAAATTAAAATTGCAACTAGTTCTCTAAGTTGGTAAACTCAAATTGAAATCAGATTCTAACCTTACAAGTAAAATCTACGTTGAAGTACAATCTATTTTGGCTTATCTAATCGTTAATAAACCACTTTGATTATGGGTTTTTTTTTTTTTTTTTAAATTTCTAGAAAAAGAAAGAGTAGTTTGACATTATCGTTTGCTTCAATTTCCATACCGATTTCAGTTCTGATCGGGTCTTAAACTTAGTCCACCTAATCCAGGGTTTAGTGTTGACTCCTTAACAATAAACCGTTTCACGGTTGACTTTGGACCATTCGTGTTAGGGCTGGACTCTATATAAGATTAACATTTGGACACAGAAAAATACCTGAAATAATAATAATAATGATATCATTAATACACAATAATTCCAGAGCTTTACATATAAAATTAACTACCAACCAACTGAAAATTGAAAATTTAGAGAAGGTGAAAATGTGAAAGCAACAGAAAGCTTTGACAAAAAGCATTTCTGCTCTTCAATCAATTTTTTAATTATATGTTTTTTTTTTTATTTATTTTACCTATAACGAACTTTTGTTTAATACTTTTTCTTCTCAAGATTGAAGGAAGTCAATAACTAACTAACAATTATTTATTATTAGTTGTTGCTTCAAATTGTGTTAACCTATCTGATCTTCATGTCTTAATCTTTGCCCTTTGTTTGAAAACTACAGAAAAGAAAATAAATCGCGAAGAAAAATAACGAAAGAAAATAATAAGAAATTGTCAATTTTCTTTTCACAGTTATTTTCCATACTAGTAATAGCAATAAGTTTCGCTTATCGTGATTGGTTGGAATGGTAAACGCTAAGTAGTTTCAATTTCTTGAAAGGTGAGAATCTGAGTTTGAACTATATTTACCGGAAGAACAAAGACTTCTATATTCTATAATTTTATTTCAACAAAATCAAATTCGGGCCCATAAGAAAAGAAACCTTCCTTTTGACCACATCCAACAGTCTTGATTGAAATAAGTTGTTGATGTTGTTGTTTAATTGAACTTAATAAAGCCTAGCTATAAAAGAGTAAACGTAAGAAGGGGATTGGGGCCAACCCTAAAGTTTGTATTTTATTGTGTTTGAGAAATTAAAAATAAAAAGAAAAGTAAAGAAATTTTTTTTAATTGTATTTCAACCTTAAATAACTTCGACAGCAGTAATTTCAGATTTTAAAACTCTGATTTTACATATAAAATAAGTCTAAAAATGTAATTTATTTCCATTAATTCAACCGTGATGAATAGTTTACATAATTATAATTAAATTGCATCTCATTTTGAAAAAAAAAAAAAACATGAAGAATGTCACGCCCCGACTCTAATCACCAGAATGTCACGCCCCGACTCTAATCACCAGAGGAATTGTCCGCTTTGGTGTAGTCCACGGATGCCCTACACCTCAGTGTAGTCCCCGCACGCCCTACAACCTCACGGTTTTGTCCCGTAGGTGAAATGAAAAACTTCTCAGGAGGTCACCTATCTTGAGATTTCTCTTAAGCGAGCATGATTAACCCTGTAGTTCTTTCAATTTTCCAGCCATTCCACCAAAAGGCGACGTAGGGCGTGCAGGGACTACACTGAGGTGTAGGGCGTCCAGGGACTACACTGAGGTGTAGGGCGTTCGTGGACTACACCAAAGCAGACAAGTCCTCTGGTGATTAGAGTCGGGGCGTGACAAAAAAAAGTTCATAAATCTTATAATTTAAGAAATCACGTGAATTAGCGTGTGATAAAAATTTAATAATATTAATTATTAGGATGACAAGTGACCTAATTTCCATATCATTGCTCCCTAGTTTCTTCCCTACCTAGGGTTAGGATTTTTGTTGTTAGACCCAACAAATCTTTCAAAATTAATTAATATTACCACCTACTAAACAGGACTTTTGATTAAGCAAAGTGAGATAATTAATCCTCTGTATGGTCCACTAATAATCAAGACAAAAGATTATCATGACACTGTGTTCAAACCTCTCGAAGCTAATGATAATTGTTGACTAAATTCAAACCTTAATTACGTTTTAATCTTGTCGGTGTATGTTAATAGTAAATAATTTGTTTTACTAAGATTTTAGAGCTAATAATAGACCTACAAAGTTTATAAAATAAATACCATTCCTTCCTTTAGGCATGCCCTGAAATGAAGGTCATTGATTGCAAAATCTAATCACTTGGATGAAAGACTTTTTTCCCCATTAAATTTGTTCCCTCATGTGGATGAAAAATCATTAAATGCAAAAATATTCATTGGTAATCAGTGCGATGAACGATTTTTTGTTTCCTGCACATGTATTTTTATGTTTATGTAGTACTGGTGTTTAGTTAATCTTTCCGATTTCAATTTCTAATCTTACACGTAAATTTTATCTGGAAATATGTTTTTGAATTAATCTGACTCACGATACTTTATGTAGTTAGAATTTAATGAACGAGACTTCGGTCTGTTCGGTAAAATTAGCTGTTTTAGTAGCTGTTTGAGTGACTTTTCACGATATATTAAAAGGTAAACGTTACATAAATTAACTTTTCACAAAACTAGTTCAAACGCTATATTACCGAATAATTTTTTTAGTAGCTTTTAGTGTTTTAACTGCCTCCTTAAAAAACTATTACTGAACACAGTCTTTGACGAGCCTTAGCTACACCATCCTCTAGAAGTCAAGCACAGCTTTAGCCCATATCAATCTCCCCATTTGTACTTTGGAGCAGTTATATGGAGATAGGCAAAAAAAGAGAAAACAGTGTTGACTATTTCTTATTATGCTTCTCATTTTCTATTGCAGAGGATTGACAAGTTCCTATATTGGACTATTACACACTCATAAGATAAAATATTAATTTGAGATTTTACTTTGTTAAATATACTTACAACTCAACTTGAATTTGCAATTACTATAATCCTAAATTGAACTACCTAATATACTAAAATACTTGCAAATCCCAAATGTCAGTATGTTTGTTAGGAAATAAATCATTTAATTAATTAATCAACTAAAAAATTAACATTTACAGAACTAGAAACCCATTTTAGAGTTAATTATTTCCAAATAAAAGATTTTATTGATGATTCTTTTGTTGATTTTCATCACCTAATACAGACTTGTGAAACAAGCATTCAAAGAAAAGTTAATTTCTTTTTTTCATAGGATAGTGGGTGTAACAAGCTAACAACCTCTCTATGTGTTGAACTCAAGTTTGCCTATTTGATTTGACCACTTGGTTTGATCAAATCAAAACCTAATCGCCCACTATTGAAGAACCATTATACTAATCAAGTTCCTATAAATAGAGCCAAATCCATTTCACTTCATAAACTAAATTCCGAGCTAAAACCATCACTCAAGCAAAAAGGCTCGAAAGATGGAAGCTTTGAGGCACATTTTTGCCAATTTGCATTCAAATTCGTTTTTCTTCTTAGGCATTTTCATACTCACAGCTTCTATATTGTCTTTTGCCAATGCAGACAAGACTCACTACCATGATTTTGTTGTATGTATTCATTTTCATGCAGTCCCTTCTTCTTCTTCTTTCTTCTATATCGAACTAATATGTTAATATATGTATATACAGATTCAAGCAACTCCAGTGAAGAGGCTGTGCAAAACCCAGAATACTATCACTGTTAATGGGATGTTTCCTGGACCAACACTTGAAGTCAATAATGGTGACACTCTTGTTGTCAATGTTGTCAACAGAGCTCAATACAATGTCACCATCCATTGGTATATATTTTTATATGTCAATATAGTTCAAACCCAATACTTTAAAATTTCCCGAAACTACTCAACGATCATTCAACCATGACCTATGATGCACAGAAACTTCTAACATGGGTGTTTCCGCGTTTTGGAAACATTTTTTTTGTATAAAATGTTATTTTCCCGTATCGTTTCTGCAGTTTCGCGTTTTCTTGTTTCCGTTTCTATTATTCTTCTTGCTATAACTTTTATATATATATATATATATAGGCATGGTGTAAGGCAAATGAGGACAGGATGGGCAGATGGGCCAGAGTTTGTGACACAATGCCCAATTAGGCCAGGAGGGAAATACACCTACAGGTTCACTATTCAAGGACAAGAAGGGACACTTTGGTGGCATGCTCATAGTTCTTGGCTTAGAGCTACTGTTTATGGTGCTCTAATTATACATCCAAAAGAAGGATCCTCATATCCATTCCCTAAGCCAAAAAGAGAAACACCAATTATTCTTGGTATAGAATATTTAATTAATTGATTGATTGATTAACTCTAAATTAAGCCAAAAAAAAAAAAACTATCAATTAATTGATTATATATGTTAATTATGATAATAATGTTTTATTAGGTGAATGGTGGAATGCAAACCCTATTGATGTTGTGAGGGAGGCAACAAGAACAGGAGCAGCACCAAATGTTTCTGATGCATATACGATTAATGGTCAACCTGGTGATCTTTACAATTGCTCTAGCCAAGGTTAGCTTTAGCTAATATTGGATTTCCGTTATTTAAATCGAGTGTTTCAGTTACTTGAAGTGATTTTTCTATTCTAACTACTAATTAGGAAACCTCTGTCAATAAGAAAAAAAAGAGTGAACTCTTATTGGGCTGTAATAAAGTAGTTTGACTACTCTATTGGGCCTGTAATTGGGTCATCCACTAAATTAACCCAGCCTTATAATTCTTTAAACATAAGCCCATTGAACTGTCCCGCCAAGAATAACTACTAACAGAAAATTGAATTCTACAAACCAATTGTGCTTGCAAACTTTCAATAACCTAAAAGATTTGGTTTTTTCTTTGCAGATACTGCAATTATTCCGATAGACTCCGGCGAGACCAACCTTCTCCGAGTCATCAACGCGGGATTGAACCAACCACTTTTCTTCACTGTTGCAAACCATAAACTTACAGTTGTTGGTGCTGATGCATCCTACACAAAGCCTTTCACCACCACTGTCCTAATGCTAGGACCCGGCCAGACCACCGACGTTTTAATCTCCGGCAACCAGCCATCTGCCCGATACTACATGGCAGCACGGGCATACCAAAGCGCACAAAACGCTCCCTTTGACAATACTACAACTACTGCTATTCTTGAATACAAATCTGCACCTTGTGCTGCTAAAAATTGTGCAGCAGCCAAACCAATTATGCCTCCTTTACCGGCATATAATGACACTGCCACTGTCACCGCCTTTAGCAAGAGCTTTCGGAGCCTTAACAAAGCCTTTGTCCCAACTGAGATTGATGAAAATTTATTTTTCACAGTTGGGTTAGGACTTAACAATTGCCCTCCTAATTTTAACAAGGCAAGCCAATGTCAAGGGCCTAATGGAACTAGGTTTACAGCAAGTATGAACAATGTTTCATTTCAATTACCATCAACAGTTTCTTTATTACAAGCTCATCAGTTACGAGTTCCAGGAGTTTTTACTACTGATTTTCCTGCTAATCCTCCATTGAAATTCGACTATACGGGTAATGTGAGTCGATCTCTCTGGCAACCAGTGCCTGCAACTAAGGTTTATAAGCTGAAATATGGGTCAAGAGTGCAACTTGTTCTACAAGACACAAGTATTGTCACTTCAGAGAATCACCCAATCCATCTTCATGGATATGACTTCTACATTGTTGCAGAAGGATTTGGAAATTTTAATCCTCAAACTGATACCTCTAAATTCAACTTGGTTGATCCTCCTCTTAGAAACACTGTTGGAGTTCCTGTCAATGGATGGGCTGTCATCAGATTCGTGGCGGATAACCCAGGTAAAAGAAAAAAGAAAGAATCAATACAAAAGAAAAAGAAATGCTTAAATTATAAAATATTTTTAATTGAATGATCTTATTGATATTGTTATTTTTTTTATAGGGGTGTGGTTGATGCACTGTCACTTGGATGTTCATATAACTTGGGGCTTGGCTATGTCTTTCTTGGTAGAAAATGGGGTTGGACTACTGGAATCTATAGAGGCTCCTCCAGAAGATCTGCCTCCATGTTAAGATGAAGAATAGGAAATGCAAGGAATTATATAGTATAATTAAATAGGAATCCACTAGCCCAGCAATAAGTTTCTTTTTCTTTTTCTTTTTTTTGGGTTGTATTTCTAGTAAGTATTGCCTTTTCCCTGCATTTGGGGATAGCTCTTGCTCTGTTTCTTGGTTATTTTTGATAGATAAGAAGTGGGTTTCCAAATGATGGTGCTGTAGAGGTAACACTCAGCACCAATTATCATTTAGATTTTTACATAATCTCCATTTTCTTAACTCTGAATGTAATTCTTTCGATATAGCCAATGGTAAACAAAGAATTTCAGTTTTTTTAATCTCCTCTCTGTTTTAGATATTTTAGTTTTATTAAACCATATATATATGAAATCTACGAGGAGTGAAAGGTTTTGAGTTTGAGTTCGAGTTCGAGAAGGTTTTGAGTTTGAGTTTGAGTTCGAGTTCTCTCGAACGCAAGAGTTGATGGGTTAAAGTAAGGGTCATCGCTACTGTGCAACCGTGATGTTATTTTATGTAGATGTGATGTTAATTTTGTAGGTTGCCACTATATATTTGAGATTTTTTTTTTTGGGACAGTATATATTAGAGGAGTTGAAGTCAACAAGAGGATACATTGTCATTATCACAAGAAGAGCAGACAGCAAAAATGTCCTGATGTTGAAATGTATAGATTCTGCCTGTCCACCACTTCCCACCTTATGTCCCATTAATTCATTATTGTTAATAAGTAATTTTATTTTATTTTTTATTGTTTGTTTAATTACTTTAATTTCAAAAAATAAATTATAAGTCTTTATCTCATATGATAATCAATCATGAATAAAACATATGCATGCATTTACTTTGTCTCTTCTATAGGCTTAGTGTATCTTAGTCAGCACCAATTAGCCCCACTTAATGGTAGCTGTAACCAAATCCAAGAAATGATGTTGTTGGAAATTTGGAGTCGCACAATCTATTCGTTACTAAAAAAACCAGTTAAATACACATTATCGAAAAGAAAATAAAGAATTTATATAGCTGAATCCAAACTCTAAAATTAAATTAAAAGTTGGTTTAATATTTTTATATAAATTTTATGTATAAGATTAAGAATACAAAATTTATAATCGTCGCTTTACTTAAATATTAACATAATTTGAATGTGGAAACACGAGCGTTACGGCGTTACGTAATATTAATTTCATAAATTACATCACTTTTTGCTCAATTGCATACTCGATGTGATTGCTGATTTTGATGGCTAAATATTAAATTAATCGTATATGGCAGCTTAAGTTGGACTAGCTCCACGCATATGGGAATTTTTCTGGCTTAGCCACTAATAGTTGAAGTGGCTTCTATGTATTTTGGTTTTCTATTGTTGCATTTTTCACATTTTCAGGTTTAAAAGAATTGCATAATTTCCAATAGAGAAGATAACAATCAACAATCTTCCAAAATTAAAGCATAATTTGAAACTTATATATATATGTTTCATAAGCACTGAAGTGAAATTGTTTTTAATAAAATGTGAAAAGAAGTACACATTAGGTATACTTTGTAGATTATCGACGTGCTTATTGGAGGGACTGGTCTTTCTAGACGGTGATCAGTATTCAGTTCGAACTGAATTAAATTTAAAAAAATTAGTCATACAAAATCGAATTGAAATTCTAAAATAACATAAAAATCAAAATGAAATTTCAAAGAAATATAACAAAATGTAGATGTTATACAAAATTTGATTCGATTCGATTATTTTCAATACCAAAATTAAATTAAATTAAACTAACCGAAATTAATAAAACTCAAGTTGGTCTAGTTACGTGATGCATATATATATATCAACACCAAATTATTTGATTGCGATCTATCGATCATTACTGAATCGAATTATGACACGTAAATCTCTATTTTCTTTTTCTAAAAAATCCCATTACTAACAATTAAAAAAAAAAGTTGGGTCTTTCTTTTTACAGTTGCTTAATTTCATAAATGAATGATTTCTTTTTTCTGATAGTGTTGATGATGAAATGTTTGCTTGACATTATTGTTTCAATGAAAGCGTTAGTTCCCTGAGTGAAGGCCATTGATCTTGAATTTTAACTGCATATTTAACAACATTACCAGAAAAAGCTTAAAGCAATTCCAACCACTTCTCCAAAATGAAAGGTTATTAATTAATTTACAACTTAACTTTACTATAGAAAGGTTTTAGTTGGACATAAAAGAAGGGTTAGTTGTGTCTTTTTATGATATGGTTGGTGCAAATTTATTTCCTGAAATACTGAAAATTTACCATCATTTCTGATATATTTTCAGGGAAAATTTATACAACAACTAGTAGTTAGTTATAGAGACTAGACAGAGTACATTTGAAGCATTTTTCCCTAGCTATAGGTTCTTGGCCTAGCCATTCTTGTTTTGTTTTGTTTTGTTTTTTTTCCAATTTCATTTTGTATATTATATTTTTAATATAATATCTCTCAGGAAAAAATAAAATTGAAGTATATTCTATCGATAATTTCATATCTTGCAACTAAATTGGCTAAATATCTTTAGTGTTCTCTTGTGTTCGTAAAAAGATCAGCGAATAGAGTTTCCCGCTTTCTTGCAACTTAAGCATATTTCTTCTCCGATATTAGAGAGTGCACTCGTGTCAAAAAAAAAAAAAAAATTAACATTTAGAGTTATTCGCCACAACTACTAATTTCGCTTTTGCTTATTTATTTATTTATTTATTATTCTTCGGTTACTAAAATGTTTCATTTTGGTAAATTTTCTTGCCTGGTCATGGATTCAGTAGCAGTTTGAAAGATTGAACTTCTATGTATGAAATTCTTAATGTAATAATAATTCAGGTTTTAATTTCATTAGTTATGAAATTTGGAAATGTATTGGAAAACATGAATAAAAGAATAAACCAATTCAAGAAGTACATTTCCTTCAATGTCTCATCAAAAAGAAGTTAATTGGTAAAAAATTATTTTAATTTGAATGAGTAAAAAGAAAAAAGAAGATTGAGTGTGAAATATTTTAGACTCACACTTGCAAAAAATGCAAAAGATGGAATTAAAATTCTATAAGTTTGCACCCATTCATAACTACCAAAGAAAATGAAAACCAAGAAAATATTATTAAATTAAATAAAAAGAGAATTCAATTATTAATTAATTTTTAAATAAAATCTTCAAAAATATGAACTTTCTACTCTTCCATTAACCTTTCATTTTAAATTAAATTAAATTAAATTAAATTACCCTAATTAGACTTTTAATTAGTCACATTGCATTTTAAGATACTCAAAAGTCAATAACAAACTTTACCAAATTAAGTTACTTGTTCTTTCAATCTTGTTCACCTATCAAATTCCAGACAAGATTTATAAGAGATGATCTATATATATCAAGAATAATAGAATTATTTTAATGGAAATTACTGAAAAATTAATAATTAGAAGAATTAAGTAATGTAACGAAGATAAAATTAAAGAATTATATAATTAAGTTCTAAAATTAAGGATCTGCATTTAAATAAGTCGAGCATTAAATAATAATTTACTCGAAAAATAAATGTGTTTATTGACAAGTTAACTAATTAATACATTATTAATTTTCCAAAATTGTGTAATTAATTTTTTGTGAGTGACCCAACAAATCTCTTATACCTATTTATAAATAATGGAAAAGGACTTTTTGCACTCAATCCTTTTCTTTTGAACAGTCTCAGTCAAGCTGGACAATTGTAAATTGGTAGCCATTAATTCTAACGACTAATAAATATTACTTGTTCTAGGTTTATGTTTTTAAAGCTAGTTGATATAAATAATATTAACTGAAAAATAATACAGAAAATGATTTATTTTGTATAATATAACTCGATTTATTTATTTAATTTTATGCACGAACTCATTACCTCTAGATCACAAAATAACCTTTTTTTTCTAACACGATTTTATTTAATTATAATAATTGATTCTTCTATTTGCCGAATTTACCAAAGAGGTTAAAAATGTGTTAGAAGTCAAGTACTTTAAGCAAACGGTGTGAACAAGAAATTTTCAATGGGTGAGATGAAATGGTAGAGATCCCTTCTTCTTTAACCAAAAGTCTGGAGTTTGAGCCCCGATTATGAACTCCCTTTAAATATTCGAGAGAGAGTATTTTGCGCGTAAATCTAGATTAATTAGCCAATCGGGTGGTTAAAAAAAAAAATGTCAACAAGAAATACATATACACTACAAAACAAAATTTCAAGGTTTGACTTATTTTTCTGAGCTCAAATAATCAAAAAGTTGGACGCCTACATCACGATCTGTACATGAATTTTTTCCATAGAAACAGAAAAGGAAAGGGCAGAGTTTGACTATTACACGTTGGTCTTTCTTTTGGTATTTATTATAAATTAAAATAATAATTGTATTTTTTTATCATAAGCTAGGTAATTAAAAATTAAATTAAATAAATTTAGCTAGTAATGATGATTAATTAATTTGTTGAAATTGAACCAGAAAAAGAAAAGACTTACGAAGCAAGTGATGAGAAATTTAAATTCTTTTTTTTTATTATTATTATTTGATAATATATGCCAGTGGGTGCAACAACTCCGACAGAGTTGAACAAAGTTTTTTCCTTTGCAATCTCACTATTTCTCGTAAATCAAAACCTAATCTGCCAACCCTTAAACAACCTCTCTCTTTCTCTCCTTACACTCCTCCTATATAAACACCTTTTCTTTTTCATTTTCTCCAATGCCTTCCATTACCTTAATTAATTAGTAATCACTAAACCCTAAAGAAAAGAGAGAAACAAACAAAAATGGCAGTCATCGATCGGATATTTCCCAGTTCTTGCTTCTTTTTTGTTGCCATTTTGCTTCTTTTAGCTCCCACATTGTCATTAGCTAATCCAACAGTTCATCACCATGAGTTTGTTGTATGCATAATTTCTAGCTAATCAAGTTCTTATTTCTGTTTAATTTTTAATTAAGCCTAATTAAGATTTTTAATGAAACAGGTTCAAGCAACAAAAGTGAAGAGATTGTGCAAAACTCACAATACAATCACAGTAAATGGGATGTTTCCTGGACCAACTTTGGAACTGCATAATGGAGACAGTTTAGTTGTCAAAGTTGTCAACAAAGCAAGATATAATCTTACCATTCATTGGTAATGTACATATAAAAATTGAGTGTATCAAATTTTTTTTTTTCGGGTTAGAGAACGTAAATATTTTTTGCCCTCCTAGAAAAATCCGCTTCTTGGGATCGAATTTGTATTGTTACCTTTACAGGGATTGAAGTCACGTCCATCACATGCATACACAAATATAGCTAGCTGATTAACTTTTTGCATGCAATTAATTTGTTTTTTGATGATTAATTAGTGTAAAAACTTTGTTTTGTAGGCATGGTGTAAGGCAAATGAGGACAGGATGGGCAGATGGACCTGAATTTGTGACACAATGTCCAATTAGACCAGGAGGGAGTTACACTTACAGGTTTACTATTGAAGGGCAAGAAGGGACACTTTGGTGGCATGCTCATAGTTCTTGGCTTAGAGCTACTGTTTATGGTGCTCTAATTATATACCCTAAAGAAGGAACCTCATACCCTTTCCCTAAACCAAAAAGAGAAACACCAATCCTTCTTGGTAATTATAATTTATATCTCATTCTCTCATATATTAATGACATCCAAAACGAAATCTAATTAACTCCGTGACATCAAAGTCATTTTTAAAAGTAATTATGATATTATTATGATATTTTTAATTAAGATTATCGAACTAATAATGGTGATTTCGAATATTATTTATCAGGGGAATGGTGGGATGCAAACCCCATTGATGTAGTGAGAGAAGCAACTAGAACTGGAGCAGCTCCAAATATTTCTGATGCTTATACCATTAATGGTCAACCTGGTGACCTTTATAACTGCTCCAGCAAAGGTACATTTTTTGGTATTAACTTCTATAATTTCTTAATAATTAATTACTGTATTATTGATTAATGGGCCATATAAATGGTTATAGCCCAAAAACCTCTATCATGAGCCCATGACAATTTAGTGGGCCTGTACTTGTTGGGTAATGGCTCACCAACACTAATCACAAAAATGAAAATCTTTAACTGTAAATAACTGAAATTTGAATCTCCTATGGAAAATAAAGTCTCCGTTCTTCAAAGAAGATGATCTTGAAAATTCATCTATTTTGCAGACACTGTAATAGTTCCAATCGGCTCCGGCGAGACAAACCTTCTCCGAGTCATCAACGCTGCGCTCAATCAACCACTATTTTTCACCATTGCAAACCACAAATTCACAGTTGTTGGTGCTGATGCTTCATATCTGAAACCTTTCACTACATCAGTTATTATGCTAGGACCTGGTCAGACCACCGATGTTTTGATCTCCGGTGACCAGCCTCCGGCGAGATATTACCTGGCGGCACGTGCATATCAAAGTGCTCAAAATGCTCCATTTGATAATACTACAACGACTGCAATTCTTGAATACAACTCCGCTCCTTGCCCTGCTAAATGTCTAACAAGCAAACCAATTATGCCTCAGTTACCTGCCTATAATGACACAGCCACCGCCACCGCCTTTAGCCAGAGCCAAAAAAGTCTCCGGAAAGTTGAGGTCCCGACTAAAATTGACCATAGCCTATTTTTTACAGTTGGTCTAGGACTTAACAATTGCCCAAAAAATTTTAGAGCTAGAAGATGTCAAGGTCCTAATGGTACTCGCTTTACAGCAAGCATGAACAATGTGTCTTTTGTGTTTCCTTCAAGCTTTTCTTTACTACAAGCTTATAAGCAAAACATACCAGGAGTTTTCACAACAGATTTTCCGGCAAGGCCTCCGGTAAATTTCGATTTCACCGGAAATGTAAGCCGATCACTTTGGCAACCTGTTCCAGGCACAAAACTTTATAAATTGAAGTATGGAGAATCAGTACAGATTGTTTTACAGGACACAAGTATTGTTACACCTGAAAATCACCCAATTCATCTTCATGGATATGATTTCTATATTGTTGCTGAAGGATTTGGAAACTTCAATCCTAAAACTGATAGAGCTAAATTCAACCTTGTTGATCCACCAATGAGGAATACAGCTGCAGTACCTGTTAATGGATGGGCAGTTATTCGATTTGTCGCTGACAATCCAGGTGAAAACCTCAAAATCTCTGTTTCTCTTTTTGAAGAAAACACATATATCGGCGGTGTTGACATCAGCTTTTTAAATAATTTTTAGCATTTTGATGATTGAAATACTGATTTTATGTGTTTTAAAATTGATTTTTTTCGACATTAACAGGTGTCTGGTTAATGCATTGTCACTTGGATGTGCATATCACATGGGGATTGGCAATGGCTTTCATAGTGGAAGATGGAGTTGGAGAGTTGCAGAAACTAGAGTCTCCTCCTCTTGATTTGCCTATTTGTTAGGAACTAATTAAGATTGGTTTATAAAAAGAATGCTACCCATCAATAGAGGGTTTAGTTGCTATATATATTATATATAGTTTTTCAAAAACTATATTTTTTCCTATTGATAGTATTAATAATTTCAATGTCGGTTTTCCCTGCATTTGGGGACATAGTTTCTTGTTATTTTTATGTTTATTTTTTTTGGATAGGTTAATCAGAGATGAAAAGGCAGGTTTAGAAGAAGAGATGGTGTCTTGAAAAATTAGTTACCATCTCATTTTAAATACCTGTACTGTAAATTTCTTTGTTTCAATTGTTACTTGGAATAATACATTCTACTTTTTGAAAATTATTTTTCTCTACTGCTTTTGTATAAATAATTACAAATTGCCAAGTTATGCAATGAATCAATATATGATTCCACTAATATATATTCAGTATATACAAGGATTTAGGAGCTTAAATCAATCTCCAGTGATTTAAACTTATAGACAAAATTCTAAAAATAAGCATTTTTTTTGGCTTTTGGATTTCCAACTGAACATTTAATTGCTCAAAAATTACTGAATGAACTCTTGGTGAAAAATTTATAGTTAATATCTAGAAACTAGTCTACAATGTTGCAATGTTAACACTGACATCTTACTATCACAAAAATCTTCCAATGTAGTAGCAAACATATCTGCAATTACACCCAGCTCTGGGTATTCAGCCCACTCCATCATTTCTTTCTCAAACTGCATGTTAGTTGGATTTCTACCCACCATAACAAGGTCGTACACGCTGTCCAATGATCTAATCACATCCACCATTTCTATACTAGTTCTTGCTGCTACATCGCCATAAGCAACACGAGCATTATGAGCATTTTTTTCTCTGAATTCTTTAACTTGCTGATCATCAAGTTGCTTCCCAATTGTAGCAATGTAGTTGGTTTCTTCTGAATTGATTCTCAATAACGTAATTTTCACATCAGGATTGCTTGACATTCTTGTTGCCAATGCTAAAGCTTCGCGATCATCAGGACCTCCCAGAAAGAGAACAACAACATTTTAAGAGAAATTTATTGAATTCTTTTTACTGTGTAATCCTCTATCTAACAAGATCCCTACTGTGCAAGGAGCATTTGCTTGAAGTTGAACGTTAAAATCTCTGAATACATTGTTCTGTAAGCCATGATGGTTCGTGTAAAAAGGAACAAGAACGAAGAAACATGTTTATCCTCTGCAAGATTGCAAATGATGTTATGCATACCCTTGTAAGGGGCAACCATAGTAAATGGAATTATTGAGACGAAACCATTGGAATTCTTCGAATAATTCCTGAAAGCACGAAAAATGTGATGATCTGAATTATTGTCTTTCAGTCTCATCTTATGGCTAGTGTAACGAGTTAATAATGGAGCTGTTCGACCCACAATATCATCCACATTTACTACATAAGCACATGTAGAACTATTTGAACTCTTGCAACTAGATGCCTCCAGTAAATTTATAATGCCATGGACGTTATCCTCATTATGAATACAAGTAAGAATGCGTAATTCAACATCTTGAGGTATTGAATGAAGTGTTCTTAAGAATTTCATGCTAGAATCTGATTGGAAGAGTCTAACTTTAGGATCATAGAAGTAATGTATTAAAGGGCTGAAAAATGCGATGAAAGTAACGTTCAACAACACCATTACAGTAAAACAATCTGTACCGAAATTCTGCAGCAAGAGAATTAGAATGTAAATGAATATACATGATAGAAACAAAATTAGTGTTAATCAAATTGCATATATGTACTTACTAGAGTTATCTTCCATCCCTTGTAAACTATAAGGTCCATTATACCTTTGAAGTTCAAAATAATTCCCAGTAGAATAGCATTTTTGAATCTTATATTGAAATAGAGTGAAACAAACAAAGCCACCAAGAACTTCAATAAATAGTTACAACCGATTAGGAGAATAAAAATTCCAGCAGCCTTGACATTTTTTATTGAAGACACATCTGTTAGAAAACCAATCTGAACAAAGAATAAAGGCAAAAAAAGCTGTTTAAGGATCAATCCCAATTTCTCTACTATTGCAGAGCCTAAAGGCGGTCCTTCTGGTATGATTAATCCCATAAGAAATGCCATAGGAAGAAAGAATCCCCAAACTGAGTTAGCAATTAATACCATCACAAAAAGCAAAATGAATACCAACATCACATATTTTTCTTTTACAGGTTTTCCTGGTGGTGTTCTTTTGATAATCACTAACATTAATGGCCTCAAAATATATAATGTGATAAAAACTGGAGCATATGCAAGAACTACTGATAGAATTGAACTAAACCCATCTTTCGTTGTTAGAATGGTCATTGTCAATAAAAGAATATGACCAACTGATTCCATGATAACTCCACAGGCTAAAGCGAGTTGACCTAACTCGGTGGTTAGAAGGTTTAGTTGTTCCATGACATGAGCAATAACAGAGAAGAAAGTGTTTGATAAAGCACTACTCAAAATAAGAGGTGGGATTTCACCAACACATCCAGAGACTTGATCTTTTATCAGAGAATGAAAGAATAAGATCATCCCAAAAGGGACAATGTAGGTTGATAAACCGATAGTCCACGCAGCATTTGCAGTCTTTAATAACATAGTTGTATCTATTTTTATAGCCATAATGAATACGTATAAGACTGAGCTAAATAAAGCAAATGTATTAAGAACTCCCATTTCTTTTGCTGGAAAAATTGTTTCCATGTATGTCTTGTTACGGCCTAGCACAGAAGGTCCTAAAATAATGCCACTCTGCAACACAAAAATGTTCAAAATGCATTATTATGGCTATATCTTCAATACGATTTACTTATCTAAACCGAGTCTATAGTCTCACCTATGAACCAAACTAATAAAAACATTATTGAATACACTCGGGGAAAAAAAGATAAAATGAAAATATTTTTTAAATAAATAACCATGTAATAAAATTGCAGGTATAGAAAGAAAATTGGGTACCATATAGGAAAAACTTACCAAAATATAGCTCACAAATTTTGGTTGTTTCAAAGGCCTAAGAAGAACGAACAGTGTCTGTGATATAATGCATGACAAAATGATTTGAACCATAAATACCGGAAATATGAAATCAAGAGGATTATTTGCCTTGAAGAAAAACCCATAGTGTTGGGTTTCCTCTTGATAATCGATGCAAACCGTAGGGTAGATGATGGTTTCAGTTCCATGTTTAACACGAATTTCTCCTGTATTTTCGTACATTATACGATACTCGATCGATATAGCTAGAAAGAAAATAGACGTATCCGCGACTTCTCTCGAGTTCTTTATTTTCGTTTTATAAGTACTATATCTTATGAATAATAAGACATCAGGAATTGATTAGAGTAGTAAACGACCTTAATCCTAGAGAAATATGAACAGATGAGGATTAATGCGGCCTTGGTTCTGAAAAAGAGGTTAGGAGTTCAAAAGAACTCGTTCCCCTTTTAAAATTTTTGATGTATCAAGAGGGAAAAAAAAATTCTAGCAAAGGAGTTAATCTGAGATAGGATGCCAAAAAAGAAACAATATAGTGTTAGTTATAAAGGAAAGTTTAAGGAAATAGTGGCCGTTTTTATGGTTGGTAGCAGTTAGGCTTCTCAGGTGCAAATAAATGGTTGTAAACAAAATATTTGACAAGCTTTAAAAAGGAAATTTCAATAACTCAAAACAAATAGCTCGTTGGTAGTATTAGTTATCTATTTATTTCCAAGATTATTTTGCAATATCTTCTATTTTTTGCAAACTTTTTACTTTAATTGAGCAAGTCTAACCTTGTCACAAAATTATGATAATGTTTAATTATTTTGTATAACAATGAAATTAGTTGTAAAAAAAAAAAAAGAAATACTGAAATTACTACGTATTTCCTAATTAATTGCACTAATATATTCTCCTAATGTTATACTGAAATTACTATGTATTACTCCTTGAAATCACAAATGTAACAAATATTTTGGAACAAGTTATTTTTTTAAATGTGGTAAGTATCACGAAACAAATGTAGTATTAGTTAAATTTCAGATATATTAACCATTATATTAATAAATTATTAATACGCAATCTACATATATGAAAAATAATAGTAGAAAAAATTATTTTTGTGAAAAAAAAAAAAACAAATCAATATATGTATATAAAGCATGCATTTTTTTCCCAATAAGCTGACATGTGTCATTTCATAAATGAATGTTTTTTCATTACTCTTGTTACATAAGATTCTTGATGATGACACATATGACTCTTAAATTTTGATTGTGTCACATAGAATATAATTGTTAGTTATAGCGTTATAGAAATATTGACATTAATTAGCATTCAATTATCATAATTAATACATATTAATAAATAATTATAATTAATGAATGTTTTTTATTGAGCTCCTTGTTACATAAGATTCTTGATGATGACACATAGAACTCTTTTAAATTTTGAATTGTGTCCACTAGAATATAATTGTAGTTATACGCGTTATAGAAATATTGACATTAATTTAGCCATTCAATTATCATAATTAATACATTATTAATAAATAATTTATACATTATTATGATATTGTTACTTATCTTTCTTATCTTTCTAATTAAAATTACATAATATTAATTTTAATTGTCATTCAATTATCATATTAATATGTATTAAATAATTAAAATTATTATAATAAACTGATTTTTAATTAAAAATTACCATAATTTTTAATGTTGATTATCATATTCATAGGTGTTATAGCTTATATTAATATGTATTATAATTTATCTTTTCAATTAATATTATTACAATAATGATATTGAATATCATTACAATCAATCATACTTATCATTTATTATTATGAATGAAAATTTTATATTGAAAAGAATGATAGGGAAGGTTAACGGTGAAAATATTTATTAATATCTTTATTAACCAAACGTTTCAATATTTATTAATAGATCAATTTTTTTTTATAATTTCAATTTTCGACATTAATATATTTTTTCTCTTCTAATTTCTATTACTTTATCAAATTAGGAAAAGTTTGATAAATCATAAAAGAAGGCTATTTGTATAAAATTATCATTAAAAATGATATATATACACGTCTATTATTGAATTTTTATTGTGCGTTTTATTTTATTATTTTTAATGCCATCTAAGAAAATTTATTAATTAAAAATAAATTAAAATCAATGATTTTTAATATATATTTTCTTTTCTTTCAATTTGTAATAGACATTGATTTTTATATAATTAGTTTAATATTTTGTATTTAAAATAGATATTTTTTAATTTAAATAATTTTCAAGATATTTTAATTTAAATAATTTTCAACAAAATTACCTAGATATTTTTTAATTTAAATAATTTTCAACAAAATTAATAAATATGAAATTATAAATAATTTAAATAATGAATTTTTTTTACTAAATTATTTATTTTACTATGCATAAAATAGTCACGCTGGTAGTTAAGACAATAATTTTACACTTGCATTTAATGAGTAACCAAACCATTGCGTATAGATACTTTTTCTCTCTGCTGAGAAGTTGCTTAATTCCAAGGGGTGCTTTTTGATAGGTCATTGATAACGTAATTAAGGTAACATGCCAAGCACAGAAAGTACACTGACAGCTGCCACGAGATGATGACACATGTTTCACATGCACGGCTATGGTAGGCAGTGATAGATATGGATGGACGAAAGCAAACATCGGGAATTCGGGTCAAGGCGTCAAAGCTTGGAGCTCACCATAGCATGTGGGTACGTGGAAATTGGTTTTGGTGTCCACGTGGTGCTTTGTAATTTGGTAGGATTTTATTATAAAGTCTTCATTCATAATTCGTAATTCAAATAATTTTATAATTTTTTATATACTATATAGTTTTCTTTTTTGAGTATTACATACTATATGATTTTTTTCTTTTTTGGAATAAAAATACTATATGGTTAGGAATTAGAAGATGTGGAAGAAAGTGTACCATCATCTAGTAATGCCAGGCTTGACAAATTTAGAGCTGAGTAAATGGTTTAGTCAATTTGTTTAAATTGATTAATTTAATTTAATAATTCAATAATTGAATTTCAGTTGGATTAATAAATTTAGATTTATTTATTGGTCAATTATTATTCAGTTAATAATTAAATAATCAAATAATAAAATGGCATTATTTTGACACTTAGAAATAATCAAATAATAAAATGGCCATTATATAGTTAATTTGATTTTAAAAATAACTTAAATGATTTCATCATTTCTACAAATTGAAGTTTCCTTAAAAATGACTAATTCTTCCCAAATCAGAAAAATATTTTTGTTTGATTGATTTTTTTTAGCACTCAAACATCAAAGAATCTATAAAATATTTCTAGATAAATTATTTTCAAAAATAAATTAAATAATAATAATAATTATTATAATAGTAGAAGAGTGTATCTTTAGCTTGAAGATTAATAAAAATTTTTACAAATAGATAAATTTTTTATGGTTTATTGAAATTTCGATTTAGTTAAATATGGCATCTAAAATTAATATAAATTATTTGAAGTTCATAATTCTTTTTTTTTAATAAATTGAATAGCATTATGAGATATATAACAGTCTTTTTAATTAAAAAATTAGAGACTTTTCTAATTGAAAAACTCGAATTTAAAACTTTTTACTCTTCCTATAAGTGAAAAAATTTATCAAACCCACATTGATCGGCAATTAGTTGTGAATTTTTTACTAAAAAAAATGGACATTTAGTTTGAAATATTTCAATTAAGAATGGTAATTTAATTATTATTTTGAGAAAGAGATTAGAGGCTTGAATGAACCATCTACCAGTTAATTTGAAGGTGTACCCAAGCCGATTACAATTAGGCCCTAGAGTTCAACTAAATTGGATGGTTGGCCCATACTAACTCTACGACTCTACCTTTTTAAGTCCTAGGGGTGATCAAATGACGTGATCTCAGGTTCGATTTGAATAGAGTGAATAAAATCTGATCCAAATAATAGTGGATCAGATATAAAATTTTAAAATAAAATCCGTGAGGATATAGATCAGATACGGATATATCATAATTCGATCGAAATTCATTCTGTGAAATGTAATTTATTTTTTTTTTATATTTCTAAAATTATTGATTATAATTCTAGACTACAATTCCTCTATTCTTTTCTTCCTTCCTTCTTTTTCATTTATATATATTTTAAATCATTATTTCAAACTATTTCTCCATTTTCACATTTTTTTTTATTCTATACTTTAAACAAAAGAATATAAGTCAACATTATGACCACTAGCATGATTTTTTTACACTTAATAATTCTTAAAGTATCTTCTAATTGTTTGATATAATATTTCAATTATTATTAAGAATTTTTATATTTTCAAGCACAATAAATAATATGAATTTTTATTAAATAATTATTTTATTTTTATTTTTATTTTTATTTTAAACATAATAAAAACGCGGAGCGGATATGTCTTCGCGGATTGGATATGGATTTTGCATAATTCGATCCGAGTCCAATTCATGATCATCCCTATTAAGTCTAATTTAGATTTTGGTATTTTTTTTTCATATTAATACACAATCCCACACCTAAGTTTTTTATTTTTATTTTTGTTTTTATCTTTTTTTTATTAGAGAATAGAAATTCGAACCTGAATCTATTATCATAACCTATATACACTTAGCAATTGACTATATTTTAGCATGCATGTAAATTTAATACTACAAAATCTCATACATAAATTTGATTTATGGATCATAGTAATGCAATTTACTTATGCTAATTTTTTCTTATCTAATATCATTGAAATTTTCTGTGAAAAAGTTTTCTTTATATATTTATCGAAAAATGGTAAAAGAAAAATATAATAAAATTTACTAAGTCGTGTTTTAGATTTTATGTTCTAGATTTTACTCATACGAAGAGAGTGAAATTTCAAATTCAATTTCATCAATTATAAAAATTTTCACAATTCCATTTGCTATTTGCTGAGTTATATGAGAGGTACCTTGTATTATTTCTCAAAAATTCTCGATGTATATAAAAAAATAATAATAAAGTATTTAAATTTAAAATAAAAAGTAAAACAAAAATAAAAGACAGCTCAAGAAGATAAGATAAGTACAAAAGTATTACTATGTGATTATATTTTCAGGGGCAAAAATGAGATTTCTTGGAAAGAGGCAACGCCGAGTAAGTAAATTAGAAATTTGATTTTGTGGTATGCCTCTGCTGGCTCGGGAACCTTCGAGCGAAACTTGTCCCTTATTAACGGACAAAAAAACGCCACGAGTGACGTCTCGTCTCGACCAGATATCGCCACGTCATCACTATCAGTTTTACCAGTAAAAAATCAGAAATATCTAGAGAAGGCTATAAATATCTGTCTTCCCTCTCGCTCGAAAAGATTTCTGGATTCGTCAAGCTATTTCGACTTCAACAATCTAGAACAAGCACACCAAAGAAAAAAAAAAACACACAAGCACCATTGCAAAACGCACAAGAAGCAAGAAGCGCTCAACGCAAAACGCACAAGAAGCAAGAAGCACCAACACAAAGCACACAAAGCAGAGAAAACATTTTCTTTAAGCCTATTTACAGGTTAGTTGGTTACTCTCTGGTTTCTGCCTTTTTTTTTATATTATTGTTATTTCTGTTCTTCGATGGCTTTTAATTGTTCCTTTTTATATTAATTGAATTAGGCAAAGTGGGTAATGATTTTTCGGGAACTATAATTGAATTTTTAATTTTTTCTGGTGTTTGGTTTTCGGGGTTTTCTTTTTTCTTTGAATTAGGGTTTTCTTCGAGCTAACAGAAATCGAGTTTTCGGGGAACCGAAAATGAATTTTGGGTGGTTGTAATTTTTTTTTTCAAGTTTTTCTCTTGTAAGCTTCAATTTTCTGCCACGGCCAGTTTTCTGGTTCAACTTTGACTCTATTTTGTTTTTCTTCTCTGTTTGGTCACAGAGAAAATTTTACCCTCCTGTTTGGATCCTAGATTTATAATTACTTGAGGTCTAAGGAAACATTTATTGTTTAGGATATGTTTTTACGATTTTGTCGTTTTAATATCCGTTACAGCATATCACGATCTTTCCGTTTTCTATATATTTTACTGCTTGCGACGTAAGAAAAAAAATTCTAAACAAGCTAAGGGTAAGTAAGGGGAAAAAAAAGAACTTGGCTGGCAAGTAAGGTTTTGTCCTGATACAATTAGGATAAGGAGTTCTATTTTCTGTTTGCTATATATATAGCAGCCATATGCGCATATACTTTTGGTTTGTTGAATTCGTCGTTGAGAAAGAATTGAAATTTGCCAATTTGACTCTGTTTCTCTGTTGGGATTTTAGTGCTGATTTTGTTTTTCGGTTATTATATTGCAGATTCTGTTTTAATTTCTGGTTAAATATAAACTTGGTGAAGATGGGTCAAGGTTATAACGTGAGTTCTATGCCCATGGAGCATACAAGGAAAAGGAGGAGAAGGGATAGCACTTGCTCTGTTGCTGAAACCATTCAAAAGTGGAAAGAATATAATGAATTTCTTGATTCTTGTCCTAATGGTGATAAACCGGTTAGAAAAATTCCTGCTAAAGGTTCAAGAAAAGGATGTATGAGAGGTAAAGGAGGGCCTGATAACTCAAGGTGTAATTATAGAGGCGTTAGACAAAGAACATGGGGAAAGTGGGTTGCAGAGATTAGAGAACCAAACAGAGGGCCTAGGCTTTGGCTTGGTACTTTCCCAACTGCATATGATGCTGCTCTTGCTTATGATGAAGCTGCGAAAGCCATGTATGGTAATTTGGCGCGGCTTAATTTTCCTGAATTATCAAATTCAACTAGCTCTTCGAAAGACTACATGTCCTCTACAACCCCATCAGGCTATTCTTCGGTAGCTACTCCTGCTGGTTCTGATTCTACTACTACATCAAATCATTCTGAGGTTTGTGCTTTTGACGACACTAAAGAGCATGTTGTGAAAATTGAGAATGGTGAAGGTGAATCGAAAATCAAACCCGAGTATCCGGCTGTAACTGATCTCGTGTCACCAAGATGTACACCAAAACAAGAAGTGAAGAATGAGGAAGATGATGCTAAGATACCTGAGACTAAAGTGCCAATGAAAGATGATCATAAAATACCTGAGATTGAAGTGGCTGTGAAAGATGATCTCCAACATGAAAGCAAAGATGATGGGACACTAAATATTGAAGATTATGGATGGCCTAACGGACTTGAGGGAGCAGATTTCTGGAAAAATTTCACTGTTGATGAGATGTTTAGTGTGGACGAATTGCTGGGGGCAATAGACAAGAATCCACTCGATCTGGATGGTCAGATGTTATCCACAGATAATAGTGATTTGCAGAATGATGTAGTAACACCACCATTGGATTTATCATTTCAGTTGCATAGTCCATATTCAAAGTTTAATGGCAACGGCAATGGCGACTATGGTTTTGATTTCTTGGAGCCTGGTAGGCAAGAAGACAACAATATTCCATTGGATGATCAAGGTTTCTTCAGTTTAGGAGGCTTTGAGACCTAAAAAATCACACTGTTTATGATGTGGAGATGGAAGGATTAGAGTAGCTTGCTGGTGTGTAGACATATGTTCTTTTCACTTAATTAATCACTTTGTTTTTGAGAAACTGACAAACATACTGACAGCCGATTCTCTAGAGTTTTTTAGGTTAGAGAAATTGGCCATGTAACTGTAGTTCTTTTGGCAATCCAACCTTGAGGCAGAGTTGGATGGCTGGTAGTTCATGCTCTGCAGATTGAATTGTTCTGGTCTGTGAGATGGGATTCTTTTTGTAATCATGATTAAAATAGTAGTAGTAATAGCGGTCAAACCTTTTTAAAAATCAGATTTTGAGTATGGTTCTAATTTTTTTATTGTTTGTAATCTCTGTTACTCATCTTATGTGAATATACAAGTATTTGCCTAAATTTTATTTTTGATGGTTTTCTGCTATGTGTCTCAGTGATGTTGCCTCTTTCTAAGAGTTAGGCTTGTAATGCCAATGTGCTTGCAATCATTTTCATTGCAAGTTGTATGAGAAAATGAATTCTTAAAGCTTTGTCCAAGAACAATCATGAAGCCCTATGGCTGCCAACCCAATTCATATCTGTATTCGGATTTTATCTTTAATAATATGATACGTTTGGATTGAAACAAATGAATCATGAGCATGAAGAAATTCAAATCGTTAATAGAGTGAATCGAAACGAATTGATTTTTTTTTTTTCAATCGAAAATTCGACCCGACAATAAAATAGATTAGGTTGAATTTTCATTCTCCAATTTTCATTCAATTATTAAATTGAATTTTAAGGTTTTTTAGATTCCTTTCCTTTCTCGTTAATAAATATTTTATTTTGCTTCTCATTCAGAATTCATTTTCTAAATTAATAAAAAAATATTTTTCTTAATTTTAATACAAAAAAATAAAAAATGATCACTTTCTTAATTTATTATCATATTGTCTATTAAAATACATTGATAAATTTTTTATATGTTAGTAAATGCTCTCAATTTTATCAAAAAGCTTAAAATGATCAACAGAAACTGTTGGCGTAAAAAAAAAAAAAGAAGTGATTTATTTTGCTCATTTTCAGAGCCATTTAAAACTGTTGGGAAAAAAAAAAAAAAAAAAAAAATCAATTTTGAAGTATAAGCACAACCAAATCAAATTGGTTTGGTTATTTTGTTAAATTTAGAAAATAAACCAAAAATATGCCTAAAATCAAAAAATAAATTCAAACCGATAAAAATCAGACCAGTTTAATTTATCTCGATTTTCGATTCGTTTTAATAAAAGTGAGATAGGGATTCAATTTATGTATTTGGTTCAATTCAAAATCGAACCAATCACACCCCTTTCTGCCGGCTAAATATGGACATTTTGATTTTGGTCGTATTGATTAAATGTAATGCTGTTTTTGGGACTTAATTCCAAATTAGGCAAGAAAATTAATATACATAAAAGGGTTCCATTTGTGCATTAAAGCATTAAATTGTGCACTAAAATATGAAAATCATTAAACCCATTTCTCACACAGTGTATTAAGGTGAAAAAATGCATTAAATAACTTAATTATGTAAATTCACAATTCAAGAAAGATACACAAGCCAATAATTAGCTAAGTAAATTTGCAAATTCAGAATTGAATGATTTGATTTTTCTTGTAACTGATTTGACCCATCAACAAAATGTCAGCCAGTTGTAATTCTATTCTTTTTTTTTTTACCCGCTGTAAATTATTACCGCTGCATCTATCCTTAAAAATAACTCATCTTGTGTTGATTGTAATTTGTAATCCCTTTATTTATGAAAATTTATATTTTTTTTCCTTAAAAAAGTTATTTAATTCATCTAATTTTTAATAAATTATTAAATAAATTGATTATATTATTTTTATTTTCAATAAAAAAAGAGATTTTGAGAAACGTAACAATTAACTTTCTGAAAGGGTAAAATGAAAAAAAAAAAAATCACCGATGCGACACTTATTTATAAATATGATATTTTTATAAATGCGACACTTATTTGTGGACGAATAACGTAAGATAAAAGGTAATTTAGTTAAATTAATAAACTTTTTATTATAATTTAGAGAAATTAATTATTTTCTTAATTCTTGTGTAAAATTTTAAAAAATTTATAGTTATAGATTGAGAGAATATAAATAAAAATATTCAATTGGTATAATTTTATAAATTAAAATATTTAATAGAAGAAAATAAAAATTGATTATGGGCAGTGAATTTATGGATTTGGTTCTTGAATATTGAACATGATTTATTATTAGGAACTTTTGCCCTATTTGGCAATTTCTTGGCCAGAACATGGGCCAAAAATGCCAGTCCTCTGTTTCCATCAGCACTATAGAAAAAAAAATTAATATAAGTTTTTTTTAAAAAATTCAAAGCATAAAAGTCAAAATAGACAGTGACAAGAAATAACAATATTTTTCATTTGAAAATTTGAAAAAGATGCTGAAATGTTTTTTCTTTTTAACTAAAAAGCCTTAAAAACCTGCTTAACCTACTCAAACAGATGATCAACCTTTCATCTCAAAAAAATAAAAAAATAAAAAAATAAATAAAAAATTAAAATTTTACTTCCAAAATTGCCCTTGCCTTCTCCATTTATTTACACATCTTGCCCTGTTACTGTGTTGGACATAGACTAGACTGCTACTTAAACAGACTGGCTGACCAAACCAAATACTGGTCTATGAATTAAGTCTTAGCTCATGCAACTGCACGCACCCCAAGATTCTCAGACCACTTATAGAATTGCCCGCTACTCTGTCTCTGTCTCACACTCTCTTTTTGAGTGAGAACTCATTTTCCCAGGTTCACTGCATTTCTTTCTTTAATGGAGTCACTTTGCCTCTCTTGATGGTAATCTTGCCGGAATTTGGCTATTTCTGATCAAAGTCACCTGAATTTAGTTTTCTTTCAAATACCCAGAAATTCTTTTCAGGTATACTTTGCTCTGATGCTGTGTTCTTCTTCTTTATTTCTTTATTTTTTATTTTTTGCAGATTTTTTTTTCCTTTTATGCCATGCATTTTGTTAGGCTTTACAAGACAGGTTGTGTGTGGTTTCCTTTCTGATATAAAGAAATAGCAGTTTGATTCTTTTAACTTCAGTTTTAATAGATTTTTATTTTGTTGTTTGGGTTTGATCAGTGTTGGCTTTTGTGGTGGCTAAATGTTTTTTGCCATTTGAAGTGAGGTTGTTTTATTTTATTTTTTTGCAAATCCAATGTGGTTTGGTTTGCATGTGAAAATCTAATGCCTTAACAGTCATTCATGATAAGGACTCTCTCACTCTTTGCCAATAATTTCATTTCTCATTTGGGTAAAAAAGGTAGGAATTATTACTACAGAGCTACAGTTTCAAGCCAAAAAGAGAGGTTTCTAAACACTTTTTGCTAATCATGGCCTATGTTTTGCACTGAAAATTAATTTTTTCCCCCTTTCTTAAGGATCTATAAAGGATGATCATGGTTAGCCTTATCATCAATATTAAAAATGACAACTATAGTTCTTTTTCCCCCTTATTTTCTGATTGGCCGCCAAGAAAATTAAGGGATAAAAAGTGTGTAGACATCATATCATTAAGCTGTATTTTCTTTTCGTATGTAATAATGGTTTGGAATATATCTTCTGGGATTTTGTAGTCATTCTTGAAAATAAAAAAGAAAAGCTACATTCTTTTATTCTTGTCTCACCATTTACAGAATCTATGAATTTTTCTTAAAAAAAATATATAATCTTTGGATTATCCCTTTTCTTATAAAATTGACATGTCCCCAATTGGGTAGTCATCCAGTAATGAGTGACTTATATTTGTTATATATGGCTGAATTTGCAGTTTTCTGAACAACAATGAAGAGAAAGCGCTTACATGAATCCAAGCATCCATTGAACCCGCACCGTAAGCATCTCTTCTTCTCTACTTCTTTTTGTGGTTTTTCTTGTTATCTGTTATTTATTTTTTTAATCTATTTTCTCTTCTAATTATTGTTTTGAAGTGAAACCCCATTATATTTTCATAAGCTTTTGTTATTTCCAACTGATGGATAGTGGTACTTGGCATAAAATTCACTTTGATCCGCATGTAAGTCTTGTTGTGCTTGAACACAACTTATGGAATTCATTTATACCAAACAAGGATTTAGAATGATTTATTGCTATGTTACTTAAGTTGTAGGAAACTGAATTGAAGCTACTTCTAATTTTTTGATTGTGTAAGGTAAATGATTTCATTTTCACATGACTCTAGAATGTCTTAATTATTTCATGCATAACTCTATATGATTGTGTTGTCATTGAAAATGTTCTGAGTATTGCCATGCTAATACTCTTATCTCACAGCTTTTGAGGCCTTACATGGCGGCTCATGGCAGAGTGTGGATCGTATAGAGATTAGAAATGGATCTATGACCATTCATTTTGCAAATATTAATCATGTGATTGAGGAGAAGGGACCAATCTCGAACATCCGCGTAAAGTCAAGGCAAGCAACGACATCTGATTGTACCTGCGTTCTGAGGCCTGGCATTGATGTTTGTGTTCTTTCATCAACTGAAAATGCTGAAAATTCAGAGGTAATAGCATTCAGAACTTGCAAATTTACCTTATCCACAAAAATTTTGATACTCTTGTCTTTTACCAAAAAGCCAAGCAATGTTGTTCATTGAAAATACTGCAACAGTTACTCCCATGGATTCAATTTTATGGAATCCAGCATAACTAAACAAAATTTTATCATTTATGAATGAATTCTACACTTTCAAATTCATTTAAACCAAAGAAAGAGTTACTTTCCATGTGAAGTTGTAACTTGCATATTTAAGGTTGATTTCTAGATTCCTTTTATTGTATAGGTGTGGTCTGATGCTAGAATAAATTCTATAGAGAGGAAGCCTCATGAATCTCAATGCGAATGCCAGTTTTTTGTCAAGCGCTATGTTAACCAAGGTCCTCTTGGATCAGAGAAAGGAACTCTTAGCAAAGATATTGAAAAAGTAGGAATAGACCAAATTTGCATACTTCAAAGGGTTGACAAAATTCCTTGTGAAGGTCAGTTCTACCGTTGGGATTTCTCAGAAGACTGTTCTTGTGTACAAAGAACTAAATTGTTTATAGGAAAGTTTTGCTCTGACCTTGCATGGCTAATTGTGGCGTCTGTTCTGAAACAACTATCATTTGATGTGAGATCAGTTCAAAATAAAATTGTGTATCAAATTTTGGATTGTGATGATGGATGCTCAATAAAACCTAATCGTTTGAATTCTGTAAATTTCAAAGTTGACAATAATATTTTAACACCAGTTGTGCATCAATTCACTCCTGATAATATTGATGCTAGTGAGGCTGGTCCTGCTTCTGATGTGCATAAGGTTGATAAAGATGAACTATCTCCAGTTTATAATGTTAACAACTTGCGGCGGTCTAAACGTCGAAATGTCCAACCCGACCGCTTCCTTGGCTGTGATGTTCGTCCGGAGGAAGATGTTGGTTGGGTTCGAACCATGCCTTATAAGCCAGACAAATGGAAGGAAGATGAAATGTCCTTACCGCTGTCATTACTGTTTGGCCCAATTACAAATTCTTCCACAGAGCAAACTGAGGGAGAAATGGGAGTACTATCTTCTGGATTAGAACCTATTGAAAACCTCCCTCTTTCCAAGTTCAAGACTAAACCAAGAAAGGTAAAATCCGTTGTGGTTAACCAAAAAGAAAATGAAAATGAACTGGCAATTGTTCCTGTGCCCACTGAGAGTGATCTGGTAGCCTTTGAAGAGGCCAATTCCAATGAGAAGACTCCTGCATATCACTCACGAGAGACCAGTGATATCTCATTTGGTTATTATGGTACAAAAAGTTCTCCAGCTATTCGAAAGAAAAATTCTTCTGAATTTGATGATATAGTATTTGAGAGTAAATGGAAAGGAAGAGCACCTATTAGAAATGTTCAAACTGGGAGGCACCGTCCTTTGCATTCAAAGAGGGATGATCATGGTGAGCCACTGACATATAAGAGGACAACTTTAAGTGCAGGTGCATATAATAAGCTCATAAAATCTTATATGAAGAACATTGATTCAACAATGATGTCAAATGAGGAGCCACATATCGTTGACCAGTGGGAACAATTTAAAGCGAAAACTTGCACAGGCCAAAGTGAGAAAATGGAACCACCAGCAACTGAGGATGATGGAGAAACCTCTGAAACTGAAATGTTGTGGAGAGAAATGGAACTATCTTTGGCATCGGCTTACCTTCTTGAAGAAAATGAGGTAATATTTGTTAAAATTTTATCTGCCTTTGATTCTTTTTTATCTCAGGTATATTATTCATGGATTGCTTCTCTCTTGTCCCCTGCCTCCCTCTCCTTTACCCTTCCTAACTTTACATTTGTGCATATATTTATGTAGGTACATCCATATGTATGGTACTTTTCTTCTTTATCTCTAATTCAGCTTGGTATAAGGATTCTCAGGTTCGAGTTTCCAATGAGACTATGCAAAACTCAACTGAGAATTGCCGGCACGCATTCAAAATGGATGAAGAAATTGGGATTTTATGCTGCATATGTGGCTTTGTTAGCACTGAAGTAAAATATGTTACGGCACCATTTGTAAGTTAAACCATGAATTCAAATACTTCTACTGTACTTAATAACTTTCTCACTTTTTAGTGGCGAGATTCGAACTTTATTTGCAATGATCGATAATTTACAAAGAAACTTGTAGAATGTTCTTTATAACTGTAATTTTTCACAAAACTTTGCTTTGCTGTAGTGTTAGTCATTTGCACTGGTCTTTGCCCATGGTCTCCTACTAGTGACCTTCAACCATTTTTTTCTTTTCATTTTTGTAGATGGAATATGTAGGCTGGACTGCAGAAAATAGGCCATGGAATGTAGAAGATTCTGATGGTAAGCCAGGTGAAGAAGATGGCTTAAATTTTTTTAGAAATTATGTTTCAAGTGAAGAGATGTCTTTATCAGAAGAAAATGATAACGTGTGGGCCTTAATACCTGAGCTGAGAAAGAAACTGCACTTGCATCAGAAAAAAGCTTTTGAGTTCTTGTGGAAAAATGTTGCTGGCTCTCTAACTCCAGCTAATATGGAGAAATCATCCAAGAAGATAGGTGGCTGTGTTGTCTCTCATACTCCTGGAGCTGGAAAAACTTTTCTCATTATTGCTTTTCTTGTTAGCTACCTGAAGTTGTTTCCTGGAAAACGGCCTTTGGTCCTTGCCCCAAAAACAACACTCTATACCTGGTACAAGGAATTTATCAAGTGGCAAATTCCTATCCCGGTTCATCTAATCCATGGTCGAAGGACATATAGAGTCTTCAGGCAGAAGACAGTGGCAATTCGAGGAGCTCCAAAACCCAGCCATGATGTTATGCATGTTTTGGATTGCTTGGAGAAAATTCAGAAATGGCATGCACAACCAAGTGTCCTTGTCATGGGTTATACCTCATTTCTGACATTAATGAGAGAAGATTCAAAGTTTGCTCACAGAAAATATATGGCTAAAGTGTTGCGTGAAAGTCCAGGACTTCTAATACTTGATGAAGGGCATAACCCCAGAAGTACTAAATCAAGGTTAAGGAAGGTTTTGATGAAAGTGGAAACTGATCTCAGAATCTTGCTTTCAGGTACTTTGTTTCAGAATAATTTTTGTGAATATTTCAACACTTTGTGTCTGGCTAGGCCAAAGTTCATCAGAGAGGTTTTGAGGGCATTAGACCCAAAGTTCAAGAGAAAAAAGAAATTGGCGGAAAAAGCTCGCCATTTGTTAGAATCACGAGCAAGAAAATTCTTTTTAGATAATATTGCAAGGAAAATTGATTCAGATATAGCAGAAGAAAGAATGCAAGGTCTAAATGAGCTGAGAAAAATCACAAGTGGTTTTATTGATGTCTATGAAGGTGGACCTTCTGATAACCTTCCAGGTTTACAGATTTATACCATATTGATGAATTCAACAGATATACAACATGAGATGTTGGTGAAACTCCACAAGATTATGGCTACATACAATGGGTATCCTCTAGAACTAGAGCTTTTGATCACGCTTGCCGCAATACATCCTTGGCTGGTTAAAACGTCTAATTGTGTTAACAAGTTTTTTACTTGGGAGGAACTAGTGGAGCTTGAGAAGCTGAAATATGATTTCAAGAAAGGTTCCAAAGTGATGTTTGTCTTGAATCTCGTGTATCGGATAGTCAGGAAGGAGAAAGTTCTGATCTTCTGCCATAACATTGCCCCTATTAATTTATTTGTTGAATTGTTTGAGAATGTCTTTAGGTGGCAGAAGGGTAGAGAAATTATGGTCCTTACCGGGGATCTCGAGCTATTCGAACGAGGAAGAGTGATGGATAAATTCGAGGAACCTGGTGGCCCATCAAGGGTACTTCTTGCATCGATTACAGCTTGTGCTGAAGGCATTAGTTTGACAGCAGCTTCGCGGGTAATTATGCTGGACTCAGAGTGGAATCCTTCCAAAACAAAGCAGGCTATTGCAAGAGCCTTCCGACCTGGTCAACAAAAGGTGGTGTATGTATATCAGCTACTAGCAACTGGTACACTTGAAGAAGATAAGTATAGAAGAACAACATGGAAGGAGTGGGTATCTAGCATGATATTCAGTGAGGCATTTGTGGAGGACCCTTCACGCTGGCAAGCAGAAAAGATTGAAGATGATGTCTTACGAGAGATGGTGGAGGAGGACCGAGTTAAGTCGTTCCATATGATAATGAAAAATGAGAAAGCTTCAACTGGATGATCAAAGGCGAGCCTTGCTATAATAATGTAAAATGTAAGGAACTGTACTATGTCATTGCAATTTTCTTTCAGTCTTATCATTAGTTTTTAGTTTATTCTCATGTTGTATTTCCTTTTTTCTTTTGCAGGAGTTAAAAAGCTGCTTAGGCTTGCTGGATACTGGAAGCCTTGAATAATTGCAGAAATGTAGCTAAAATATCATAAGAATGTGCTGAATGAAGCCAAACCTTTGGAGTAAGCTCTCTGTCCAGCTCTTCAGTTTTCTTAACAATTTTCATTCTCAGCATCTAAATATCTTAAATATAGGTGAATCAACTGCTTGTTTTTCCTTATTTCTGAATGCTCTTTATTTATATATTATTCATTGTCATTTACTTTAAGAAAAACTTATCAAAAAGTCTTATTTATTGGAAAGAACAAAGTAAATGACATTTTGGCTTGAGATGCTGAATATTTTGATTTCCAATTCATTCTCAGGTGTGTTATAAAACTGTATATTTCCTGATAGAATATAGGATCTTTCTGGAATAATGTTCAGAAAGTTCTGGAATGGATTTGTGCTGCCATGAGAATGTAGGATCTCTCTTTTCTTTTCTCTCCATTTTGAAATGGTTGCTATTATTTCTTTTTCTGCTTTTATGTGAAGCTTATTTATTTTATTTTGAAAGGGTTACTAGAATTAATTGCTTTTTGTGCTGGCTGTTTATCCCGCATAATGCGGCACATTAATCTCAGTACAACGCAGCTCCTTGCTAGAAATTTCAAAGTTGGGCATAGATTATTACCAATATAATGATGCCATGTCAGGCAGAATAGCTGAGTTGCTACAATTAATATTTCCTTATAGATTGGTAGATTTTTATTTTTTATTTTTGTAAAAGGCTTATGAGCCTCTTTCTCTTTTTCTATCAAAAGACAATATTTATTAAACATCAATATTCATGTTTTTGTATTTTCCAAATGCTCTTGAAGTTTACAGATACAAACACAAGTTGTGTACTCTTTATATGCTTTTAGAGAATCAATTTGAAGTCTATGCCTTAACAAAAATAAACATCGATTAACTTTTATATAAATTACTGGATGGACTTTCTTCTCGAGTCTAATATATTAAGGAAATCAGAATTAGTCTCTCTCTCTGAGGAGACAGTATATTTAGAACTTTTAGTTTCATTTGTAAGATGTCTCAGGTTCGATCACTAGAAATGGAAATTTTTGAGATAGGGAGTTACGAGTTCTGCTTTTTCTTTTGGGAGGGATAGATTGATTTTCTTTTACATGATTACATTCAAATTGCCTCAAGCACCTATACTATGTGTGCTGTACTAGAACCAAAAAACTTTGGCTTTCAGTACCAATAAGATGACATGAAGCCATTGGAATAATAGTGGAGTATTTGTCTCATATTACACGAGGTTAGCGATTTAAACCCTTACATCCTTTTCTCCTTCCCTTTTATAGTTTTCCCATATATACCGGTAAACAATAAATTGACTTGAAAATCTGCAGCAGATAGCAAATCTAACCTATGTTCCGCAGCTGCTAGTAGCTAAGTTTGGTGATATCATTACCGTTATGCGGGATTTTTTTTTCATGTAAGAAAGGTATTTTCTTTAACAAGGAGAATCCAAAATGGTTAGTATTATTTTAGTTATACATTTGTGAATGTTCTAAGATCTAAAGACAGAGAAGGGGAAAAATCAAATGTAAATAGGCATAGAGAGGACAAATGTGTGCGCATCAATAGGATTAGGAGTTATAAATCCATTTCCCTGCATAACTTTTGACAATTTTTTTCTTTACATATTCAAAAAGGCTTCTACCACTACTAACCTATAAACGAAGTTTAGCAGTGGTTGTTAGGTACCCAAAACTATGGGCTAATGCTTGAAAACTAGAATATCTCCATCAAGTTGTAAAAACTAAAAACTTGTTACTGTGGGACCTTCAGAGATGCCCTCCACCTTGTACTGTATATATGTGTGTTTGTGTGTATTATATATATATATATATATTTTGGGATAAAGCTCACACTTTGATAGGAAGATTTCTACTCTTAGAACCTTCTAAATGAAACTAACCAACCATATCAAGTTGGCAAAACTCAAATAAAGATTGCCACTTGAATGAGAATACATAAAATAAGAACATAACTAGTATTTTACGGACCAATATATCCATCTTTCTCACTGGTCAACTTGGCCTTTATTTATATATTAGGTTATATTGTTATTGAAAAAAGTGTTGATTCTTGTATAAATAGCTAACTTTTATTTAATCTCTCTTTACTGGTTTAACTATATATATATATATATTATATATAATATAGGTTGAATTCTTTATTTTGTTCATTCCGTGTGGATAAATGTTTCTGCTGCTACATACAATGAATGGTATTCTCGGCATTTATTAACTTTTATTTGATCTCTTTTACTGGTTTATATATATATATATATAGGTTGAATTCTTTATTTTGTTCATTTCGTGTGGATAAATGTTTCTGCTGCTACATACAATGAATGGTATTCTCGGCATTTATTATATATTCATGGAAATTTTTTTTTTTTCCAAATGGAATTTGTATATAAAGTAGTAGTTGAATTGTTATTTTCATTTCCCTTTTGCATCATATAGAGAAGGTTAATGCAGCTAGATTTTTGGCCTTTAGAGGAAAAAGCACATATTTAAACCTCTAGTTGGCTAGTTGCTTATGGAAATTGCTTTTTATGCTTAAATACTAAGTGCAGATACTTCTGCGCTAAGTCTTGAATAGATTGAGTTTTGACTTTAGTGGAGACATTATTATCATTAGGATGTTGTATCTGTATTCATATAAGTTTTAAGTACTGTGAGAGCTAGCATCGCACTTCATCCCACTGTATAGCATTACATATCGCTCGAAATATGATTATCAAGCACTTAGTCTATATAAAAACTCAATAAACATATTATAACGAATTTAACTTTCCATGTTGCTGCTTAGCTAACTCCATCTGTCGGTAATTGATAATTGAAGCTCAAAGGGTCATTCAAAACACGAAGTATCCCAAATTTGTCAGTTCTGGAGAGAGTTAATATACACTACCTCTCCGGTGGAGGAGATTTACCGTTGCGTTAAACTTACCCTTTTCATTCGGAACTTAATACAAAAACGGGGTAATATATATAGTAGAGGAATAATGCCAAGTCAATGATTCAGAAAAAAAAAAAAAAAAAAAAAAAAAATGCCAACGTCAAAATGATTCAGGAAAAAAAAAAAAAAAAAAAAAAGACAAGAAAGAAATTAATGACAACGGAAAAAAAAAAAAAAAAAAAAAAAAAAAGAAAGAAAGAAATAAAGAAAGAAAGAAAGAGGAAAGGGAAGGAGCAATTAGATGATTTAGAACCCCACAAGAAAGCTTGAATGGACACAGCATATTTATATATGCTTGTGAAATAACTGTTCTTGCTTTAAGATCAAAATATATTGCTTTGATTAGAAGCTATAAAGCTTACCAAATTGTGAGGAAAGTGCATTTGGGATCTCTCTTTAGTTAATATCTTCTTGTTTAGAGCAAAGAGTCTTGTTCTTTTCCTCTTCTTTCTTTAGTTTTCTATTGGTTCTTTCTTTGGTTTTCTATTGGTTCTTTCTTTGGTTTTCTATTGGCTGTCATATGATATTAAATAGTTAGTGTTAACTAGCAAAAGATCAAGTTGATGGAATTTAGAAATGGAAGGAAAAGGAACACAGGTTAAAATTAGGGTTAGAAAATAAAATGAAATATGGTCATGTCAAAATAATAATTAAACCCAACTTGAGAAAAGAAAGATTATTACCAAAACTTTTATATGGGAAAAAAAAAATTGAAGAACACCAAGTTGATGATAGATGAAATTATTGTTATGCCTTTTGAAGAGGTTAAAGAAAATATAAAAGTTTGCTGACTCATATCTATATTCATATTTATATTTTATTTTCTTCTAATGGAATTTATATTTTCTTTTAAAAAAACTCAGGATAAATATAATGAGATAATCAATAAATAGAATATATATTTTATATAATCAACAAATTTCTACAAATTTGAAATTGATAAATAACTATTTAATCAACAAATTATTACTTTTTGATAGGGAAGAAGTAATTATTCTACTTTTGAATTGAAAATTCTCGAACTATGTGATAACATATCAATATCAGTCATGAAATTACAAATCCTTTCATATTATCAAGACATCTTAGTGGTTGCCAAATCGTTTTATTGTCAAATCATTTGATTTCGTCTAAAAAGAGGGCTTGAAATTGAATTCTACTCCATATTTTGTCATATTATATATGTAAAATCACTCGTGTAAAATAAGTAACATGATTATTATCACGTTTAATTTAAATATCATCAATTGGGTTTTTCTTTTTCGAAGCAAAATTTTATTTTTCGAAGGATTTTATGTAATATTCCATCCACAAAGTGTTACATTTGTAATTTTAAGATATAATTTTATTTTTCATTTTTACTATTTATAAATGGCAAATATTAATCGCTATAATTTTCAAAAAAATTTTCTTTTTATTATAAATCAAAATAATAATAATTTGTTATAAACTAGACAAATAATGACTTTCTTAAAGGATGACAAATATTTTGCTTTTGAAGTCTAATAACTTTCAGGCTACTTCAATTGAATTTTAACATTGGTAAGTAAATTGCTTATTCAACGAAGGTGAAGAATTTTTTGTCATGGATGACGACCATGGTATATATAGACCATGGGTATATATATATTTATATATATATTATATATATTACTATATGCAACTAGGTTGTACAATTTAGTAATAAATATTAATTTTTTGTCAATGGTTTAAGAATTATTCATTTTCTTAAAGCTCCTATGGTTTTTCTCATGATAAAAAAACCCTATACTCTTTCTCGAAAAATAAAAAAAAAAAAGAAAAAAGAAAACGTATTACAATTTGATTTATTAATGAAAAATAAAAAGAAAGCTTATACATAGAAAATATTATTATCATGTTAATTATTTATCAAATTAAAAAAATTACATTTATTCGCTATCATGTAATTTATTCTATCAAATAAAAAAAAAAAAAAAAAGAAAAAGAAAACCTATACAATTTGATGTTTATTAATGAAAAATAAAAGAAAGCATATACATAGAAAATATATATCATGTTAATTATTTATCAAATAAAAAAATTACATTATTCGCTATCATGTTAATTATTTATCAAATAAAAAAATTACATTATTCGCGTGGAGCGGTTGAAATATTACGTTTAAATTTAACGGATCATATTTATAATAATTTAAATTGTAAGAAAGTACTTATAGTTACTTTAAAATATTTATTTATAGAGAGATGGGTAAAAAACTCAGAAACAGAATTAATATTTTCATATTTGAAAAAGAAACCGAAATATATAAATATTTATTAGATGTGTAGAATTTCTTGGCCTTGTTTTGTAATCCCAATTTTTTTGTAATAACAATGGGGATTTTGCTATATATAATTTATTTTTTTTGTCAAATAAATTAAATTATATTTCGAAACAAAAAGATACATTTTGTGATGCACAACATGGCTATTCTAAGCCAGAGAATAAAAATATAAAAATAAAATTTAATGGGTAAATGAATATATTTTGCCACCTCGTTTGATGCAAAAGAAGCAAATCGATTAAAAATACCCTCTTGCTGTTTGGGTTACAACTTCCAAGAGATCTTGATTCCTATCTATACATTGTACACAAACATTAAATAAATGATATCTTATGCATAAAGAGTGGTTCAGAGTAAAACACGTACGTTTAAATTTTGTGAAAAAACTTAATATATTCAAAAAATTTAAATTATAAACTGCGTCAAGTGAAAAAATAATTATCTCCGTAAGATTAGAGAGTTTGAGTCGTTCAAAAATCTACGGAAACTAATAACCAAATTTACGAAGATTGATTTATTTAGACCGAGTTTATAGCCTTTATTTATAGATTCAACCGGTAAAAATAAAAAATTTTTATTGAAATGAAAGTACATTTCACCATGCATTGAAAAAAAAAAAAGGATGAAATATGAATAATTTTTAAAAAGTTCATATTTTTATTAATTTAATCCATAAATGTGGTTATGAATTCATTCAGTTTAGGCAAATATAATCGGATATGTGAAACGAGAGTAGCTTTAATATCCAAAATGATGTGAAAATACGAGAAAGACTTATTTACATTCGGTGTATGACTCTACTTATACACCAAATTAATTATAAATAGTATTTTGATTTAAATAATGATATTTCTGACCATACACCGAGAGTAAATGACAAAATATAAATATCTTTAAATTTATTCTTTGATTGGGTTTATCAATGAATCTCGTATACCCGAGTGTGTAGACAAGAAATTTGGGCGAGATACATTTTGGAATATATTTGAAAGTTGGCAAATATTAAAAATAAAAATGGCATTTTTGTAGTTTTGAATTGAAAAATGGGACAATCTACCAAAACCAAGTCCAAACAAGTTGCAACTTGAGTATCCACTTGCTTAACTATGGCGTAAGATGCATGATAAGATCACCCACAAAAATATTTCTCTCCCACTTTCTATCTCTTAAATCTGTAAGAAAACATCAAACCAATCCAAGTGGACATAAAGCAAACTAAACAAATATATTAAATCTCTCAATTAATTTCTTTTCTTCTTTATCTCTCTTATCTGTCTCTTTACATATATATATACCTTCCTCCCATGTCTTGCGCATGAATTAATCTTTAACCCTAAAATCTCTTTTCAAGAAACCAACCCAAACCTTACCAACAAACTATTCAAGAAAATATGCCTGCTGCCTCGCTACAACTCCAAAGAACCGCCACCGCCACCACCGCCACCACCACCGCCTCAGCAACTGCCTTCTCTTGCCACAAACAGTGTCAAACCATTCGGGTCCCTCTTTCTTTCGATAATATCACTATTTCTGTGCCGGACTACATTCTTTTCTACCATACCCGTACGGTCGGCCCAAACCAGTGCTGCTCCGTCATCGTCAAGACAATAAATGCACCCGTCTCCACCGTCTGGTCGGTGGTTCGCCGTTTCGATAACCCTCAAGCTTATAAACACTTCGTCAAGAGTTGTCACTTGATCAACGGAGATGGTGATGTAGGCACTCTCCGAGAAGTACGAGTGGTGTCCGGACTTCCAGCCGAGTCAAGCACAGAGAGACTGGAGATTCTTGACGATGAACGCCATGTGTTCAGCTTTAGAGTGATCGGAGGCCACCACCGGTTAAATAATTACCAGTCAGTAACAACCCTCCACGCTTCACCGAACGGAAACGGTACGGTCGTTATTGAGTCATACGTAGTTGATATACCGACAGGAAATACAAAGGAAGATACATGTGTTTTTGTTGGTACAATTGTTAGGTGCAATTTGGAATCATTGGCTCAGACAGCTGAAAATATGGTGAAAAATAGCAAGATTATATAAATATTTATAATCTTGATTATTGATTTTTAAATGGGTTTTTAAAATCAAAATTTTTTGTTTTCAATTTCGGCTTTGATTTGGATCATCTTGATTATCAATGCCTAAATTGGAAATTCTTCGATCCAAAAATAGTTGTACTTGAAGGTGTTTTATAATATTTTGATATTATGATAACTTTGTTTTCCTTCAAGATACACTACATTAGTACACAACTCTATTTTGAATCTTTAATCCTATATATGTTTTATGTTTCTTGATCTTCATTTCTTTTACTGTTTAGGTTTTTATGTTGTTTTTTTCTTCTTGTTTAATTTTGTACGATGGAGAGGATGTCAGTTAATGTGTCTGTAAGTATTGTGTCTAGATTTACTCTTCTCTTCCTTCTTGTATGTATTTCCTTCTGTTGAGACTTAAAGATTATTAATTATATATTTATTTTTGTCATAATTTGTTTGTGATTGAGAATTAATTTTATTGATTCAGCTATATTTTTCATTAATTTTTTTTTTTATTTTGTGCATTTTGTGAATGCAAATGCAATTTCTTTGCATTACTTTGTGCTGTATAATCTAATTAACATATGGGGAAATCATTTTCTTTAATCGGAATCTAAACTACCCATCACCGTAAAAATTAAGATAATGAAATGTTGATTTTTAATCTTTTGATTCATTCAAAAGACGACATTACTGCTTTGAATTTGTATTAATTCACATTTAATCATACAATTTTCTTGATCACATGATTAATTAACTATGCAAGATTGAAAAAGATCGGACTGAATGCATATTTTGTACGACTAAAGTTCTTGTTGGTGGACCTTTTAAGTGGATAATTTGAAAATTCTGTTATGTTTCTATATACCTAGCTAGCTGTCTCATGGCAGTCGGCATCAATATTTTAATAACAAGATTTTATTTTCTCGGAAACATCTTATAATATACGCCAAATATACATAGCAGAGACTAAAATAAAGAAATTTAATCAAGAAAGAGATCAGAAAATTTCAAGAACAAACCTTATATTAATTAAGAAAACCCCCAACTGGGTTATCAAAGAATTTTCTGGGTTAGCAAATTTTGGACTGACAGTTTGAAATAGTGTATTAAAAATATGATGATGGAGGAATCAAAAGCTGATGGGCAACTTGACTTTAATAAATTCAACTTGTATCAGAAACATAGGCAAGTTGTTGTTTTTATTTCTTTTTGCTTCCTTTTATATTCTATAAATATTTATTTATTCATGTGCTATAAATGTTGTTTGCTGGAGGGCTGGATATGCAAGTTGGTGTGCAAGTGGGCAAGAAGGCTCTTTTTATTTTTTATTTTTTATTTTTTATTTTATTATAATTAAGAAACAAGAAACAAATCAAACCACTCATTTTGTTTTTGTCTTGTGATTTCAATCCCTAAAATTAAGGTTTGATCGACCTTTTCTAATAATTATATCTCCAGAGCCGGCTGGTAATTTTTATTTATACCAAATTTAAATCTTTTGAGCAAAAAGTGTATATTAAAAATTAAAAACTTTTATCTTCTTGTATCACGAGATAAATGATTAAGTATAGTGATATTGAAATTTTGTTTTTGCTATTCTTATCTTAAATTCCATTGGAACAATGTTGGAAATATTTCATGTACATATAAGTCTAGGTCGTTGAGGAAATGAAAGGTAAATGAAAGGACCAAAGGGTGCATCGTTTTGTGCTTTGAAATTATAAAATTACTGTTGACGAGTTGAATAAATTAGAGCTTATTCAGTATTTAATTAGCGAAATTAAATTTTATCTCTAAATGAATTTTATTCGCAAGAACGAATTTAAAATTTAGAATCGTCATTGTTTGACAAATTATTAGAAAACCCCAATTGAAATTTTTTTCTTATTATATAAATGCATATTCTTAATTATTATATATCCTCTTTCCTTTGAAATTTATGTCATTAGTACGAACCAATGGGATTAACCTGCAAATTATGATGTTAAACGTGCCATTATTATTAATTAATTACTTATTTATAGCTTATCCTTAAGTGCATATAATCTTAAACGCGCTTCCTCTATTTGAAAATAAGTGTCTTTTTTTTAGGATTAAAAAAATACAATGAAAAATCTAAATTTTACAAAAAATTAGTTTGTAAAATGTTTTAAATTAAGGGAGTGAGTGACAATTATATTATGAGTAGAATATTAAATAAATAATGGTAAAATAGAGAAGAAAAAATTAAAATTTTTGGGACCCCAATTTGCTACTGCTCAATAGGATTACAAAAGTTGTTTGCTTGGCTGTGGCTTTAAACAAAAGAAAGGGAAAAACCCAAAAAAAAGAAAAGGAAAGAGAAAGTTATAAATTTATAAAATAAAAATATTCTTAATTTAATTTATAGGTTCAAATTAATTTAATTTAAGTCTATTTTTCTTCCAAAAGAGGCATATATTTCTTTTCATTGTCCCACAATGAAGACTTCTAAGACATAGTGTATGCTTTGTTATGATAGATGCCATCTTTTTCTTTAGTCTTCTTTCTCAATAACACAAAAGAATAAGAATTAAATATATTTTCTTGATTAAATGAGCCGTTGGTTTTTAGTGTGCAAAACCAAAACCAAACTTGAAAAAGAAAAAAAAAAAAAAAAAACACAATGAAGACTTCTAAAAGACAATAAGTGTAATGCCTTTGTTACTGAAATAGATGCCATCTTTTTTTTTCTTTAGTCTTTCTTTCTCAATAACAAAAAGAATAAGAAAAGGTTAAATATATTTTCCTTGATTAAATGAGCCGTTGGTTTTAGTGTGCAAAACAAACCAAAACTTGAAAAAGAAAAAAAAAAAAAAAAGAAAAGTTGAAGTGATGAAAACCATTGTTTGAAGTTATTTGAATTTTTTCGGTTCGATTTTTGTGGTTCGATTTAAATGGTTAATATTTTTCATTCACCCTATGTTTAGTACTACCATGTTTGAACCAAGCTTGGCAAAGCCTTTTTCCACACTCTATATTATGTTATGTTATTTAGATCAAATGGGAAAAATTGGTCTCTTTCTTGATCTTCCAACTTCTAATTAAGCCAATGATGCTAAATAAGAATAAATTTGAAGTATGCAGGCAGTAAGCAAGGCCCAATTCCAAAAACAGGTCTGATATACGCAAATACAGAAATGGCCTTATTTAAAACCCAAGGAAGCCAAAAGAAAAAGATGTAATTTTCCATTTTGCATTTTACAGAGCAAAGATTAATTCAATTTGTTTTTGAGCTAATAATTGTTTTTTTCGGCTTTTCAACATTGCTCACATACACTTTTCACAATAAAATCAATAATACCCAGAAAAATCTATAATACAAAAAAAAAAAAAAAAAAAAGAAAGTTGAAAGTGATGAAACCATTGTTTGATTATTTGAATTTTTTCGGTTCGATTTTGTGGTTCGATTTAAATGGTTAATATTTTTCATTCACCCTAATGTTTAGTACTACCATTTTGACCAGCTTGGCAGCTTTTTCCACATCTAAATAAGGAGTTATAGATCAAATGGAAAAATTGTCTCTTCTTGATCTTCAACTTCTATTAAGCAATGATCTAAATAAGATAAATTGAAGTATGCAGGCAGTAGCAGGCCCAATTCCAAAAACAGGTCTGATTACCAAATACAGAAATGGGCCTTATTAAAGCCCAAGAAAGCAAGAAATGTAATTTTCTCTTTTCATTTTACAAGCAAAATTAATTCAATTTTTTTTGAGCTATAATTTTTTTTTTTCCTTTTCAACATTTGCTACATAATTTTCACAATAAAATCAATAATACCCAGAAAAATCAATAATACCCATTTTTTTTTTAAAAAAAATGGGTATTATTGATTTTATTGTGAATAAAAAAAGATCTCTGTGATTCACCACTTATGAATTTTGAGAAATATATTATTATTTACTAAGGATAAAACAATTTGGCAAATAAAAGCTCATTCCAAGTATCTTGTAAACCAGGCAAACACCAATGCACACAATCTGCGTAGCTAACAGGATTAGCTAATTGCTCAGGAGTTAATGGACTCCATTGCTTCTTGTAAATTGATGTGTGTGCATCTTTTCTATAACTTGAGAGTTGAGTTATGTTTAGAAATGTAATTGGAAATTTTGATTTTCCGAACACTTCTCCGATCACTTCCATTATACTTTTCCGGCAATCTGAACCCCAATAGCTTGAATTGGTTATTAATGTTGTTTCATTGTAACAATTGAGACCTGGTTCCCCTCCCCAATCTATACTCCTGTAAGAACATTAAATATTAATTAGTGTCTAGAAAATATTAATTGAAAAATGAGTAATAATATTATGGTTTCTCTATAAGTAATTCTTATCAAGAAAAACTTTTTTTTTTTTTAGAACCACGAGGTGTAGATCATAAAAGTTTATAACTCTCTCAGCAAGTATGTTGTACGAAGATTAAGTTTGTATTCTCGATTTTACAAAGATTGAAGCCGCTTATCGCCTCAACCAACACCTTATTAATAAAAAAACATTTTTCTTTTCATTCTTGAATGACTTCAACAACACCTCAATAATAGACAACTATAATTTATAATGCATGAAAACTTTTGGCCATGTGTGTTTTTGCATTTCAAAAACATTTTAGCATTTTAGACTCCATTTGTAATCTAGGTCAGCCATACATCATTGGAGGGTTTTAGCATAATATCCAACCACAAAGCCTCAGCTTGCCATATACATTAAAGTCTAGCACACTTAGCCAATGTAAAACTTCCTATGGAGAGATACGCACTGTAGGCCTTTGGCCGTATAATGTCCATAGAACTCCTTCTCTATGGAGGCACCATCTCCTTTTAATAGAGTATGATGCCCGCAACCTAACTCACTTAAATTCCATTTTTCTTATATAAAATACCATTTTTTCGTGTAAAATTATATTTTAAGTATTGCTTTTCATATCATTTCCGTGTTTCGATATTTTCCGTGCTACACAAACTATAACTATTTGCCATTGTATATCACATAACTAATAAAAAGAAACACGAACAGAGAGTACTCTAAACTTACTTTCCATGAGAAGGTGACATGCTGGTAAAGAAAACCCTGGTTTTTCTAGGGTTCATATTCTTTCTCACCCATCTCATCATGCTTTTCATTGCCATTCTATAAGCATCCTCAGTTGGTATCTCTACAATATCTTTAGCTTCATCATCGAAGGATCCTCGTCTGCAAAAGAAACATATAATTAGAACTTTGTCCAGAAAAGAAAAGAAACAAAAAGAAAAAAGGAAATGGGGAGAGAGAGAGTTGAAAGTTACAAGATCTTCATCTTGAGACCAGTCATCCACCATAAATAGGTATTGAAAACTAAAATATCAACTCCTTTCCAATTCTTGCCATGTTTGTTGATTGATCCTTTTCTTACAATCCTATCAGATATTCTATGAACAACTGCATTGTCTGAATTTGATTCAAGAAGAAATGGTGCCCAATAGAACTCAATTGTCGCATTGTACTCCTGAACACACACAAAAAAAGGAAATTAATGTCTTAATTAGTATCAAGAAACAAGCTACTAGTTTAAATTACACTATTTTACCCTTTTAATTTGGATCCGTTAAACAAAATTATCCTTTCCTCTATCGTTTCAGATTTAAGTTGTTAGTACCAGTGAAATTATAGGACTAACCTTATATAAACATGAACTAAAAGGGAAAAATTATATTTTTGTCCCTACACTTTAATATAATTAACTACTTTGTCCTTTTATGTTAAAAATTACATTATTTTATCCTTATAGTCTAGATCCATTAACGATTTAAATCTTAAAAAATGGATGAAGGGTAATTTCATTTAAGACAAATTACAATGATCAAATAATGTAATTTTTAAAATATAAAGATAAAGTAATTAATTATCTTAAAATACAGGGATAACATCATAAATATTTATGTTACCTTAGCAGTGAAGATTGTTAGTGAATCGAAAGTTTCCATGGATTTTGCATCTTCAGGGATGAGTCTATGAAGGAGACAGACCATTGAAACATATTGGCCACGGTTCAAAGAATCTCCAACAAACATCATTCTTTTTCCTCGTAGAGTCTCAAGCATTAATGTCGCATTGAAACTGTATATATATACGTACAATTTTTAACAATAATACTTTGTCATATATATATATATATATATAGAAATTAACAACATTAATTTAATTAACTTCAAATATCAAAATTAGTCAAAGAAACATATATTTTCCTCGTCAAAAGTAAAACTAAGCAATTTAAGAAAAATAATTTCTGAAATGGAAAATATAATTGGCTCTGACGCAATTTTGACTGTAACAAGACAAAATGTCTAAGATGCCCTCATCAATAATTGCTTTTTAATTTTCATACTTAAAAATAATTAGTTAGTTGACATGACAACAAATATGATGATGATAAGGGTTTTGAAGTAATTAAAATAATCATTGATCCCACCACCAACTACTAACCTAAACTAAAATATATTTATGGCAATAACCAATTCAGATTCAGCATTAGACATATTTTTGGATATTCAAAAATTTTTGAGATCTAAAATCAAAATAATTATATATATATATGACAACCAATAATGTATAATTAATAAATAATGATATAATTAAATCATAATTAGGGTTAGATCACATGCCATTTAGCATATAGACAACGAGTATTAGGTTGCTTTCCAATTTTCTTTTTCTTTAACTCATCTTCTTAATTAAAATTTAAATGTGTAATAGTATAATTTATGAAGCTTAATGAGTTGGAACTGAGTCGCAACTCACCCACAATTTTTGACTCAGTATTAGGAGAAATCTAAACCAGAATTTGACACGTGCACCGCCATCAAGCGGTTATCTCGCCGGCATTGGGTGGAGAAACCATGCTAACTGGCCACCCAAAAAGTCTTCAAGACGACAAGTCAACAATAACAAACGACGGAGATATCTAAGCCCAATCAATTAATGTATATTTTTATATATAAATGTTATAGCACGATTATATATCAAATGCATAATAAATTTAAAATTTTTATGCCGTTCTAGCATTTAATTAATTTAATATATTTATTGATCAATTTGTTCACCTTAATTTTTTTTTTTAATTTAAGGTACACGGTATTTATATTTGAAAGCCGTTTTAACCGTACTTGAGATAAAAATTATTTATTTAGGCTAAGTCCATCACTCCACTTATAGACCAAATAAATAAAATTAAGGATTGTTTAAAAAATATTCCATCTTTTTTTTTTTTCTAAATAGATGATCAGAAATACTCTCGTTTGTGTCAAAATATATAATTTTTTATCTATAGACCCAATTTAAGTAAGTTTTTCCTGTTTCGGATAATTTTTTTTAAAAAAAATTTTAATAAAAATACGTGAATATTTTGCATGTATGAAAATTTTGGATTACCAATAGAACACCTATTTTTTTTTTTTTTTTTTTTTTATACTCTCGTTTGTGTCAAAATATATAATTTTTTTAATCTTATAGACCCAATTTTAAGTAGTTTTTTCCTGTTTTCGGATAATTTTTTTAAAAAAATTTTTAATAAATACGTGAATAATTTTTGGCATGTATGAAAAAAATTTTTGGATTACCAATAGAACACACTATTTTTTTTTTTTTTTGTTTTTTTTATGAAAAGATTTTTTTTTTTTTTTTTTTTTTATGAAAAGAAGAACTAATTATTTGTTGCTAGAATGCATTTCCATTCAAATAATTAATCCATCATTAGTTGACTAAAAACATTACAAATAAGGAAAACAATTAAATGCATTTAGAATTTAGAAGCAAAAGACAAACCTTGGAAGATCACAGCCATGGGGTTGCCATCTCCAAGATTGATAATCCTTATCAGGTCTACCATGTTCTTGACAAGTCAACTGTGGCTGAATATAAGGACATTCCGATTCTTCATAAAGCGGCCGAGTCGACTCTTCATCTCTAACCCATCTTCCACTAAACAAGTCACACCCTTCTGGTGTCTTCCCTATAGCAAAAGGTAGCTTCTCCCATTTCTTCTCTAACCCACCAAAATAAAGAAAATTTAATCATATATAACACATTCTCTTTTCTTAAAAAGAAAAATTATATTCAAGATTATTCTCGTATCGAAAACAGCTGCGGAGATACTCGTGGCAGAGTTACACTCACCGGTTCTTGTCAAGAATTGATCGGATTCGGGTTCGAGTTGGCTAAGAAGGCACATGAAGTCTTCTCCATATAGAATAGCAACAAAGGCAATGAAAGCTAATAGAGTACAAAGATATGGAGAGAAACGAGCTTTTCTTATGAGAATTGAAGAAGAAGAGCTAGAAAGAGGTGATTTCATTATTATTTTTATTTTTTAGTTAAAGAAAAAAAAAAATGGACATTTGGGTTTTTGGAGAGGAGAGATTTGTTGTACATATGTTTATATGATTGTAATGTTTAAAATGTTTGATTGAAGTTGTTTTGTGTGTTTGGTTTGAGTAAATATAGGAGATGTGTAGGTTGAAATTATTATCATGTGTAGTGCACATCCATGATAACAACATAAGTTGATTTTGATTTTGATTTTGATTTTGATATGTCTTAACTAACAGTTTGATTTCTTTCTATATATTCTATTGCTTTTAGTGATATTTTAATTAACTCTAAGTAATTATGTTATTGTTGTTCTAATTTTTTATATATTAATGTTTGAAGAATGATTGGAATAATTAGTGGCATTATTCAGGTATTTCTTTTTTTTTTTTTTTAAATTTATTGGAGGTTTTTATAGACTGAAATAACACTGCACGCTACACAACAGGGGTAGTCTTCTCCCTGACTCATCAAATTGGTAAAAATAACTATAGTCGAGAGACCTTTCACTCCTCACATAAGTGAGAAGACCAATCAGACCACCACCTAATTGACAGTCAGATATTTCTTTAATGATGCAGATATTCCTTTAATGATGCAGATATTCCTTTAATGATTTAATAAATATTAAAACTTTAACTTGATTTTATTTATTATTCAAGAAAATATAATATCAGTAACATGAGACTTGATTAAATAATTGAATTTAAGAGATATGTTGTAAAAACTAACTTAAATAGAAACAAAATAACTAACTAAAAATTAATTAGGAATATAAATCTAAAGTAAATAGGACACAGGAAAATAGGAAATAAAATAAGATCTAACCCAAATAAAATATAATAGAAAATAAAATAAAAAAAGAAAATACATATAACTTTTCTAATTAATACATAGGGCTTGGCCCTCGTATATGACTTTTTTTTGCATCGCATGAGAATATAGTTGGTGATTTCCTTGGCATTTATAGAAAAGAGAAAATTAGATATAACTTGAAAGGGTAAAAAAGAGATTCAACATCTCATCCCACCGGATTAACTGGTAGTTGATATTTTTTTATTATATATAACCAAAAGGTGTAATCTCCATCGAATTATAGAGCGTAAAAATTTTTAGTCCTCCTAGCAAAATGCACTTCCCAGGAATCCAATTTGTAATTTTATCTCAACATATATATATATATATCATATTAAAGAAATTAATTTTTATTGCTTACTATTTTCTTAGGGAGATCCATTTGTAGAAGGCTTGATAAGCAAGTGTAGTGGGTATAGAATGATTGTAAAGGGAAGCTATAATAAGACTTGGCTTCTAAGTTAATTAAGCATGACAAGAAGGATAGGCAATCATTTTCTTCACTCTCTTTTTCTGTACATTTCTACTTTTATATACAAATGATACATCCATAACTATAATGATTTGAGAGATGGTGAAGAACTAGCTAGCTATATGATATTTATTTTTAAAGTTTTAGGTGAAAATTTGGTGATATTTCAGCTTTAAGTGGTTGGTAATAATCCTTTTTTTTATTATTATTATTATTTTTATATAATTAATGTTTAGAGCCACTCTAAAAATATTATAGTGGTAGATCAACCAAACACTAGTACTAAAAAATTTGTTATCTACCTAATGATTTTCTATTGGATGTTCCTGCCCTCTTGTTTATTTTTGAAGAAATTGATTTTGGAAAATTAAAAATTGACAGTGTCTTAACTGATCATTAGCAGGGGAAAAGTAATCAAGAATATCAAAAATTGGTGAAGAGTCTCGGACTTTCAAGATTTGAATTCTCGTAATTTCTTGTATTATTTCTTCCACTTTTCAATCTCAAAATGCTTGTAATAATTTTTATCCAAGATTTATTTGCTCATATCAACTAGAAGAGGAAGTCATTCACCATCAACAAATCAATACCCACTTCCAAAATTAGTTGAATTGTTGACACCATAATCATGAGGTTAGAAACATTATAATCACAATTAAGTAAAACTTGTAGTAGTTAAAATAGAGTTTAGCCATTTACAATATTTAAGTTCCAGAACCTTTAAGTCAAACGTTAAATTGAGAAAGATAGCAATCAAAAAATGTTCATCAATTGCTTATCTATCTTTATCACAAGATTTTCATATGTTACAACTAATACTTTGCCTGTGCTTGGCCTTGCCATCTATTTTAAGCAACAAGGACCATACTTCTTTCTACAACCTCACCATATAAGAAAATATATTTAACATCTCTGGTGAGTTTTCTATGCTTTGGTTTCCATTAATATATTTGATTCCATTGCTTAGTTTTACTTGTAGCAGACTAGACAAGAAGACTAAAGGAACCTCTGCTGGGACCTAGAAAGGTATGTCTGACTAGCAGAAAGGTTCCTTATATTATATTTTATGTTTCTGACCCTTTTCTACCATTTAGCATGCTAAACACAATTATACCTTTTTATAAAACTTGTTTCTCAAAAATAAGTAGAATCCAATCCTTTTTTGACTGGATGACCCTGCAATTCTCTTCCATTGAATGCAATGCAAATTATAGCAAGCCTTGTTTCTATCTTCTGCCATCTTCTAGGGCAAAATTCAACTTGAAACTTTTTCAGTTTCTAAGTGCTTCATATATATATAATCTAAAGTAAATTTATGCATTATCAAAGATAAATCCATCAATTTCACAAGCCCAGGCATAAACAGGAAAAATCCGAGAAGAAAGTACACAACTAAGCATTTAAAAATACCAGTAAGAATTCATGCAACATAAACCATATTTAACTTCCAAAATAACTCTTGCAGGGCCTAACAAAGGAAGGGAGGTCACTTTGGCATAGATCTCAGTTGCATTCCAGATGCAAACAATAAAAATTTTGATGATACAGGCAAAAATTTAATAAATAAACAAAGAAATGGCATACCTTTGAGCTTCCCCAAAGAAGATCGAAAAGAATATTGATAAAAAAAAGAAATAAAACAAATGGTAATAGTAACTAGAGAGGTTACAATCAATGAATATTGCTAATGGAAAGAAAGATATTTGTGACATACTTGGCAACAAAAGCGCATGGCATTTCTGTTGAGGATTTTCAAAGTCCACTTCAATGAGATGGCAGTGCAAGGCGAAAGTAACCACTGGCATTTGTTTCCATAAAAGTTCTATAGCACAACCTAGATGTGTCAAAACTGATTCATTACTAAGATCTGCAACTGAATGTAATTGTCTAAAAATTGACTGGAGAATAGGAGCTCCGATAACCTTCTGTAGGCCCTCTAAATTTCCGCACCAAAGATGCAAAAAAACTCTGCAAGGAAATTAAAATAATCAGTTCTATGTTCAATAATTTAATTTCAGATGATTACACCAGGCACGTCCATCATAGGTAGAGTTAAGTACTAGAATTGTTTGAAGTAGTTCCCGTAGATTTATCTGCATTGCACTCTAATGGCTTATTTCATATGACAGCTAATTAGTCTAAAATTGCAAAGAGATTAAGAATTTTAAAATTTTGTAGTCAATTTGTTAAAAATTCAGTAATCCTATCATCACATGCATTTATCAAAGGCTAATAGTTTCACTCTTTTTCAAGTAAATGGAAAATATACACTTCTTTGATTTGTCTTCTTTATGACAAGGTATGGCAGTCGCACTTCTAAATAAAGATCTCCACTACACATAATTTCCAAATTCAGGAGCTTGCAAACATACATATTTTTTTTTCTGAATAACCTAATAGATCTTAATTTCTGTTCGAAGTAATTACTTTGCATTCAACTTTTTGGTCAATAAATTAGATAATGATTTTGAGTCCCACAAATTCTGCCATATGCAGTCATTAGAAAACAACCACCTTTAAGAAAAATATAGTTAAGGTTATTGCAAAGACAGAGAGACAGAGAACCACATGGATGGAGGGAGGGACAGGAAAAAGAGAAAGTTTACTTCTGAGAGGCTGTTATAGTATCAAGCTAAGGGGAAAAAAGAAAAAAACAAAGGTTAGACTAATTAGAAGACAGCGTCCAGAGCAAACAATATTTTTTAGTTTTCTGAATCTCGAGGCTATGCAATTCAGTAACATAACCAAGACATTCCCCTTCTAACTTAAGGACACAGCCAAAAAGAGAAAAATTCTCAATTAGAGGAAACTCTGCTCAATTGGAAGTTTATAACAAAGAATGTGTTCCTACTGACTAGGCGAATCCTTCAAATAAAGAGATTAGTTAAATACATGCAATATTCTTAAAAGTTGATGGAAGTCGATGAACATTTGCACTGCATGGCATATTTGACACCACAGCACTAACAAGCAAAGAAGTTTGCAGTGAAACAAAACACATGTGATACCTGTGTTCTCTGAGGCAATCTGGCCCAAATATCCAAGTTTGGAATCATCTGATGACAAAGGAATATAGAATCAATTAAAATTAAAACTTAAAACAGTAGCCAAAACACATATATGCTGACAAATCACCCAGAGAACATCTTAAGCATTTCTTAAAAAAAAAAAACATTGCTGGTCATAAAATTCTCATCTGTTAGATTGTTTAATAATACAAGGCAGTATAATGAGATAATTTTGCACTGTTTTAAATGCATGCCTAAGTTTGTGATTCCAAAAAGTGGAAACCGGTCCATGAAATGACACCTATGTTAAAAAAATAAGAGCATTCAGTAACACAGCCATTTAAATCTACAAGTCATTATCTGAAATAGTCATCCCATCTTGTTGGAAAGTAAACTGACTGGAAATTGGTCCTTTCAATAACACCTACTTGAGAAATAAGAGCATTCAGTGACATAACCATTTAAATCTATAAGTGATAATTTGAAATAGTCATCCCATCTGGTGGGAAATTAAACTGATCAAAGCAGCATCAGTGAAGACCTTTGCAACTTTTCCCCATTTTTTCTCTGCTCATTCAAAAGTTCATTTTTAGGATATTATCATTCACAGCAAAATGACAAATAATCTCCTCTTGTGCAATCTTGCTGCACTTAATAGTTAGTTGAGCACAAATATGAACATTTCTGTTGGACAGATTCTACTTGCTAAAATGATCTCTTATTTTAATTTCACAAGCCTTGATAGCATGATATCCACTTAAAACACAGATTGTTTACTCACTTCAAATTACAAATAATAGCTTAAGAAGACTAGGCCAATCATTTAGCCATACATTATGCTGATGATAGCAATGTCGCTAATATAATGCAAGATGACGTGAATATAAAATGAATTACTAAGAAGAGATAGTTTTGGACAAGGTCATGTGTCACTAGCATCCAAATAGTACGAAAAATCAGGAAAACAACTTGACAGGAGAAGCATACATCTAACCCACGAATTCCGAGGAAGAAATATCGATAAGCTGCACCTACCAACATATATCCTCCAAAAAGGCATAAGATACTGAAGAAAAGAAAGAAATCAGTCAATCACATACTCCAATATGATAGCATAAGCAAATCAATTTTACTCATGAAGAAATTAAAAATAAAATAAAATAAAATTCTTACATGATTAATAAGGTAACAAACCAACCCCATCCATTCCCATGAACAGATACAACCATGGCACAACCTGAAGGATGTTGCATTACTGTAGCCTGTCAAAGTTAAAAATTACAAAATAAACACCAAAATGCAAATTGAACCTAATGAATCCAATAACATTTTAAATGTCCAGAAAAAGTAGTCAGTAGGAAAAAATAGAATTGCAAAATTAAAAGCTTATTCATGAGAAGCTTTAAAAAAAAATAGTTCACTAATTAACTAGCTAATTCTGTTGCTTTCACATGTCAAAAAGCTTTTAGCCCACAGCAAAAAGTACTGGATCACCAGTTATAACATATTATCCATCAGATATCTTAATTTGCAACCAGAAACAATGCCCCTGAACAAGGACACGGCACATTAAATGCAATATCATGGAATGGGCTGACAACATTTTCATTTCCATAGAACTGTAAAAGCTACACCAGACAATTTAAGCCAAAGAAGTTGAATGATAATTTCTGTTTTATTGCTCTTAACTTCTAACTATGTGATGTATGTTATCATTGGTCCCTGACATTCCATTATAAGCAGGAAGACATGAATATCTGTCATCAATCTATCTCATGAATTGTAGAATCAAGCAGAAAACTATGTCCATATTGTCCAGTTTATTAAACAAAAAAACAACTTAGGAAGCAAAAGAGATAAGTCTATAACATTTGGGTTAGGTGATGACAGACAATTTCTTAGGATTAGGAGATGCCTGATGACAAATTATGACATAGCAAAACAACCAATATCCAGTAGAGATGCAAAAACCCAAAAGGAGTGTCAAATACACAGCAATTCCCAGTAAGTCGGTTGTCAACAAATTCGAATGACATGCCATTTATGAGAGACTTAAAATTAATATTTACACTTCAAAGAAAACAATTATGAAGTGCAACAACTGAAGGGGCTTTTTGTATGCCTGAATTTCTGAACTCAAACTCTATAGACTAACTGCTCGCAACTTACAAAATTTCGGTGATAGAAAGCTGGTAAAATACTTATAGAACACCAAGCACTTAAGTTGTAGATTAATTTCAGAGACTCACATAATCACAAGTCCCTAATTTCTCCAGTGATTCTGGCCCCTGTGAAATAGAATGACGAAGTCAGAAGAATAAATAGGGTATTATCAGCTTAAGAGAAAGTTAAGGTATTCAAATAAGCAGCTGAAAAGGAAGTATTTCAAGAAAGAAGCTCTCTCACTTTAGCACCATTGGAATCACAAAGGATAGAGACAGAAAGAGAACAACTCTGGTTGGATCCATTGGGCATCTTAACAATATTTGACATTTTAACAATGATACCCTTGTGTGGCTTCTGCTTATCTGGATTATCAAAGATTATAAAGAAAATGTTAGAGCTTGCAAGGACAATTACTACCTAAGGGCTGAATGGACTACTTTCAAGCTGGAGAGATTTGGTAGATTGTAGGAGAAAACACTCAATACCATAACCATTAACCAAGATACTCTAGTGACCTACACGTTAATAGTAGGCAGAATTATTATATGATACTAAAAGTAAGGAAAACTATCTTACCAATGACACTAGTAGAAGTGCTGGAGACATGTCCAATTGTACTGCACACATCATAACCTGCAAATATAACAAAGATCTAATTAAACTTTATAGGGCCTCCCAACCTAGCCTAACAAACCAACATTCCAAATGTGAAAGGCCCATGTTGAGCTCACAATTGCCTAAATCTTAAAGCACATGAGCCTAGAAAAGTCTTCTAGGTCATTGTTTGAAGGTGGGCCCAATAACAACCAAGCCTTAATCCCAAACTAGTTGGACACGCAATTTTAAAAAAAAAAAAAAAGTTTATTACGCCTCTTCCTTTTCCAAGATTCCAAGAATATGAACCCAAATCCATTAAAATCCAGGGAAAAGTGCTTTCTATCAGTCAAATCATATACTGATATTGTCACACCTTACCCTACTGTAAGACATGGCATGTCGCCCGTAATATAATTAATAAGCACTTAATTCTTATAAATGCTTACTAAGTATAATGTTGAGCTCCACAATTGCCTAAATCTTAAAGCACATGAGCCTAGAAAAGTCTTCTAGTCATTTTTGAAGTGGGCCCAATAACAACCGCCTTAACTCCCAAACTAGTTTCGGACACGCAATTTTAAAAAAAAAAAAAAAATCTTTATTACGCCTCGTTCCTTTTTCCAAGATTCCAAGAATATGAACCAAATCATTAAAATCCAGGGAAAAGTGCTTTATCAGTCAAATCATATAGCTGATATTGTCACACCTTACCCTACTGTTAAGACAGTGGCAATGTCGCAATAATAGATTAATTAAGCACTTAATTTCTTCATAAATGTTACTTAGTATACTACAAGGACTGAATCCTTTTATTCTTCATTTTTATATCTGTAGCAAAATTAATTAGTTATTAAATATATATAACTGTCTTTTGGAATATGTATTGATGTATTTAAACATGTAACAGATCCATTTTATGTATCATTTGAGAGATTCACTGTAAATTATGATTGTATGGAATTTGAAAAATTTATAGTCTATTAAAGCGTAATAATTTCTATTATGTTATCGTAAGATCTTGAACAGGGACCCAATATGTAATTAATCATCCATGGGAACTTATGGGTTATTGGAACCATTTATTTATGATGTTTTTTTTTAAATATGTTAAGAATTATATTGAGATTATGTGGCACAGGCCAGCACACCTTAGGCATAATCCCACATCGGTTAAGTACGAGGGGTGGTCCTGTACATAGAGGGGGTGGTTCCAGGACCATGGTTGAGTGCCTTTATTGGGCGGGTTGCAAGCCTGCCTGAAAACAAAAACCGTGAGGGGGTATCTGTACGAGGCTGGAGAACCCAAAGCGGGACAATATATAGACCAATGACGGCATGGGCTATGACAATTGGGTATCAGAAGCCAGACCCTAAATCGTTCCTTGGCCGGGTGGTGGGCAAACCTGCAGCGAGGACAGCTTGAGTCCCAAGGGGGCTGTATGTGGCAAGGCCACACACCTTAGGAAAATACCCACATCGGTCTTAGTACGAGGGGGTGGTCCTGTACATAAGAGGGGTGGTTCCAGGAACATGGTTGGCCTTTTGGGCGGGTTGCAAAAGCCTGCTTGAAAACAAAACGTTGGGGGTACTCGTTACGGGCTGGAGCCCCAAAGCGGGACCAATATTGACCATGGCTGGCTATGCAGATACTTTCCCTAAAAAATTGTCTTACTTCAAAATTTGGAAAATTCCTACAGCACTGGACCCATCATATTTGCAAAGCCTGCCTGAAAACAAAACCGTGAGGGGGTACTCGTACGGGCTGGAGCCCCAAAGCGGACAATATTGACCATGGGCTGGGCTATGACAGATATTTCCCTAAAATTGTCTATACTTCAAAATTTTGGTAAATTCCTACAGCACTGACACCATCATATAGATGACAGTCACATTGGACAGGTTTGCAAGAACATATTCAGAGTAACTCTTGTATAAGATAATAATGCTAAGGTTTTCGTAAAGTAGAGTAGAGGATTCTTGTTCTCCATGCAAGAACGTTTCCTTCAATATGTAAACATTTACTCATCTATTGAGAATCCAAATGCAGAGAACTTAACTAAAAAATGTTACTGAAAAACTTTGGATGATGATGGCCATTTACCTTTGCAATTAACATCCTTTAATCCTTAACAAGTTATGCAATTTGGGAAAAGAAAGAATTTTAATAAAGTTCTTTTCTCTCCAATGACAGAGATAAAGACAGGCATTTCTGTAAATATAATTTACCTCCTTTGTTTTTTGCAACTAGTGCACTACATTTCATGCCGCAGCGTAATGGCCCCCCACAGTCCTACAGGATCAGAAACATGGTTATGTTAACAGAAAATTTAATATGCATGAGGTCTGAAGACAATATTTACTTTATGATTGGCTTTCCTAAAAAGAATTGGCATGAACCAATGCTAGAAATTCGTTGCTTCTCCAACACAGTGCCTCATGAATGGTTAAATGTCAGGAAATGTACTGCAGTTCATCAAATATAGGAAATTGTGGCACCTGACTGTAGTGAAAATAAAAAATGTTTTGGCAATCCAACAGAATATCTGTACGAGTTTCTACCTGGGGAGCATCTTACATGGTCACTAAACCAACTTCACACATCAAAATATCTATCCTTCAACTTCGATAGAAAAAAGCCTTCAAAGAAAGCTCCAGTTTCAAGATGAAGACTTATCATACAAAGTAAATGAAGATGAGAGCAATATTGCATAATAGGAAGTTGAAATTGTGCAAGCATCCTATATAAAGCATACTCAATTCGTTTCCTGGTCTTTTGGGTTAAAGTGGAAAATGACTTCAGATATATCTGGTGGCGAAGAATTTACCAGGCAGTCAACACATGTAGGAGGATCATGATTAAAAATCATTCCATCGCATAGCTGCTCCACAGAGTCAAAGAAGATAAATTCAATAACAATTCAACTGAAAACTATAAGTACTAAAGTGTATGATGGCATCTAAAAGGTCATTAAGAAGAAATAATAATTGCAATAAAAATAAATAGCAAATCCATGGCTATCATGCATCTAAATATAAAAATAGGATTCTCTTTCCTTCTTCCTAAGGATGAAGAGCAGTGTTGAATTTCAATGTACAAAATCTAACAGTCCAATTGAAAAACTAGATAGCTCAAAGCTTCCAAGCCAATTGTCATACATGACAATTTATTCCAAATTCAAAAGCAACCAGGTGTCAATAAACAAAAGATAATAACAAACTGGCTGACAGAAATTACAATGATTGGAAAACAAAGAAATAAAGTGTAACCTGTTGAAGCCAACCTGAAACCAGAGCACACTCTCATTCGCTGCCACCTTATAAAATCTATAGCAAAAGGAGGGAAAAAAAAAAAACAAAGCAACTCACTTAGAATTCAAGCCAATTTTCATAACCAAACATAATCCAAGAAACAGTTCATGACTAATATGGAGATGGAATTATTTTTGTCAAATGGATGTTAATAGAAACCCTTTCGATAAAGCCCAAATCTAAGGTTTCAATTAATTATAAATAAACTCCCAAGTCAACAGCAATAGCCAAACAGAAGTTTAAGGCAGAAGTCCACTTAAGTGCGTTTGACCCTTACAACCAAATTCTAACAGACTAAAGCAAATATAAACATGGCTCCAGTTAACTACCTCCTAGATTAGTATTATACATTACTAAATTTTATCGTTGATTGGGGAAAGAATAAACAAAAAGGTATAGAATAATATTTAATGGTCTAGCACTCGAGTAACGAATTTGATTCAATTAAGCAATGCATCAAACATTTTGAGTGCAAAATATCATATAATATAATCAGATGAAAATTCAAAGCAAATGAAAAATACCAGATCAAGAAACAGAGAGAGAAAATATACCCATCTTCGCTGAGGACACCATGAGGAAAATTAGGGAGAGGAGACGCTAAACTGAAGTTATAGAGCTTGTTCCCGTCAACAAAACTGAGGTCACACACCGCAGTGACCGAGTTTAGAGAACCAACCAGATGTAGAATCGCTATAGCTGTGAATAGAAAACATTTCAAAGAATTGATTCCAACCGCCATTTTTGGCAAACTAAATTGTATTGCTATCATATCCTTTTTCTGTTTTCTTATCTAGTCATTGTTGCTCTGTTCGTGGGAGAGAGAGATAAATTTTGCATAGAAGGTGAAGAGCTTAACGTCTTTGCTTGGCAAAACGACTAAGAACTGAGAAATGAGATGGGAAAAACGAACCAACGACCGACTCCAACAGTCCAAGAGAAAGAGGACACTGATTTTTCTTCGGTATTTATGTTTCCATTTTTAAACGCCTTTGCTGTTATTCTATTTCGAAGACATTTTCCAATAAAAGATTTGTTTTAAGGAATATTTTATTTCTTATTTTAATAATAAGCTTCAATAATCATTCTTGTTTTATGAATGATTTTTCATTAACAATTTTTTCATAAAAACAATTATGTAATAATAACATTATACATTTTCCTAAAATTCAATAACAACTCTTAAAATTTTGATGTTTTATGTATAAAATATTTGATTTAACTTATAGTTAATATAATTATTGAAATAATAATTTTTATATTTTTCAACTATCCAAGAAATATTTTTTTTGATTCATTGAGATATCCAATAGCCTAAAATAAATATTAAATCAATTTAATTTTATCAATTAAATTATTTAAAAAATAACTTTACAATTTTATGAGTTAAAGTATTTAATGAATTGATAACAATTAAAATAATACTTCTTGTAAAATTCAAGACCGCTAATTTTTTAAATTGATAAATATATAATTAACAGTTGCTAAAACAACTAATTGTAAAGATTTTAAATTGATAAATATATAATTAACAGTTGCTAAAACAACTAATTGTAAAGATTTTAAATTGATAAATATATAATTAACAGTTGCTTTTAAATTGATAAATATATAATTAACAGTTGCTAAAACAACTAATTGTAAAGATTTTAAATTGATAAATATATAATTAACAGTTGCTAAAACAACTAATTGTAAAGAGTATATTTTTTCTATACTGCTGCGGCCAGCTAATACTGCCGAACAAATTCTACATGTGTTTCTATAAGATTAGGACTTAACCCAGATAAGTTGGCTCAATTAAAACCAGCCCCACCAGGCTGTTGAACAGAAACAAGTGAAATGCTTTCCTCCATAAATTCGTTGAACAGATACAATTAACTATGTCGGGAACAAGTAACAGAATGGAAAATGTGAATGTAAGGGGAAAAAGAAAATGCAAGTCCGGAACATTATTTTGCTAATAAATAAATCAACTATAATTTTCATCAATATAATTATAATTAAAATTATCATCAGGATCCTCATTGTCAATATTATCAGTATCATCTTCATAAAAACCATTTCTAGAGTGCTCAAATTCTGAAGATTTACTGCTGGCGTCATCACTTTCTTCTTTTTCTTCTTCTGATGATTCGTAAGTCAACGATTCACTCCCCTCCTCAGATTCTTCATCAGGATAATCATTCCTTGGATGAGCTTCAGCTGAGAAACATCAAAGGGAAGAAAATGAAGATCATGGAAAATACATTTTGAACGCATCAAGAAAGGCAGCATTTTGAAGGGGAATGGAAGAAAAGAAAAAACAGCCAATTCCAATACCATTAGAATCATCACTGTCATATTCTGACTTTTCATCTGGTCCATCATAGAAATCCTCATCCTTCACTTGTACCCTGAATAGAAAATATAACACTCGTAACCACAGCTAATCACCATATCCATCTCATATACAGGAGAGCAATAATTTCTCAAAAGATGCAACCAAATAAAGACAGGATATGTCTCTTACAGGGGAAATGGATTTATAGCATCTTGACCATCAATATCCATGTCGTCCATTGCAGTGTAATAGTCATACACACATTCAACTGCATATCATGTGTAAGAAACAAGAAGCCGTTAAACAAAAAATCGAAATTTACAGCCAGATACAGCAATAGAGAAAGGCCATTTGATGCTGCAATTAAAATTGTCACTAACAAGAGTATGTCCCAAGAAGAATCTTATGGCAGAACAATCTGTTTTAATCTATTTGTATATGATGAAAAACTAGGATAATTGTCTAATACTAGTACCCATATGGATTAAGCAATAACAGTGTTCAATAGGATCAAGGAAAAAGCACAACCTTGCTCAGGCAAGTAAGCGCCTATGTCCGATTCAATCTCTGCAATAGTACTTGGTATAAACTCACAACCTTGCTTAGACAAGTAAGCACATATATCAGATTCAATTTGTGCAATAGCACCTGGTATAAACTCTCTAGCAAGAGGCACATAGCTATATAGGATCCTCTGATCCTCCAAAGACATAGTTCTGCAACAGAATGTTGAGATATGTGTTATTTTTCAACGAGTTTTGAACTTATAAGAGACATGAATAATAGTGATGACAAAACTTACTCCTGCTCTTGCATCTCACTGGGATCTTCCTCCTCATCTATGCGAACAACATCATAAAAATGGCACAAGTCGTGCAGTTTATCATTCAATGCCTCTTTCTTCCCCTTACGGCTCCTCCATATTTGTTCAAAACGAGCATTTTGTGCCAAAACCTAATAGAGAAAGGGGCAAAAGTGAAGCGAAACTATATAAAAGGAAGCAAAGAAAGATCCTTCTATACACATACCAACTCTACAATAATGGTCTAAACTCTAAAAAAAAGAAGTATGATATGATTAGGCTTACTTCTAAAGCTAATGAAAACCAAAATGAAATTAATCTTTCTTTGTAGTGTCTTATCCTAAAACAATCTCAAATTACGATAAGAGTCCAATAACTACATATGTGGTCATCAAGCCTAACAAATGAAGTCAACTTTTCTATAGAGTTTGACTTGAAAGATGGAGATCACAAATGAGATGGAGAGTTACATCCTATCTCAAAGATTATCCGACCAACAATCTACAGAGGCCAGTCTATACTGGAACTATAGTCACTTCATTCACCTTACAGTCGTTACTAGAACACTCACTCTTTGTTTATTAAATGATGTGATCAAATTGTTGTCAACGAGGCTATAAGCATTCTGAAAACTTTACGTTCTGTCAACAACAAAAAGACTGCCTAGTCTTTAAATGAATTGAAGACATGATCTGTTCAACTCAGCATAGCATTAAGCTCAAGTCCCTTTTGCTTGAGAATAATTAAGAAACTAGAAACTTTTAGAAATACAGTTTACAGATAATTCATTGAAATTAAATAAAAACACTAATTTCACCATATCACAACTTTAGAAACCTTGATAGGATATAAATAGTAAAGGTATAGCATACACTATAAAAGATGCAATAAATGATGACCATTACCATTTTCATTCACCAATTGTTATATAAAATTTTGAGCCTCATCAGTATCATCACAAATGAAGTAAAGAAACTGCAAATTATCTCAGGAACATCACTGTGCTACTGACTCTCTCCTCACAAAGATGAAGTTCATATAGCAGAGAGCATCGAATGATATGAATCTATCATTTTGCATGACTTCAATAAAAACAAACATGGCAAAAGCAGCCTAAGAACTATTATTATCAAAGAAACAAAGCAGAGATAAGAGCATGTTAACAATGCAAAACCTATACAATGGAGAAGCGCAGAATATTGAAGTAAATGAAAATTAGTTCACTTTAAACTCATCAACCGAGCAAATAGTCTACTACACTTACCTCTTGATTCTTTCTGCTCTTGGAAAGAAGTTGCTCTTTTTTCTGTATAATATACAACAGATGAAAAACTGTCAGATGCAATAAGTAATGGAGAGACTTAAACACAATAGACGGCAATTTTTTGACAGGGCTGTTTATCTATGCAGGAGAAAGAAAGAGAGAGAGAGCTTACATCATTTCTTTTACAGGCCCACTTTCGTTCTTCAATTTCCGATTTTCCTTCAACTGTATCAGCAGAATTATACTACAAACGCAGTAACAACACATTTGGTAAAACTACCATAAAAATAGAGTGGAAATGTATTACAATTTTACAATTAACTTGTTGGAGAGATCGGCTTAAACATCAAATAAAGGTAGTATACTCTAACAAAAGCAAATAACTAACTTTAAATAGATAATTTATAGAGACAACAAAAAGGATTTCTATACTCACAACAAAAGATAGCACAACATTGATGGCAGCCTCTGAGCTATCAACTGTCTCAAAATGCCGTACTAAAAGCTTCTTAGTCTTAAATTCCTCCACTATAATATACAAAGAACAATGCATCAGCCTAGAACAACAGCAACAGAAGGGAAACTCTAATTGAAAATACAAAATAATAACAATAAAGCCAAGTTTTTCTGCTCTATACGAAACCTGGTCCATGGCCTGAATCATCATCAACGAGTGATAACTTCTCAAACTCCAAAAGCGGCCGTTTCACTGGCCTCTCATTTATTTCCAGCCCTAGGCAAATCAATTAAAATTGTCATTATATTTCCACCATTGAAGCACTAAAAAAAAAAAAGAAAAAGTATTGAGAAGAAAACGGTGAACTCACAGAAGGCATCGAGACGAGATTGGTCAGACTTGCGCTTAATCCTAACAACCACTGGCTTTTCACCGGCGGTGAAATTGCTAGGAGCCGAAAACCTTTCGCTAATTGTCGCCATGAAATCAGGCTCTAGACTGGACCGGTGAGCTTACTAGTATAAACCGAACCACCGCCGCTTCGTGTTTAAACATTTTTTTTCATACAAAGCAGAATCGTAAATATTATTTATCCCTAATAATTAATTAATTAATTCTAATATGTAGCCATGTAATTAATTAATTGCTTCACCGCATAATTTGTTTTTTTAAAAAATAAAGTAAGAATAACTTTTAAAACAATTATATTATAATTATCTTTTTTTTTTTAGATTATATTTTTATCGGTTTAATTCATAATAAATATGTAGATATAATTTGTTTGTTTTTTTATTTTTCTAACGTGATATTATACTGTCCACCTTCTTATAACAATATTAAAGCGTGAATTTTGTTTTTCAAAAAAAAAAAAGGAATAGAATAATAAATAATCTGAAAGTAATTAATAAGAGCAAAACAATGGAGTTCTGTCAATTTTTCAGACAGAAATCAAGAGAAATCAAAATGGTCTATTCCTCATCTGCAAACGACAAGGCCGTTTACTTAATTTATGTACCTTCTATATATGTTTTTTTTTTTGTCTAGCGAGAACGACCCAACGTTTAAATTACACTTGAAACGAAAATTGCTTTATGTAATTCTGAAACTGCTATGCAGCAGAAAGATGCTTAGACACAGAAGCAAGCATCACAAGATTGCTGGTTGAATGGCTTCATGAGCAAGAATTTGCATCGGTCTCGAAGACAAGTGGAGATACAGCTCTATAAGAGGCAATCAATAGAACAATATAAGCAACTATTGGAGTTATTTGAACTTTGCAGGTGCATTAGAAGTTGATGAGAAGTCTGTCGAATACGCTCAACAGGTGGAGATACCCAGCATGGCCTGTAATTCATAGTTTTTGAATATGAACCAAGTAATATTAACATGAGAAAGATTGCATCTAAGTTTCAAAGTCGAATATTAATCGACAAAAGCAAATTAAGTATTTGGAATTCAAAGATTAAAGGAAAGAAGCTGAAATACCTGGAATTTAAAGTTTCTAAATCCTGACAGAATTGACAACCTTTCATTCTCAGTCAGAATCCTGCAGAAATACTGCCAAAGAAAAGGGTGGGAAAATTAAAATAAATTGACAAAAACAAAGCAGAAAAAGGATGGACATAAATGAAGAAATAGAGAAATTTAAAATTACCTCCATTGACAGTGATTTCTGGGATATGAGAAAGCTTTGACCACTCAGAACCTCTCCCATTGGCACAACTTTTCTCAAGAAGGGGGCATTTATCTATTTCCAGATTCCTTAATTTGTTGAGTCGTTGCATAGCTGTAGCTTTAGGCAGATACTTGAGATTCTCACAATTAGAAATGCGAAGCCGTATAAGAGAAGAAAGGTTGCCCAACCATTCTGGCAAAGCTTTCAATCCTTGGAAATTACTCAGGACCAATATTTCGAGATCAGTGATGCGTTGAAGCTGCTCTGGAAGGGACTGGAAATAATCTCGGCCGTCTAGGATTAATTGTTTAAGAGATGGGAAGTCCCGGATTGAATATAGACCAGAGAAAGCATCTGGCTCGTTATAGGAGCGATCCATTATCAATGACTTGAATTGAGTGAGGCAGCATAAAATGTTCCCTGGATAATTAATCAGATTTGGACAGTCTATTATTCCTAAACTTACAAGAGAATGCAATTCGTCTAAATCTTCAGGAACATATGTCAGCCCCGGGCATCCAAATATATACAAACTATGAAGAGATGTGCAGGTTTCTAGCCCTTCTGGAAGAAATAGTAGTTGATCACAACTTTGGATAGATAACTCTCGAAGAGAGGTGAAGCCTTGTAATGTTTCAAAGGATACCAAATTAGGACAATTTACTACTTCTAAAAGTTCGAGAGATGTTAAAGGAATGTCTCTCTCAAATTCCACGTAATTGAGCTCTTGACAATCATGGATTTTCAATCGGACAAGGGAAAAAAGATGAAGAAGTACTGGAATACTTGTCAATAGGGGGCACCAGGAAATAGTCAAGTCTTCAAGGGAAGGAAATACAAGGCCGTCTGTTAGTGCTATCCAGTCAGTTAATCCATTCATAGAACGTAGAGAGAATTTCTTTAAAGCCGGAAAAAATCTCAAATCAGTGTTGCTGCTTTCACCATCAATACCATAGAACTCATTGCCTAGACGTCTGACACTATCCATTCCACTTATCTCAAGAATTTTAAGACAAGGAAGATGCCCTAGCCTTGGAATTTCTTCACACCTGTCACAGCCTATGAGTTTTAGCCGGACCAAATTATTTAGTGCGAAAGAATCACCATCATGGCTTGGAATTTTCATCCTTAGTAACCACAGTGGAAATTCTTCACCCCAGTAATTATGAATAATTAAGCTTTTTATCTCTGGGTGAGGCTGGAGGCCTTCCAATACTTGTTCATCATTGTCATAGCTCTCTCTTTCGCCACTCCATACAAGTAACAATTCTTCTATTTTCTTTTTCTGCTGAATGTTTGCTTTCATAGCTTCTTCTTTGTCTTTCACCTGCTCAAGATTAAATATTCCCAGTTTTCCTCTTATGTTTAAGCTTTCTAGTTCTTCAATATTACCGCCCCGATCTGGACCCAGTACAAAGAATGGAAGCCTTTCAAGACAAGTCAGACGCCCTACGTCAGCTGGCATTTGATTCTCATAAGAAAAATAAATACTTTTCAAGCTAACCAAATTGCTTAATTTGTTGGGTAGCTTTTCAAGTAGTTTGCATTCAATCAGTCTCAATGTTTGCAAATTGTAAAGCTTCGTGATTGATTCAGGCAACACTCTAATATCACTGTACGAGACATCGAGAAATCTCAAATATTTCAATTTGCCAATCGCAATAGGCAACTCTTTGATATTAGGACCAACTAGCTTTAGAGTTCGCAACCTCGTGAACTCCCATGACTCATTAGGGGCAACATCCATTATGAATAAAGAACGCAATCTTTTAACATCATCTTTCGGAAATGTTGGAACAGTTTCCCCGTTAGAAACGAGGTTTAGATGACGAACATTAGAAGAAGATACTGTTTCGAACTTTGAAATAGACAATGCAAGATCATGCACAAGATCATGCATCTTGACACTAGTGATATTCTCGTATATATCCCTTTCCACATCTTGAAAAAATGAATTGAGAAGCAGTTCATTAAAATACATTTCTCCTATATGTTCTTCATTAGATGGCCCAAGAAGCCCTTCGGCCATCCAAAGTTGAACTAGTTCTTCTTTTTTCATCAAAGTACTTTTAGGAAAAATTGAACAATATACAAAGCAAGGTTTCAACGGGGAAGGCAATCGATCAAAACTTATTCTCAATATCGATTCAATGCGAATCTCTTTGTCTAATGCATTTAAAACATTACTATCCCTAATTGATACCCATGCTTCTCTCCTCATATCACGACTCATTGCTCCAGCTACAACTCTTGCAGCTAATGGCACACCTTTACATTTGTCTGCAATTTCTTTCCCAATAGCCTCTAACTCTGAAGGGATTGATGATCCTCTAATTTCACACACTCTTTCTTTCATAATTGACCAACATTCATCTGTAGACAATAAATTCAGTTTATGCCTACACCGAGGATGACTCTCCATTATAGAAGCTACTTCCTCACTACGGGTTGTGACAATAATAGCATTCCCTTTCCTTTTACTGATTGCTAACAGACGAATTTTTAAACTATCCCACATCTCATATTCTTGGTTCCAAACATCATCAAGAACAAGAAGGAACTTTTTATCTCCTAGCTCTTTTTCAAGGTGTTGAAGTGCTGCATCCTTATTGGTAATCCCTCCCGCATTTTCATTTAAAGTTTGCAACATTTCTGCTAAAATGCTTTGCTCATCAAAATTACTAGAAACACAAATCCACATTTTTACATCAAAGAGCTTTCTTTGCATTGCTTCTTGACAAACCAATTTAGCAATCGCTGTCTTTCCAAGACCACCCATGCCCACTATGGGAACAACAGTGAGAACTTGTTGATCGCCAAAGCAAACCAACAAATCCACAATTTTCGAGACATCTACTTCCCTTCCCACAATTGGATGGTCAATTGCCGAGTCTGTCACTCGCTCCAATCTTATTTGAGGCACTCTATCTATAGATATGACTCTAAGTCCAAAACTAGAGGCTTCATTTTTAATTTTGTCTAGCATCTCATTTACATGCCTAACCTTGTGAGACATTTTTACGTGATATGCAGTCTTCTTCACATAACGAATGCCTTTGGAAAACGCAAATTTGCGTACCTTTGTGTCAGGCTGGTTTTCCATCTCCACTTTTTGGCGAAGCATTTCATAGCTCAACTCATCAAGTACACTTTCAGCATCATAAGCCACATCTTTGAGCTTCTTCAGCCACCGCCTTACCGCCATTTGAGTCGCCTGTTGCTCTTCTGCATCTTGTAACACATCGTGAATCATGGCTAGTGAGTCTTTAAGGCTATTAAGTTCTTCATCAAAACCCCATACAAGTTTGATTTCTTCTGTGATAAGCAAACGCGCCCTAGCCAATATTTCCTGCACTGTAAAACTCAACACAATATCAGCCATTTTGTTCTTTCTTTGTTGTACCTACACAAGCCAAATTTGAGAACCAGAGGACAATGAACACAGAGATTCTGTATAAGCTGTTATATGTACATAATAAGGGAATAAGTCGAAAGTCAAGTGCTCTCTTTGCAACTATATTTTACTAATTTTCCATCTGTTTTCCATGTGATTCTGAGGAAAGGACGTAGTTTAGAAAACTATACAAGGAACATAAAGTCTAAAATTGAAGGAAAGGAAATGTAGAATGGAATATTTATTAATCAGGTCAATGAAAATATAGTAGTTTTGCTTTCATAATGATGCTAATTTAAATTTATTAAAATATGTAGGAGCCAAAGCATTCAAGAGGATACATTTGCTCGTAAATCAACAGTCAATGAGAAGATAAGCAAGGCTTCTATTTTCAAATACCAACTTGACAACTTGGTGCAGTAATGTATGCATTTGGGTAAACGAACAATATATAAGAGCTAAAGTCAACGAAAAATAAACAAATGAGCAAATGGATCATATTAATTCTTCATCATCCATGCCAAATTCCATAAAATATAACAATTTAAATTTCTTTGCAATTGCAGATTTTTTTTAAAAAAAGTAAAAGACAAAAATCTCAGGCAAAACCTTCATAGCATTTGGGAATATCAAATATGAAATTTCCTGCACTTTTCATTTGTTAGCAATAAGTAATCCAGATATTTGCTTAAGAAGGGTTTAAAGAATTTGATCCAACAGAAGTTATTATTCTCAAGAAAATAAAAAAGGAAAGAAAAAATAAACCTTTTTCATTCTCTTTTGCATACAAGAAGTCAATCCAATAAAAAAATTATTACCCATTTATGTAATGATCTGATCTTCCTTTCAGGCTCCACTACAAGAAAGAGAGAATTCATCTGGAAGCTATACAGTTTGTAGCCAATTCATATAAGAACTCAATACGGGAGAGAATCCACCGTACCATATTTGCAGAAAGATCAGCTCAGACACGGTACGTAGCAGCATAATAAATATCCATCCCTTCTACAGCATTACTTCCAAACAGATTTCAGCTCTTTGTACGTGAGGAAAATACCAAGCGATATGTTTAACGAAACTGAAGAAAGACGACGAGAGAAGAGTTTGAGCACGATGGGAAAGCTTCCATCTCAGTCACGAAATTTTGCTGTCATTCGTGGATGTGATCAACTGATCATGAGTGCGAAAAGTTTCCCTCCATAATGTAATATTGGAAGTGAGACTCTCATATTTGATATTACGCTTTGAGAGAGGAAATTTTAACCAAAGTATAAACTATTAAAACCACTGAATTATAAGCACAACTGCACAAGCTAGTAAAGTTATACTTCTAAAATGAATTTTATAGTTAACTCCAATATAAAAATTCGTTTGCAACTAAAATTTTTAATGAAATGAAATTTATTTGGATATCTTCTAAACGAAATGAAAATCAAGAAATAAAGAGGAATTCAGTCAAATTATGGGTATTGCTACATCTCACAGTGTTGAGCTGAAATTCAAGTTAGTATACAAGGTCACCTATCGGTTGCATTTTCAAGAATCATTTGGAAAAAAAAAAAAGTTGATTAAGGATTTATTCAGCAAAATTAGCTGCTGTTTTGCTAGCATACTGATCTCTGAATGTTTGCATTATAGAACCTTTAGTTTAAAAATGGAGTTTCCTTGTATTTTTCACACACGCTGTTTCCACAACTCAAACCTGTGACCCCAGGTCACACAGTGACAACTCCATCGTTTTGCCAAGACTCCCTTCATCTTCATGGTATCATCCTAACAAATAACTGATCATTCTAAATTATTTTCAACGAATCAAACCAACAGATCCTGATGCTTGATCATCTTAATGAGCTATCTAAATGGACTTTTCAAGGTCATTTTCTCAATAAAATTATTTAATGTGTAGTAGAATTTGGACAGGAAATAAGAAATTACACCAATGCATATTTGCCAAGTAAACTATGGTTCAGGAGTTGCAATCTCCTGAATGTTTAATCAACAATTGATTTTTGGAGAAGAAAAATGTAAAAAAATACCCCTCCATTGCTTAAGAGCCTGAGCTTTGACCTCTGATTAAAATTTTTGAATATTCATTTCAGGAAGAAAACGACATAAAGCTTACAAATTTTAGGCATACATACATACATATACACATACGACTAATAGTAATTTTGTTGATCTTACAACTAAAACAAAAGAATCAAGAAAATTTGTTCAAGAATATAATAACTTGAATAAAAGGGAATGAAAAATAAATAGTGCTGCTCGTCTCAACAACTTTCTTAATTTGGTTGACCTGCACCTCTTGATATAGACGCTATCTTTCTTGGCATGGACGCCAAGCTGCCAATGTCCATGAAAAACTCTGCACGATAGCTAAATTAATTAGAGAAAGAAGATAAAATATGATAAGCCGAGAAGAGGAAGAAATATGGAGTGAAGTTAAACTCAAACTTACCTCTACCTGCAATCTTGCAAAATTAATAGAAGAAAATTTGCGGGATATGTGAAATCTTGGACCACTCAGAGCCACTCCCTTTGGCACAATTGTTTTGAAGAAGGGGACAGGACACTTATGCAGCCTCATTAACTTGGAGAAGCATAGGGTTGTTTTAGTTAGATACATCAGATTCCTACAGTGCCAAATTTCAAGGTATTGAAGAGATGACAAGTTCTCCAACCACTTTGGTAAAGATTTCACCTCGTTGAAAGAACGAATGCATGCTGACATGAGGCCGGTGAGATATTGAAGTTGATCTGGGAAAGAATTGAGATTATCCAAGCCAAATATCCTTAACTCTTCGAGCAACGGGAGGTCTTGGATTGAATCCAAACCAGAGAAATACTCTAGTTCCTTTGAGAAAGGACCAATTCTCAAGTCCTTCAGTTGGGAAAGGCAGCATAATATATCTTTCGGACAATAAATCAAATTTGGACAGTTTGTAATTTCCAAATATACAAGTGAACACAATTCACTTAAATTTTCAGCAATAGATGTTAGCCCATCGCACCATATTATGGACAAATGCTCCAGCAATGTGCAAGACTGTAGCTCATTTGGAAGAGATGTTAACTTGGGACATTCTTCGATCTTTAACGTTTTCAAGGAAGTGAGACCTCCAAGACTCGGTATAGATACCAGATTATGACAATAACTTATTCTCAAGTCTTCAAGAGAAAAAAAGGCATCGAATTTGTCACATAAATAACTCAACTCTTCGCAACCATCAATTTCCAGTTGTGCAAGTGATGAAAGATGACTCGCTGGAATGCTCGTCAATTGAGGACACCCTGAAATTTCCAAGCAGCAAAGCTGAGGAAATGCAATTGCATCACTTCTTTCGGTTACTGATGGCGCCATCCATTCTGTTAAACTCCTCATCGAACATAGATAGAATTCTTTTAGAGATGGAAACGGTATTTGTTCTCTGCTTTTGCCATAAAACTCAGTGCCTATACATCTGACATTATCCATTCCACTTATTTCAAGAATTTTAAGAAGAGGAAGTTGTCCAAGCCTTGGATTTCTGTACACTTCTTGCATCCATCCAATCTCAAATTAACCAAATTATTGAGTACATCAACAACCATGATGGAAATGTTTCACCCCAATAATTCACGATATCTAAGCTCTCTATGTTTGAGTGAGGCTGGAGGCCTTCCAAGACTTCCTCATCATTATTGCAGCTTTCTCTCTTCCTACTCCAAGTAAACCGCAATGCATTTATTTTAGTTTTTCCTTGCAGGTTTGCTTTCTCCGCTTCACTTTTACCTCTCACCAGCTCAAGATTTGTTATTGCTAATTCTCCTCTTAGTTCCTTTAAGGACTCCAATTCTTGAATGTTACCGCCCCTAGTTGGACCCACAACAAATAATGGCAATGTTTGAAGACAAGTTAAGCGCCGCACCTCAGCCGGCATCTGGTAATCATAAGAGAAATAAATATGCCTCAAGCTGATGAGATTGCTTATTCATCATTTGTAAGTAAATTCAATTTATGCCTATATAAAGGAGAAGACTCCATTACAGATGTCATTTCTTCACTAAGAGTTGTAATGATAACAGCATTTCCATTATTTCTACTAATCATCAACAATCGATTTTTTAGACCATCCCATTTCTTGGATCCCTCATTCCACACATCATCAAGTACAAGAAGAAATTTTTTCCTCTCCAATGCCTTATCAAGGTGTTCAAGTGTTGCGTCCCTATTGGTTATCCCACCTGCATTTTCATCAAGTGTTTGTAACATTTCCCCGAAAATCCTTTGATCATCAAAATTATCAGACATACAAACCTATATAGTTACATCAAAAAGTTTTTTCTCTTTCCCCTCCTTGCATACCAGTTTAGCTAATGTTGACTTCCCAAGGCCACCCATACCTACTATGGAAACAACAATGAGAACTTGTTGATTGCTAAAGCAAGTCAGAAGGTTCACAATTTTTGAGACATCATCTTTCCTTCCTACAACTTTTGAGTTGTCAAGTACAGATTCTGTCACTCTATCCAAGCCACCTTCAAGCGCTCTATCTGCACATGTAACTCTAAGCCCAAAATCAGCTACTTCCCTTTTGATTTTATCCAGTGACTCATTTATATCTCTAACTTTATGAGCCATTTTGACATGAAATACGGCTTTCTTTAAATAACGAGTGCTTTTAGAGAAGGGAAAGAATTCAGATACCTTTGCCTCCAGTTGGTTTTGAATCTCCACTGTTTGTCGAAGAATCTCATAAGCAAACTCACCAAGTACGTCTTCAGCATCATAAGCAACGTCTTCAAGCTTTTTAAGCCAACGTCTAACGGACTTTTGTGTCACTTGTTGCTCCTCTGCATCTTGCAATACATCACGCATCATGCTTAATGATTGTTGAAGGCATTTTAATTCATCGCTTAGACCCCAAGTAAGGATGATTTTTTCAGTGATAAGTGAGAACAGCCGAGTTAATATTCCTTCTACTACAAAACGCAAGAAGATGTCAGCCATAGTTCAGTGATCGTCTTTCTTACTCAAATCAAGGAAATCAATGGAGTGAGAAAATAGTGGTCCTATAGATTAATTCAACAATAGCTCCTCACTGTTGACTGGGGAAATTGTTTTTTATGTATCAGTTTTGTCTTATACTTACATGTGCTGGCTATTTTCAAAGTCCAATTATGCGTGTATTATTATAATAAAGAAAAATCAAAAGATGGATCAAACGGTAAAAGCAACAATCCCCATTTCATCTTAATTAAGCTTCTCTTCATTAATGGCTATTTATCTGAGTAAAGATTAAAACTTGCTACTATCACGTGAAGATATAACAAGCATGTGATGTATCTGGTATATACAGACAAGACACAAGCTTTTACATGGCACCCACCTTTAAATGTAAATTAAATATTTTTACATGGAATCTTAAAAACAGATGATACAAAAATAAAAGAAAATACAGAGAGAAAGAGAGGTAAAGACCTGCTTTTTTCTTCCTAAGATCAGCAATTGCGAGACAACAGACCTCCATGTTTGCTTAAATGCAGATGCTGTGTAAGGAAAATGAATAATAATCAAACCATAGATTAAGGATAAATGAAATGAATAGATAAAAAAAATAAAAAATAAATGTATAATTCTTTTGGTGCAGAAAATTTAAACGAACCCAGTTTCAAGAGCAGAAAATTTTTAACAGATTGAGTTATGTAGATGTACTACTAACCATCTACATAAAGGAAGAATTTTCTTATGTTAATTGATGAATTACTTTTTCGCTCTTGAAGCACAGCTTGCTTAGTTCAACATAATAACTGGTGAAAAGATCGACTCATTTGGCTGTAAGTTGGGATTTCAGCTGTTTGTGGATTAGAGAAAATAGTAAATGACCGTGTTTTATGCTTAAAGAAATACCATCCATGAAAGAAGAAAACAGCAAAAAGTTCTGGGAGACGGAGAAATTTCCTTCTTACTTATGATGATAAGGAAAAGTTTTCCTATTCTTAATATATACGAGGCAAAAGTTTCTTTCAATAATGAATACTGATTCTGCGGTTTTAGATATAAAAGATATTATATAGAACCAAAAAAAATCAATTTAGGCATTATTCCAAACAGTTAACATGCGCATGCATAACTAAATTAACTGATCCTGTAAAAATTTTTGCTATATATATATGGGTTTGCATGATCCATTTTAGCACCAGTCTGAAATTTTTGGCCGAACAAAGCTAGCTAAAATGGTGAAGTTTGAATTCTCAGTTGGGTGTCTGATGCTGCAAGTTCATTGCTCAATTTGTGAAAAACTTCATAAAAGTTAAGCTTTGATTCAACAGTACTGCTGTGTGAGGCTGCAACTTAAAATCCTCAATCATAGCCTAACCAAGAAGAAACTAAAATGGAACTGTTTGAAACAGAAACTAATTTCATGGAACCTTTGGTTCAAAAATTGAGCAATGAAACTCTTCACCTTGTAAATTTGCACATCACAGCATATCCGGGTTCAAGTTTCATATTCATATACATTAAATGACTACAGAGACAAACACATAAGATACCAATCTCACTAAGAACAAAAGAAATATAGTATATAATATGTGTAGGCTTAATATTATAGGTGCCTCGGTATGCAAAAATGCCTTAGAAAGATAATCAATCTTACATTATCAATCTCATTGAAAATAGTAACTAATGACACAATGAAGGCATAATTCACGCCTGGATAAACTTCGACCATGAACTTATCTCTGCCTTCCAAAAAGCTTCCCCAACTAAACTCGTGATTCACCTGTGTAGTCATATTACCAATGTTAAGTTCTAGCTTCAAAACCTACTACTTGCATTCATTTCTTGAAAAGATACAAGAGAAAACACTCTCAAAGCGTTTTTTTTTTTTCCCTCTTCTTTGTAAAACCTTTCAGTTGTATTATATTTTTCATAAACCCAACGAATGTTAGTTTCTAAGGTTAACCCTGCAATCACCTTTGTATACTTTAAGAGACAGAGAAGAGTAGCAGCCAACAACCTGGAAGTTGCTGATATCTTCATTATTGTTGCCTGGTAAGAAGACATCAAGCCTTGTTTTCACCTGAAGAGGAAGGAAACGCTGCACAGCAAAAAGGAGACCATTCCTTCCTGAGATCTCCTGATGAACTAACAAACGATGCCAGCTTGTAAGTAACTTGGCAAATACTGAAAAAAAAAAGGTTAGATTGTTCTACCTTCCAGAAACTACATGTATTTATTTATGCATTACTTACTTTAGCATATATATATATATCACAAAGAGGCAGCATCTACCTTTTAATGCACTGTGAGAACTGAGAATATGAAATGAGTAGGATCCCTCATGATTGTTTTCTTTTGGCAGTTCTTGTAGCGGCCATCAACCTGGAGGAAGAGATTGCCATTTGCATCAAGAAGTTCAAAGTGGGAATTAAAGAGCCCACTATATTTCTTCTTGATGAGCAATTCCACAAGATAGGGCAAAGAAGCCTTCCCCTACAACACTAACAATGGTTACTCCATATGCTACCTCTTGAGAGGCCATTTAAAATTCCCCAGTAAAACAGTATATTAGCATCCAATTATACAAGATAATTCTGAAGTATTCTGCAATGCCTCTGTCCATAAGCAGTCTAGAAAATAGGCCTGCAAGGATAAATCTCTCATTTCCCAGAAGCTGAGTTCTTTATATTGACAAGGTAACATGGTATGACAGTATCAAGATTAGATGAGAAAAAAAGAATTATCATATAAACCAACCAGTTTGAATTTCAACTAGCGCTGAGGTTGGGCAAGACAAATTTATTTCGCTTTTTAATTACAATTGAGTTTTTTATATGTCTATAAGCAGAATGTACAAGAGAATTTATATATAGACATATTTAACTGAAGAGCCATGTACCATATGGAATGTACAGATAAACATGGATACACCTAATGTACTCTTAGAATATCTGCTATCATTTTGTAATAAATATTATATTCAGAAATTTTCTCTCATTTGATGCACTAAAAATAGTTTGCATAAAATGACAGTGATCTTTGACTCTGTATAAAACAACCTAGGATAGTTAAGATGTAACATCTGCATACTGATTTCTTGAATGATATTCATACACCAGAAGCTATAGACAGGAAAGAACACCAGATAAGATTAGAAAGCCAACTAAGGTTTGAAGGTCCAATCAATCAAAACATAGATGCAAGATGTAAAACAAATTTCTTTGTTTAATAAGAAGATCTCCATATCAATGTGACTTTTGAAACTTTTGAATTCTTCCCACAATATAGAATATAAATGGCGAATTAGACCTTTGAGTCTAATCTTGGGATCAACTTAAAAAATGACTGAACATTCCAAAAAAAAAAATGTTAAAATAAATTAAGGAACAGAACAAATTAATATGTTACTAGGTAAAGGTTCAGAAGAAAAGAATATCCTAGAAAGAATTCAAGCTAATGCATGCAACACAAATTTAAATGTCTTTGACAAAAAGTTAGTTTCCTTTGATGTAGAGTAAGTATAAAGAAATAGAAAAGTCCTCCAACCACTTGTAAGACTTCAGTAATAATCTGAAGAAAGAAGCTGGGTGTGTATGTATGCTAATACAGTAGCTGCTGCTCACCCATCTCCTACTCCAATCCTGATAAATTCATGCCATACATGGGCCAGCAAATGAAATGGTTGGCACAGAAAGAGTAGAATTGGTGGATTAATGTTTAGTACTACTAGTTAGAATGCATACCATGAAGATCATAAAAAGAAACTTCTAAAAACAAGAACCTAAAGTGCTTAATAATTCAGATTTTGAGTGAAAAGAAGTTCCATTTACTGGCAGCTCCAAGAGTTGATGCTGTATAAAACTTTTATGAAAGGTAAAATAATGCTCCATTCGCTTTAAAATAGCTTTTTCAGTAACCAATCCCCAGATGGTCTTTCTTTAATTCTTTCAATGAGATATATCTAGAGTTTCTTTCTGGAAAGCACGCCCCTTCATCCACTTAACAGGTTAGGAAGAACAATGACATGAAAAATAAGATTAAATAAAAATTTGTTCGGAGAAAGATGCCAAGTGTGTAAGCAAAATCTAACTTCTTTTTATTACACTGCAAAAAAGCCTCTCTTTGTAAAGTAGAGTTCAATCTAAAATGCAAACATGGTTTTTTGACCTAAGTCAAAGTACTTCCAGCCTACAATGGTAAGTTTTATACCTTAGTCACATCTTAAGATTAACAATCATATCTCAGATCTTGGAATCTCTTTATCAGGCTTGATTTGTAGTTCTTGATTTCTTCTTCCTCGGAGGAATTCGGGGTAGACTTAATGACAGAGATGGCCCCAGCATCTTTTAAAGCTCCAACAGCCTCATCTGCAATTCCACAATGTATGTTAAGCAACCAAAATAAAAAAGTAAATGCTGGTTACTACTTGGTATTAGTTTTGTTGCCTCCTGCAGTTACCAAGTTGTGCAACTCCACAAACATTTGTCACATTTATTATGGTAACACCACTGTATCGAAAGAATAAGGCAAACTGGAGGTTCACATCCACAACATCTATCTGTCAATTTCCATATCTGCCGAATATAAAAAGCTTTCTGACCTAGCATCAATACTAGTTTTCATAATGTGGGATATAAAACATAAACATATAAGCTCATACTTGAAAAAGCTCAGACATAAACATTTAACCTGAGTGTGAAAGTGCAGCAAGAGCCTTGAGAGCAGCAATCCGAGTGTCATCATCCTTTGCATCCTTCAACATGCTTACCAACTCTTGAGCCCCACCCATCTCCACAATTTTCATCCTTTTTTCATCTGGAAATCAAGAGGACACAGAGCTCACCTATGAAAATTTTCTCAAAAAACAATCATAAAGAAAAAAAAAAGGGTGGAAGCGATGCAGTGCTAATTTTATTTTTCAATAATTTGGTTCTAAAAACAGAAACTTTTTTCTTCTCCCACTGAACCCACAAACATTTTACTTTTTACCAGCAAAGCAAATCACTCATAGTTCAATTACAACAATCAACAATTAAATAGAAAGGCAGCTTTAAAAAAAATTGATCGAAGATATTTTGAGGTAAAACCAACTGATGAATGCTTTATTCTAAGTTCTCCTTAAGACATGAATAAAACTGCATAAGCACAACAAAACTGCATTAAAAAAATTGAAAAATGAAAGTAGCAGCATTACCATTAACAGCAAAACGAGCTAATCTGGAAGCACCAGTTCTTTTAAAGAAAGGATCTTTGACTTGCAAGAGAGAAACTGACTGCTGCACCAAATTATCTCCTGAAAAATTAGAGAAGTATAATTTTCAATTCTTGAAGTTAATACCAGCAGCCAAACCAAGAGAAGCTTAGATTGATTAAGGTTACCCATGTATGGAAAGAACTGATAACCAACAAAAGTAGCTGTCCCAGCGAACATAAGTTTCAGTAACCATCCAATTTTCCTTTCAGCATCCTGCTCAATGGCGAGCTCATCTGAAAGTCTCTAATCAAATTAGACTAACTACCACTTTCTGCATTTAAAAAATAAAACCAAAAAAGAGAAATTGAAAATACCTCTGCTTTTATTCAAAGATGAGAAATTACGAGACTGCAAATGTGGGTTTTTGCTTCGGAACAGATACTGCAGATTATTGAGAAGGAATATTTCACTAATCAAATTGATATGGGAAATAAATTACATGGAAAAAAGAAGCAAAATGTGGATTCAATTACGGTGCTAAGTTGAGCTGCTGACTTGCGCATACTCTCTCCCTTCGGTTTCTGATTTGCAGAGCACGGCGGAACGGGCTAAACTTCAGGTAAATGTTGCTTAGATACGCAATGACATGCCTAAGTCGACATGTCGTTTTTTTCTTCCGCATTCTTTTGTTCCTACGTTTAAAGTACAAAGCTGTTGTAAGCAAACGACCAGTCATTTGGAGAAAAAGCTGGTCCTTTTAGACTTTGATTTAAATAAAGACCTCTCATTTTCTTAACGACAAATGTTTCAATAATAACTGTTGCTTCAAACAATTACTTATATATTTGTGGTCGGTGAACGACCAGGCTTTAGATTTTGGGATCCAAACGACAAAGTCGGTTTTAGAGTGGCCCGTTTGATCAAAACAGTCTAACCCGAATGAAGACCCGTCCCAAAAGCAAAAGCCAGCACGAAAACGGTGCCGTGTAGCTGATTACAAATACGCTTCTCCTTCGAAAATCGAATGAAACCAACGAAGTGGCGGCGGGTATCTGAAACAATGGACTCCACCGATATGCAGAATCCGAACAGAGCGTTAACAGACACGCGCTTCTCCGATCTAAAACCGCCTCTGTCGGAGCCGGTTCTCGATGCTCTAACAGAAGCCGGTTTCGAGTATTGCACGCCTGTCCAAGCAGCTACGATTCCCCTACTATGTAGCTACAAGGATGTTGCTGTTGACGCCGCCACCGGCTCCGGAAAAACCCTTGCTTTCGTAGTCCCACTCGTTGAGATTCTCCGGCGAGCCTCCTCTCCTCCTAAACCCCATGAGGTGCTCCTCCACCCTCTCCTTTTCTTCTCTCTATTTGGTTGCCATGAAAACGCACGAAAAGAAAGAGAAGATTGCGTTTTTCTCTCCTTTTCCACTTCAAAATGAATAGTTTTTACTATAAAGTTAAGATAAGCTCAGTTTAGTATAGCATATAATCACTAATGTGTTATAGTTACTTCAGATCATAAATGGTTTACTTAAATTTGCTGAATTTAAGCTTAGCTTGGTCCATTTTATCAGCTACCAGTCAGAAATTCGTACTCTTCGCCATTGTTTTGTGTTATTGAGCTTGGAGTTTTCGTTTGTTTACAGGTTATGGGAATAATTCTCTCTCCTACCAGGGAGCTTTCATCACAAATATACAATGTTGCACAACCTTTCATTGCAACCTTATCGAATGTTAAGTCTATGCTACTTGTTGGAGGTGTGGAGGTGAAAGCTGATGTGAAGAAAATAGAAGAGGAAGGAGCTAATTTATTGATTGGCACACCTGGAAGGCTTTATGATATCATGGAACGCGTGGATATCCTGGACTTTCGAAACCTTGAGGTAGTGATTTTACCCACTTAATGAGATTGAGACTTTTATATCATGAAATTTGCAGCTCAACCGAACAGAATGCTACTTATGTGACAAGGAATGTTTCATAGCTGCTAGGATGTTCAATCCAATAGGTTCTTTGAGATTCACGTTATCATTTCATTACAGTTACTTAATTTGCTTTAAAAGGAACCATGACTGAATCCAGGACATGTTAAGAAAAACTGAATGTGCATGTTAGATAAGATATTTGCTTGCTCAAATCTAAATACTTTGAGGACTTCTAATGAGAATAGTAGCAAAATATGCCAAAAAAAGTGGTTATTGTAGAGTGTATTAGTTAATATGTTCATTGGTGGACCAGGTTTTAATTCTGGATGAGGCTGATAGGCTATTAGATATGGGATTTCAAAAGCAGATATCTTCCATCATATCTCGCTTACCCAAGCTTCGTAGGACTGGTCTTTTCTCAGCTACACAAACTGAAGCAGTTGAAGAGTTATCTAAAGCTGGACTGAGGAATCCTGTGAGGGTTGAAGTTCGAGCAGAGACAAAATCACTGAATGATTCAACATCTTCACAATTATCATCTTCGAAAACACCTTCAGGTCTTCAACTTGAGGTATATAGTTTTTTGAATTTTTTCAATACTATGTTAAGTTGGTTTTTCACTTAGATTATCCCTTTGTTTTCTAGTTACGATTGTCTAGTTGATGCTCTGAGTTAAATGAGTATACTTGCTTGTAAATATTTGTCTTTTGTGGAATCATTATATACAAATTCTCAGTTGTCTTAAAAATTGGAATGCAAGGGCGTCAAACTATTCCACATTGGTGCATTTTTTGTTTCCTGTGCCAATGTATCCCATCTTTGAAAGTGCTTGAGGATTCAAGGATGCCTTTATGGGGAGTTCTTAATTCTGTTTACATTTAAATCCTTAAATACTTATGCTTCAAGAAAAGTGTTGTTTAAAATAATTTCATTCTTTTCCTTGAATGGAATACCCATGTAGCTGAAAAAAGTTTCATAATTCATATCATAAGGCATACAATTCATTCAGCAGTTGTACATAAACACTGTAAATGGGTTACTTGTTACGAAAGCATTTTTCTAAGTAGTAAGCACGAGTTGTCCTGCTTTTGCAGTATTTGGAATGTGAAGCAGATAAGAAGCCATCACAACTTATTGATCTTCTCCTTAAGAACAAATTTAAAAAGATTATAGTGTGAGTTATTATTTGTATTTTCCATTGGATGAGTAATGCAATCAATGTTAAGGGTTAAAATTATTTCCTTACATGTGCAGTTACTTTATGACTTGTGCTTGTGTTGACTATTGGGGGGTTGTTCTTCCACGTCTTACTGCTTTAAAGGGTTTTGCTTTGATTCCTCTTCATGGAAAGATGAAACAGGTAAATTTTGGAAGATGACTGTAGTTTTGATTATATCAAAGTCGTGAACTAACCTATGTGTCTGACATTACGTATTTTATGTTGATAGACTGTAAGAGAGAAAGCGTTGGCTTCATTTATATCTCTCAAAAATGGCATTCTTCTGTGTACGGATGTTGCAGCACGTGGACTTGATATTCCTGGAGTTGACTGTATAGTGCAGGTAGCATGATAACTTCTGAGTTACCCAGTAATCTTATGAGGCATGAATTTTAGGATTTTATATTAAGGGTATTAACTTTTCCATTATAATTTTGTAAATGCTGATTCATGTTGGTCCCTTGTTTTTTTCAGTATGATCCCCCTCAAGATCCAAATGTTTTTATCCACAGAGTTGGGAGGACTGCTCGGTTGGGTAGGCAGGGAAGTGCTATCGTTTTCCTGTTGCCAAAGGTTCAATTCTTAAATCTCTACCCATGTGGTCATTATTAATCAGTTGACAAGCTACTCTACTGCTCTATGTTATGAATTCATTAATTCAATGTTGATTCTATATAATGAAAAGGTGATCAGTTTGGTTGTCCTTATGTAGGAGGAAGCTTATGTAGAATTTCTGCGCATAAGAAGGGTTCCTCTTCAAGAGAGGAAAAATACAGATGATGTTCCTGATGTTGTTCCTCAGGTAAGCATGATTTCTGTTGTAACATGGACTGTCAGGATAGAACTAGTAATCCTAAATAAGTTAATGAGGCTGTAATAATTCCTTAGTGGACATGCAGCATCACTTCAAAAATAATTACTGTTACTACTTCCAGTATATCCTTGAAACCGTCAGAGGAAATGGACCCTAGAGCTTAATTATCCTAATGAATTCCAGTGTGTGTGTGATGCCTTTGATGCCAACACTATATACTAATCGTTGGGTTGCTTCAAAGACTATGTATTCATGCTTCAATTGTTATCATTCCTCCTCTGGTATTTCTTTGGTCAGGTGAAAATTTCTTATGTCATTTTCAGATACGTGCTGCTGCCAAGAAGGACCGTGATGTCATGGAGAAAGGACTGAGAGCATTTGTTTCATTTATTCGTGCATATAAAGAGCATCATTGCTCATACATCTTCAGGTCTGTAATTACATTTCTCCTTAGATTTAATTGTTTCTTTTTTTCTCAGGCAGTACTTTCTTTACTAAGACTATAACCATACCACAGTGGCATTGCAATCAGATATTCAGTTTGTATTTTGTGTCCTACAGATGGAAGGAACTTGAAGTTGGGAAGTTGGGTATGGGTTATGGTTTATTGCAGCTCCCTTCAATGCCTGAGGTAAAACACCATTCACTTTCCACTGTTGGTTTTACTCCAGTGGAAGACGTCAAATTGGAGGACATCAAGTTCAAGTAAGAAACCTTTGCAATTCTTTAATTTATCTCATTAAGTTGAGTCAGGGGGGATAAGAACTCATGTGATTATACACGCCAGCAGGGCCTGAAATTTCTTTAAAACATTTTCATTTTATCTGCTGTCTAATTTCAATTTTTCCTTAATTTAAAATTGTTCGCCCATATATATATTTGGCTTTGGGAAATGATTTTGCACTTTACAAAAGTTTCAACTATATTAATATAAAGCTATCAAGGCCTGGGCTCTTTATTAGGCTTGTGCCCAACCAGTTCTTATTGAGATTTATAAGTTGTAATAACTAATGAGTACTTGCTGTAATTAGGGATAAATCTCGTGAGAAACAAAGAAAGAAGAATATGCAAGTGAAGAAAGAAGCACAAGAGCAAGAACCAAAACCCCAGAAGCCCAATAAGACCCCCAATGCTGCCCCTACAGCAATGAGGAAAAAAACAGCTAAGCAGAGACGGGCTGCCCAGACAGTTGAAGATGAAGAGGAGTTGGCTCGAGAATATCGTTTGCTGAAAAAGTTAAGGAAGGGGACTATTGACGAAAGTGAATTTGCAAGGTTAACTGGAACTGAAGAATTATAATAAAGTGAAAGATCTGCAGATGTTCATTTTGTGAATTGACATAGTAAGCTTCTGACTGGAGGGTAATGCTTTTCAAAAGTGAGAAGGGGAGGCGAAACTCTTGTTAGGCAAGTTGAAATCATCTGGAGCTTGTTTTAAAGACTATTCTCAAACATAAGGACAGAATATGCAGTGAAGAAATTTCAACAAGAGCTAGAAAGAGCCGACTGCCTGTTAATTTCTGCATCTGGTTTGACAGATTAGAATTATAGGTTCTCATTCCGTTTTTATTCCTATCTTTTGATGAATCATGCATTTTCGAACAAGCAATGATCCTATCGAATTGTATCGTGATGTTGATTATTAGTTAATTACAAATGTGTACAATTCTGCAACCAAGATCAACAAAATATTATAGACAATTTTGACACGTTAATGGTATAACATTTAGTTTCATGCTTGTTTCTTAATTATTCGTAAATTCAAGCTTAATTAGTGTTCCAACAGATCAGGTTTCTAACCAAATTTTGTATTGAGTTACGTAATGTCTGATTAGAGCACAAGAAAAATGTGATTAGTTGGATACTTGGTGCTGAGCCAGTATTAATCAAATAATAATCAAGTTGATGTCGTGCAAGATATGAGGCATTCAGGCATGTAAATGTAATGATCAGGTTATACAAATTCAACATAATTTGATTATCTGACCGACTCCAATTTTAGAAATTCTTTGTAATTTGTAATAAAGAATCCACAAGTCCAAGTCTTCAACCCTAGCCCAAAGCAGGGGCCAAGAACACAGTTCCAACTTTAACCATTGAGAAATTATAACTCAAGTTGGCAATTAATTTCTAACTGCAATTTCTCATCAAGAGCCTATTGATGAAAGACTTCCAAGTCTTTTCTTCACTATCTTGGTGGTAATTACTATCAACCAATCAAATTTTATGTACTAATTCAAAATTTCTCTTCTTTTAACTCTTCCCACCAAGCATTTATTGTAGATGACCACAAAGACCAATACCAATTACACATAGAAACAGCCGCTGACTTCTGTCTCATCTTCTATTTTCAGTATCAAACTTTCATAGTTAAAATCACCATTATCAAACGATCATATCCACTCCACTCTTATAATCTCCTTTACACTAATATAAATCACTAACTTCTCTTCTCTTTAACTTTCTCTCTGTTATTTCCACCTAATCATGTCTCTAACCAATGAAGCTCAATTTGATCCATTACAGCCTTCCATTCCTATCTCTTTTCCATTGAAAACACTTGAAGAACTTGAGTCTCGAGCTTACTTCAAGTCCTTTCACTACCCATTTAACAAGTCCTCTGTTTCTCTTAAATCCTCTGTTTTGGCTAACAGGCCTAGGATTCTCGTGTGCCATGATATGCAAGGAGGATATGTTGATGATAAGTGGGTTCAAGGAGGGAATAATGAAAGTGCCTATGCTATTTGGCATTGGTATTTGATTGATATTTTTGTTTACTTTTCTCATAATTTGGTTACTTTGCCTCCTCCTTGTTGGACTAATACAGCTCATAGACATGGGGTTAAGGTACTTTGATCATTTTTTTTTCAGTTCTGAAAACTTACATGAAAATGAGTTCTCATGGAGACGATAATGGAAATGAACTCTGCTTTTTGAGCTAGTTTTAAGAAGAGAAAATTTTGGCTTTCTTCTGTGAACGAAATCATTAGAGAATCCAAAGAGTTTCAATAGAATATTTTAGAGTTACTCTTGATGTATATTGAAAAGTTAATTATTATCTTAAAATACAATTTTTTCACAAAGTTATGACCCTTTTTGTTCGGTTTTTGACATTATTGTTTATGCTAATGGAATTTTTAAGGCGTTGGGGACTTTCATCACAGAAGGGGATGAAGGGGTGCAGAATTGCAATAAACTACTTGCAACAAAGGAGTCAGCTAGAATGTATGCCGAGAGGTTGGCAGAGCTTGCTACTGATTTGGGCTTTGATGGATGGCTGGTATGTACATGTACACAGATACAGCTTATGAATTATACAACCATTTTTATGTTGTCTTGGAGTATATCAAAAGTTCGTAAGAAATGGAAATTAATATAGAGGAACTATTTCCTTCTAAATCATGTTTCTTTAGTACCATTCTTTGAAGTTCAAGTATCTTTTATGGTCGACATGATCTACTACTTGCAGATGAATATGGAGGTTAGCTTAGAAGAAAGGCTGATTCCTAATTTGAAAGAATTTGTCAGTCATCTGACCCAGATTATGCACTCGTCAGTGCCTGGATCTTTGGTAATATGGTGAGTGTTATACATGAAACATTAGATACCATAAGCTTTACTAATTATTACTTAAATGTATCCATTAATGCTAATTAAACTGTACCCATGGTTAATATGTAGGTATGACAGTGTCACAATCACTGGAGAACTTGACTATCAAAATCAATTGAATGAAAAGAACAAACCTTTCTTTGACATCTGTGATGGGATATTTTCAAACTTTTGGTGGGAGGTATATAACATATTTTTTTCAACTTAAAATTGATTTTATTAATCTGTTCTTCTTGCATACTAATTCTTTTATTTTACTTGCAGGAAGACTATCCAAAACAATCAGCAGCTGTTGCTGGTGATCGGAAATTCGATGTGTACATGGGAACAGATGTATTTGGAAGAGGTACTTATGGCGGTGGACAATGGAACGTGAGTTCTACATGAATCTTGAATCTTCAATATCTTATTATTATTATCACAAAGTTATTATCAGCTCTAATATTTCTACTTCAGACAAATGTCGCGCTGGATGTTTGCAAAAAGAATGATGTATCAGCTGCAGTATTTGCTCCTGGATGGGTCTATGAGACAAAGCAACCACCTGATTTTCAAACTGCTCAAAACAAGTATCGCCTTTCTCTAATTCTGCAAAATTAGTCTTCTTTGATTCTGCACTTGGTTAAATCATGTTTTCTTAATATTTCAGTTAAATCAATCCTGTTTAATATCATTGTTATTAAATTCTTCGACAGTCATAATTGATTTTTTCATGTTAAAACAGTATCCTGTAAATCTTAAACATTTTTAAAACTTTCGGTGTATGCTTCAATGTATTGCAGGTGGTGGGGCCTTGTCGAAAAATCATGGGGATTAAGAAAGTTTTATCCTAATACACTACCATTCTACTCTAACTTTGATCAAGTAGGTTTATTTATCATTCCAAAAAGTTATTTTTCATTATCAACTGATGCTAGAGTTTCTTCCTTTCGTTGCTGATATCACAAAATTTTCATTTTGTTAATTTAAAAATGAGCAAGAGCTCAAGTGATCTCCTGTTATGAATTAGTTTTATATAATATAAGTGTTCGAAATTGTTCAGGGCCATGGATATCATATTTCTGCTGAAGGAAAGCAAGTTTCTAATGCTTCTTGGAATAACTTATCTTCCCAAGGTTTTCAGGTATGCGTTTTCCAATCTTTCACCTTGTTGAATTATTTTTTTTTTCCTCTTTTTCCCATTTACAATGCCATAATTAGAAAATTTCATGCTTTTGCTCTTTGTTGTTGTGCTTATGGCAGCCGTTTCTTCAATATAAAGAAAACCCAAATCCAGATTCCATTGAAGTTCTTCTAGAGTAAGCATCATTTTGTTATATGCATAGTCTATTTAGTTGAAATATGACATTGCAGACAAGAACATTTTCCAGCACACATAATATTCTCTGTTGTAGGTATAATTAGTACAAAATAATCTGGAACTAAACAAACATATGAAAATGCAGTTTTAAGCAAGAATCTTACAGTGGAGGAGCAAACATCACATTTAAAGGAACTCTACAAGGCCATAATGATTTTAGAACAAGACTATTTCAAGGAAAATTGCTTCTTGGTAAACTGCCTCTCCAAATCACATATTCTGTAAGCTATTTCACCCTCCCGTTGTTGTCAAGTCTTCTATTCTTATTTTAGAAGCTATAACTCAATTTTGCTTACTTAAGGATACCTAAACTATAATGCAGGTAAAATTAGAAGGAGATTCTCAGCTAGGCATATTTTTTCAGTTTTGTTCTGCTCTAAATGAAAAAACATCAGTACTTATAGCACCCTGGCAAACAAACCTGTTATTAAACAAATTTAGCAGAATCATCAAGCCGTGCCTAGTTCATAACCCTGAAACGGCTCCAGGATGGGTAATACAGGAGGCTAGGATTACAATGGAAGGATTCACATTGACAGAAATTCATGCTTTATGCTACAAGCCGGAACCTGAATATAGAAAACTGATATCAGAAGGAAATATTGATACATTAGCTCATGCTCCTTCACAATATTTTGCAGTTCTTGGAAGTGTCAAACTTGAGACTTCTAAAGAAAACCCAGTTTTCCCTCCTCCTAGTTCATGGCTTGTTGAGGGCCAGTGCATAAAGTGGGGTTCAGGTTTTAAGACTGTTAGTGTTAAAATCACTTGGAAGTTGAAGAATGGAAGCAATTTCGAATTCTCCAAGTACAATATTTATGTTGAGAAGATAGCAAAAAATGTAGCTGAAGATTCAAGTGAAAGATTAGAAGGGATTCAAGAGTTTATTGGAGTAGCATATATTGAATCATTTTATGTTTCTGATCTTTCTATTCCTTCAAGTACTTCTAGTCTCAGGTTTATTATACAGGCGTGTGGCTTAGACGGTGTTTGCCAGAAACTGGATGATTCTCCATACTTTCAATTGAACGTGGAAGGTTAGCAACTTCTTACTGTGTTATTTTTTTCACCTCATATGCATTCTTACTTCTTCTTTTCTGGTAATTAGGGGTTCAAAGTCAGAATCTCCAAAACTATTACTGACTTAAAGCTTATTAGTGCATTCTTTTTTACTGAAGAAGAGTGATTTCTTTATGTTATAAGAAAGTAAACATCATTATACAATTAATTCTGCTGTAAGACTAAAACTCATTACCATTTAACGACGGCAGCATCTCATCAAATCACCATTCCCATCTGTAATTATGGAGAGAAGGTCTCACTGAAGACATCTTGGACTAGAGCAAATCCATGGAGAAGATTTATCAACCATGAACATCACAAGGTAACATTATTTTTAGTTTCTTATGCAATTTTGTTTTTTTTTTTTTTGCTCTGAAATTCTTTTTCCGAGACTTGATACATTTAACAAAATATGCAGGCACCTAAAATGTGGTTTCAAGAAAGTGCTAACTCTGTGATTGTTGACTTGCTAATAAGAGTTGCGAAAATGGATAGACAAATCACCATAGATGGAACAAAAGAAAGAGGTTTAAGGTGGTTGCTAATGATGTTTTTGGTTGTATTAGGCATGATTTTATGGGTTTTGAATCATCGCGTAGTTAATAATTTTGGAGGGAAAATGTACTGGTAATGAACCTTATGTGGGTCATAGATAGTAGTTTGACATACAAATTATAAATTCCTGAAGTATAAATTACCAAGAAAATTGATTATTGAAAAGAAAGCAAAAGCCTATTGAAATACTTCAGTTTAGGGGAAAATCTGTAAGTGAAATTACGCATTAATTTATGTCATTTACGTATATTTTTGTTTAATTTGTTGGCGGGATCATCCTTCCTTTTTCCCGTTCCATGATTACAGTACAAGATATTGTAAAGTTAGACTCAACCACGCAATTTTGGATTGACATGTTTTTATAGTTCGAGTTTGAGTATTATATTATTATTATTTGAATGATTATATTTAATGGTTAAAGTAAAAGGTAAAAGCAATTAATAGAAGCCTAACATCACGAATCAGATGAGCGGTGATCTGTTTGGTCTTCTCATTTTTATAAAAACCGAAAAATCTTGTTTTCGAATCCTTTGGATTGTACCATAAAGCGCTGTGAATAGCTGCCAACACTTATTGATACCCATGCAAAGAATTGTAAATAAGAGTAAGACTACTTTACAAAGACGCAAATTTCGGCATAAATATAGAAATAGTTATTTTTCATTAGATTTAAACTATCTAAATGTGAGCCATTAGATTTAAAAATCTCTAATAACTTGTTATCTATAAAACCAGTAATTCATTATTAATGTATTATTTAATTATATTTATTATTGTAATAAAGAACTTGTTTTGACAATCTAAAAACTCAATGGAAGAGTTCAACAACAATAAAAATATTAAATATTCTCTTCATAAATAATAAAAATAAAGATTTATTAAATTTAAAAAAATTATTGAGCTAATATTTACCTTCTAAAATGAAATTAAAAAAATATATTTATCTTATAAGATCATTATGTAAATAATATTTTAAATTTATGTAATATTAACCTTCTAAAATGAAATTAAAAAAATATATTTATCTTATAGATCATTATGTATTAAATAATATTTTAAATTTATTGTGTTGCTAATTATAATATAATTCATAATTTAATTTTTATATACTCCTACATTATTAATTATAATATATTCATAATTCAACTTTTTTTTTACTAAAATTATTTCATAATCTATGTAATTCTAATTGTTTAATTGAATTTTATTTGTGATATAAGAAAAACAATTCAAAACTTAATTTTTGAATTTATCTATTATAAGCTTGACTCTATGCAAAAATAAGTTTATCATCTATTAGATTTCAAAATAATAATAGGATTAATAATAATATGATTAATCAAACACATAATAATAATTGCATTATTAAACATAATAATTGATAACCGAATTTATAACACTCACCTTAATTTTTAATTAAAAATTTAATACTTGTGCTTTTTAAAATTTTATTGTAAACTTCATAAAAAAAAACCATAACCGATTGTTTTAAAAATATAACTTCAAAATTTATTTTCATATCAGAATTAATTATAAATTATATAACCCATATCTATAAAATTTTTTTAATATATATTAATATTATAAAAATAATTATCTTAAAATGTTATTTATTGCGTTTAAAATAATTTCAAGTACCTTACTATTTATATTAAAATAAATTTTTAGCTATCCACATTCACATGCAATCAATAGAAATATCTCATATTAATTTAATGTAATGCAAAAAAAATTAATATCAATCAATAGAAATATCTCATATTAATTTAATGTAATGCAAAAAAAATTAATATATGATCTTAGAAAAGTTTATTGTGTTTTAGCCGAAAAATGGTTTTCTAAAAATTTAAAAAAATAATAATAAAAAAGATAATCTTATGACTTACTTAACAGGTTAGCATCTCCAAATGGCATGCAAAGAGAGCTTTGTATCTATACAGAATTTTAGAATCCTGTATTATAGTAAGAGCCTATAAATAAATAAATATATATATATATATAATTCATTGGAGGCTAAAATATAGGATATTATAGTATATTTTTTAAAATATGAAGATAAATTAACAGGTTATGATAAAATATAAGGCTAAAATTATAATTTTCCAGCACTTCAAAATCCTCCAAAATTTCCTTTTCTAATTTGGTCCGCTTATGAAATAAATGGTAAAATCCAAATTTTTGATATTTTGTCTATAGCCTTCAATTTCAGTCTATTTCTTCACAGACTCAGTGACCAAAGCATCTGGAAACAGACAAATGCTTATTATATCTCTGCTTCGCCACTGCATAAACCGTGAAATCTTGGTCACTCTCTACAATTTACTCTTACTAGTTTACAGAAAAGTCCAGTTCGCCTTTCGCTTATTAGTCATGACCCAGGTCAACAATCACCAGCAACAATCCTCCATTGATAATCACCCTGCTTTTGATCCCTCAGTGCCATCAATTCCAATCTCATACCCAATCAAGACTATTGAAGAACTTGAATCTCGAGCTTACTTTGAGTCCTTTCACTACCCATTTAACAGATCCTCTGTTCCTCTTCCAAGCTATGCTTTATCGTTGCCTAATAGGCGTAGGCTTCTTGTTTGCCATGATATGCAAGGTGGTTATGGAGATGATAAGTGGGTCCAGGGTGGGTCCAATCCTGATGCTTACTCAATTTGGCATTGGCATTTGATTGATATTTTTGTTTACTTTTCACATTCTTTGGTCAATTTGCCTCCTCCTTGTTGGACTAATACAGCTCACAGACATGGCGTTAAGGTACATGAAATTAGTTTTAATTTCAGTTTGTTTGTTTCATTTTTGAATTCAGCTATTCTTTGAAGAATTTGAGCAGTTAAATGTGAAAAGGAAAAATCTTTAATGTTGTGTTGCTTTATGGTTAAAAATGAATGGACAAAGGAAGTAATATGCATAGTTTTATTTTCCTTTTTCTTGAGTTATGTAATTTTTGAAGAAATTTGGGGCAGTTACATGTAAAAAGGAAAATTCTTTACTGCTGCCTGGTTTTATGATTGAAAATGAATGTTGAAGAATTAATTTGCATAATGTTGTTTCCTTTTTTCTTGAAATTAAGCAATTTAGGTAGCTGCACGTGAAAACGAAAAATCTTTGTTGGTGCTTGGTTTATGACTGAAAATGAATGGGTAAAGGAACTAATTTGCATAGTGTTGTTTCTCTCGTGTCATTTTCTTTTAAGGTGTTGGGAACTTTCCTCACAGAGTGGGATGAAGGGAGGCGTATTTGCAATATAATGCTTGAGACAGAGGAATCTGCTCGAATTTATGCTGAGCGATTGGCTGAGCTTGCTGTTGCTTTGGGTTTTGATGGCTGGCTGGTATGTGGTATTTTAAGCCTTAATGCTTTCAATCTGAGGTTATGTTTTAAGAATTAACTCGCAAGTTGTATGGCATTTTAATTACCAGTCTTATTGGGACAAACAATGCAAGTAGAACACCTTGGGATAAAATGAGAGGTGAAGGATGTTTTAATTAAATTCAGCTCAACTAAGCCTTAGTCCAAGCTAAGTGGTTTGGTTACATGATGTCATGCCAATTGTAATCAATGGTTAAGAGACAAACAAGAAAGGGAGAAGAAGACAAGTTGAATCAAAATTTTTCCACAATAATACATGATATGGGTTGTTAGTGCTGGCTGTTGCCATTCTAAGTTGTCCTGCTCAAGAAAGAGTAATATTTCACTTGCTTTAACTTTTTGACACTGATAATAGGAATACAAACAAATAATACAGTTACCTATATATTTTTGATGGACATCATAGTGAAATTTATCGTAAGGAAAAGGGCATGAGATATTAGATTTGTTTTCTTTCTATTTCTGTCATTTATGGGAGTTTGTTTATTGTGCACACTGAAAGCAGTTTTGAACATAGGGATAAGTGTTTGCAGATCAATATGGAGATTAATTTGGAAGTGGAACAAATTCATAATCTGAAGGAATTTGTCAGTCATCTTACTCGGACTATGCATTCCTCATTGCCTGGATCTTTAGTGATTTGGTGAGTGTTAGTTCCACATTCTTGTAAACTATGGAGCATCCTGAAGTTGTATGAGAAAGTTACTTTCATATTATTGTTAGTTTGCAGGTATGATGCTATTACAATTTATGGACAGCTTAAGTGGCAAGACCAACTAAATGAATATAATAAACCTTTCTTTGATATATGTGATGGAATTTTTGTGAACTACACATGGAAGGTACTGGCTTCTCTTTTTTCTTCCATCTAGAACTTGGTTTATTTGTTCCATTTTTCACACGTACTAGTTTATTACTTTTATGTGTAGAGAAAATATCCAAAACTTTCAGCTGCTGTTTCTGGTGATAGAAAATTTGATATCTACATGGGTATAGACGTATTTGGAAGAAATACTTATGGTGGTGGACAATGGAATGTATGTGTCTCTTAAATCATGCTTGAGAATCTTTATGTTATAAGTTCTATTATACTCTATAGGTGTTTTTTTTTTTTTTTTTTTTTTTTTTTTTTTTTTTTTTTTTTTTTTTTTTTTTTTTTTTTTTTTTTTTTTTTTTTTTTTTTTTTTTTTTTTTTTTTTTTTTTTTTTTTTTTTTTTTTTTTGTGTTATCTTGCTCAGATTGTTGCGCACAAATTTATGTTACTCATTTCACTTGTATTTTTATTTTTCAAAATGCATGTTAGTTAATCATCAATTAAAAGATACAGTATACACATGTATTTTAATCTTTAGGAACTATCATGTGATTTGTCTTCTTTATAGTGCTTATGACTTTCTATTCCAATTCATTGGGTTGATTCCATTTATAAGGAATACGAAACATAGTCATTGCTTGAGAAATTATTTTTATGACCAACCTAAACTGCATTAGCCATCATATATCTTCCTGCTCACATACAGAAGTGGGGTAAAATATGTTACTTAAAAATAATGCATAGAGAATGGCAGAATGCTATATTGGTTAATTTAGGAATTATGAGACAGTGTACAAATTTGGAAGTCAACATGGTTAACTAAATGGATGTGATCGGAAGAGTTAATCTTGTTGCTTATGCTGTCTTGATACTGTCTTTTCAATTTCTTCTAGGCAACAGGCATTTTGTCTTTCCTTAGCGGTACTGATGCAGAAGGCTTGAATCTAGGATTCCAGTAAGACCTTCCTGCAGAACCTGATTATTTTCCAGGTTCGCGGAACTCTTTAAGCATTCGCCTAATCAATTGTCAGGTGGAATCATCTGATAAAGCAGGCACCAGGCAGTTGCTGGGAAATCATTGAGGATCACCCAGTGGTGTTGATTGATACCTATGGGGTGATCCCAGCCCAAATCTTCTGTTTTATCATTATGATTTTATTGACAATTTAAAGCTAAATTAAAAATATATAGATTTATTTGTCCTTTCAATATTTAATTCCACTCCCCATCCATCCGTCCAACAAAATTAAAATATTTCTCTTCCCTTTCCCTTCACATCTAATTTTCAATTTTCCAAACATGATTTGATAGATGTTTTCTATTCCCATCCCATCCTCTTCTTTCACTTCCTCTTCACCCCTTTTAGGCATGCATATTGTTAATCAACTGTAATGACTGTTTGCACATCAGACAAATGTTGCGCTTGAGTTGTTAAAGGAAGATAATGTTTCTGCTGCCATATTTGCTCCGGGATGGGTGTACGAGACTAAACAACCGCCTGACTTTCGGACTGCTCAAAATTGGTAATGCAGTTGCACTTTTGTAACATTATATAAATATTATAAGTTCACCTTTCATTTGGCTATATATTATAATTTCTGATGCATTCTTTAGCCTTCGTCTCCCTTAAAAGTTATCTAGCTAACAAGAAATGATTGTTAACTTTATTTATCAATTTGCATTTGAAAATTTGGACGCTGAGTATTATTTTTTTTGGGTCATTACCTGTATAATGAAAGCTGAGTTTTATTGGTTTGACGTTATGAGTTCTCAGTTTTCCATCTTAGTCCCTTTTTTAATGGCTTTTCCAAGGTTTTGGTTTTTTTCTCTGCCTTTCATACACAAGCTCTATGTTCTTCAAATATTAGTAAGTATATATGCACTTCTGCACTTTTGCACTTCTCAGTTTAGATATAGCCACTGATTTTATAAGAGCCATATGATGCCTTTAGTTATACAGACAGGCAGGGAGTGAAAAGGGCATTGTTTACCACATAATGGATAATCTTGTTCCGGAGATTTGTAATTATTTGCCTATCTATGATGCTTGCATATTTCATTTTTCTTCTCTAAAGACTTTCTTGGGTTACCTAAAGTCATTACATCTTAGATGTTTTCAGTTAATTGATCTTGAATGAAATTTTCTTACGTGGGGGTGAACTTGTACATGTTTGTGAGTTTATGTAATTCATTTAGTACCTTGAAAATCTTCCACGATTTTTGTTCACTGTGTTTCATTATCATTTACTTCATTTTATGCAGTTGGTGGGGTCTTGTGGAAAAAGCATGGGGAATAACAAACAATTATCCCAAAATACTACCATTTTATTCAAATTTTGATCAGGTAGCAACCATAACTAACTCTCTATTAGCAGAAAACAAATTGGATGAAACAACTTCTAAAGAAATGTATTTACTTTTTTACATTTTTTCTAAAGAAACTAAATAAGATTCCTTGCTTTCATCTTTCAAACTATAGCAGAAACCATTTCTTTGAAGTATTTATTTTCCAAATAAGGATTGAGTTTCTTCCAAAATGTTTTCTTTGATTTAAGCGACTACTAGATTAATTTGATCATCAGCCAACATATATAAGACTGGTTAGTGTACGAATACCACTTATGATTCACATGATCAAAACATTAGCTTGATGATATTTTTAATTGGCCACATTATAAAAGTACCCTCAACTTTGACACTTTCTACAATTTTGGCAAACAACATTGTGGCCTCTGCATGATTGTCGTTTAATTTCAGCTTATGTAATGGTTATAATTGATAGTCATCTCCATATATGACATGTCAGTGCTAACTAGGAAATCTATTAACGATATGACAAAAAGTTTTAGCTGTTTTATAATCAAATTTTAAGACTCAAGCCACATGCCCAACCCAGCCAATCAAAGGGCTGAGTTTTTTCATTGAGTTGTTAGTGGATTTCATATTCAGCGCTAACATGACATGTATGAGACTCATTCTGTCAGGTTTAACAACTACACCAGTTGAATCTGACGGTTATCATATAGAAGTCACAATTGATATAAAAAATAAAGTAAAAGACATAGAAAATAATTGCAGTAAGCTAGAGAATGGCAAGAATTTGCCTTATGTTTTGCATGTATCAGTCCAAATACTGACCATATTTGATGTTGTTCAGGGTCATGGCTATCATATTTCGGTTGAGGGAGTACCAGTAATAGAAGCTCCTTGGAACAACACATCTTGCCAAGGTTTTCAGGTCTGTGCCTAAAGAGGTGTTATTTAGCTATAATGACTTGACATGTTTTCTTTTCAAATTCGTGTGACTTGCACCTAGTTTTTTTTTTTTTTTTTTTTTTTTTTTTTTTTTTGTTCTTTTCAAATTCGTGTGACTTGCACCTAGTTTTTTTTTTTTTTTTTTTTTTTTTTTTTTTTTGTCCTTTTACAATCCCCTTGGTTTTTTTTTTTTTTTTTTTTTTTTTTTTTTTTGTCCTTTTACAATCCTTGGCCGACTTTCACAAGACCATTTTATATGATTATGGAATGAATACTTTTTATTGATCCCCACTATGATTCCTACATTTATTTCTAATGCAATTGTCTTGTCTTGATGTGCACTTGTTCCATCTGCTAGTTATGTTATCAGTCTGTTGGATATAAGCCCCATGTTCATATAAAACAGAATTGTAATACTTTTCCACTTCTGACTATATAAAGGAGGTTGAATATTCACTGCTGATGTTTTTTTATATGATCTTGTGAACAATAATAGACACTAGTAGAAGGAGACATGAAACTGATGTAGATTGGTGAGGGAAAATGTTAGATTCTGTCTTGCAACTTGACTAATAATAAATTCAATAAGGGTCCATAGGGGATTTGAATTGTGGATTTAATTCAAATCGTATATTTGAGATTTATAATTAGTAAACAAGAAATGAAACACATGCAAAACCAAATTTTACAGTGTGTGCATTACATCTTTATACTAGGTATTTCAAATTGAGACTCCAGCAAGTGATTATATATATGAATTTGATGACCATTAGATGAACCTACTCTAGTAAATACAATCTACGCGTGATAAATTCAAAACTTATGTATCAAATTCAAATCCTTGTTTCAAACACTGTAGATCTAGACGCAACCTAAGTAATTCATGTAGCTGCATTTCAAAGCTATGTATTCTGGCTTTTTATGTTTACATTGATATTTTATTTCTCCTCTACTATGTCTGATTGAGAGATATAATTGAGTTAATTGATTGGTGAAATGTATAATGTTTTTCTATGCAATGTTGGAATCAATGTGCATTATTTATTTAGCATGCTATCACTAATGCCTCTAAGACTGGACTAATTACTGCTGTGCCTTCTTATTTATTTAGTCCATTCTTTTTGGCAGCCTTTTCTTAAGTTCATTGATGGCCCAATTCCTACAACTATTCAAGTCCTTGTTGAGTAAGTTTCCATTCTCATGATATCTTATATTTAATTAGTGTTGTTGCATTTTAATTAATGTGTTGCACTAAACAGTATGACATACATACATATTCATGATTTTATCATGTGTAAAAGTGACAATAGTCAATGAAGAAAAGAAAATAAAACCTGATTTGTGAATGGTTAAATACAATTTCGCAACAAGTCCCCAAACATTTTCCTTTTGATCTTGTGGATTCAAAGGAGGCAAAGTGTCAACTATCTGATGATTTAGAAAAAGTTTTCTGACTGTTATCCATATCAGTAGACCCAGAATTAAAACTTATTTATGAATGAACCATAACATGAATGTATAACACACTTAAGACCTTGACATATGAATGCTGCCCATTAAAGTTATCTCTTTCGTTTTTCCTTGATACCCGCACAATGCTTACATTAGAATTGTATTTGTATAAATCACATTCTGAGTTTAATCAGCAAGTTACTGCTGGCCTCATGAAGCCAAAAACATGATATTGGCACTGCATTTTTTCCATTTGTACTGATTTAAGTAAACTTAAATTTGTAAATGGTAGTGTCAAAGAAGCATCTTATAATGGAGGAGGAAACATCACATTTAAAGGATTTCTTCAAGACAATGCTCATATCACTACAAGGCTCTTTCAGGGAGAGCTTGATTTGGGGAATCAGCGCTTCCACCTTTCATATTCTGTAAGCCACCTCTTCTGTGATCTCAAGTGGAAGGCAGAGTACAGCACAATTATCTATCGTATTATATAATGGAAAATGCCTTTTTGGATCCATCTCTTAAGATAATTCAATTATCCTTTTGTGGTTTCCAAATTATATATATTATAGTTACAATAATTTTGCATCTTGAAGCAACCAACTCATCACTGACCTTCCTGAGCACATGATGAACCTACTATTATCATGAATGACAGAACAAAGTAGAAAAATATGGAATGAGACTATATTGCACATTGTGTGCCAGGTTTCTGGTATCCTTATATGTTTCCAGCTTAACAGAGCTATTGATGACATAAGGCTGCTCCATTTTAAGAAGAGTCCTGCCTGCCATTTGGAAACCGAGTATTAGAACAGGATGCCTGCATAAAGATATGATTATTAAAACTGAATAATAAATAATAATTATATCACATCTCTCTATCTGTGTCTCTCTTTGGCCTCTGTCTATTTCAATTTTGACACAAAAAATAATGCAGGTGAAATCAGAGGGCGACTCACTACTAGGCCTTTCTCTTCAGTTCTGTTCTACCACGAATGAGAAGAAATCAGTTCTTGTTGCATCCCAAGATGTGAACCAATTCTCTAGCAAATTCAGTCAAGTGGTCATTGCACGTCAAATTAAAAAAACAAGAATGGATACAGAGTGGGTCATTTACGAGGGTAGCATTGCATTGGACGGGCACAAATTAACAGACATTCATGCTGTGTGCTACAAGCTGAGGCCTTTACATGGTGAACTGAGATCAGAATACAGAATAGATGGTAGTCCTGTGAATTATTTTGCTATACTTGGTCACATTTCTATTAAAAACTCGGAAGCACACTCATATTTGCCTCCATCCAGTTCATGGCTAGTCGAAGGTCAAAATATCAAATTTAGCTCTGATTCTCAGGAATCCAGAACTGTCAGTTTGAAGATCATCTGGGGATTGAAAGACAAACACGATCTTTTTTTCCCAAAGTACAATATTTATGTACAGAAACTGGCAAAACCAGTCGAAGGAAATCCAGATGGACATATAAAAGGCTCTTGTCAGTATCTTGGAGTGGCACAAGTTACAGCTTTTTATGTTTCTGATCTTTTTATTCCTTCTGATGCTTATACTCTCAAATTCATTATTCAAGTGTGTGATTCTGAAGGGTCTTGTCAAAAGCTGGATGATGCTCCGTATTTTCAACTTGATATTGAAGGTCAGTAAGTCGCAGTGTTATTCCTTTTTGATATAATGCAGATATATTGATTGTATTTAACCAGTTTCGTACCATGACTACAATTCTTTTCTGATATTATGCTTTCGAAGATGGCTGGTGGGTGTCCTTGAAATTCTGAATGGAACCAAATGTGCTTTATTTCTTGATCTGTTAAGCAGGGTACAAAATTTATATGGATGATTATTTGTTCTTACATTGCATTATTGATATTTTAAGATTATTGCTGCAATTAGAAACAAATTTCAACTTGGAGAAATTGTCACTCCTGTAGGAAATGCTTCCTTTTGGAAAAACCCAACCTTTAAATGAATATATAACTCACTATTTCACCCACTGACAAACAATCACTAATATCAATATTCTCTAACAGAAGCATTTCTTTTTCCTTGGTAGAAGTTATTGGATAGGAAATCTCGGGAAAGCATTTGACTTCTTAGAGATACAACAGCCCCTCTAGTTAACACCCATCATAAAATTCAAAGCCAAAAATAGGCCTAGTAGGTATAGCCCAGAAATAGTTATAGCCCTACAAATATCATAGAAAAGAAAAAGGTATTACCATGTCAAATTTGTTGCTCCTTTGCATTCAAGATAGCACTATTAAACAATAGTGAAAATTCTTGTTAGTGAAAGAAATAATCATTAACTGTTACTCTGCTAGTTGGGTAATGCTTGTGGATTCATGATTTAGAACATACTTGACGGCTCTCATTGTTAGATAATTATGGTATTCCTGAAAAATTCTATGATTGAAGTGACAGATCTCACGCCAAACAAAGCAGGAAACTTTTGACACAATTAGGATTAATGCATGTAACCTAGGTGGAGGAAATAGAAAGATTCAAACCGATTTGAAAATAAGCAAGAAAAATAGAAGAATAATCAAAAGTTAAATGAAAAGACAAATGTAAATGCTCCCTTTAACCTAGAAGTTTACCTATTTATGGAGACTGGAGACAAGAAAGGATGTTAGGAGAATCCTCAACTTCTCTTTTGAGGGCTCGAGGATAATAAATCCAAAAACAAGTTGGTTTTAGTTGTATCTCTTGGCTCTATATCCGTTCTTCTATTCTTCTTACTCTCTTTTTAAGCTATTAGATTTGATTGATGGGGACTTAGATGATAAGTTTACTATTAAATGGTTCCATATTAATAAATCCAAAAACAAGTTGGTTTTAGTTGTATCTCTTGGCTCTATATCCGTTCTTCTATTCTTCTTACTCTCTTTTTAAGCTATTAGATTTGATTGATGGGGACTTAGATGATAAGTTTACTATTAAATGGTTCCATATTAATTCAGAAATAGTGCATATAAGTCCAATTTCCTCCTTTGGGTCCACAAAACCAATAGCGAAACACTACCACAATTGTTAATTACCAAAAAGTGCCTACATTTTTGTATTAGAAGATACTAGCTATCTTCAGTTCTTGATCTTCATTTGAAACATGGAGAAGAATAGACTAAATAATCTTCATCTCCTTTTTCTGTTTTAAGTGCTTTTCTTCTATATATTATTGAACTTTATTACAAATTACAAATCTTATTAAAAACTAAGAAAAACAAGAACAACTTCACTTCAACTTCTATTAAAAAATGTTAAAAGAACCAAAAACAATACTAGGAGAAACAAAGAGCAATTTCATAACACAACTACGTCAGTCTCTCCATTTTCTTTCAAGAACATTACTATCATCTAATCCTCTCCCTACATTTCACATTCATTGCACCTAGATCAAACACAACAGGTAGGATAATGAAACATATGACCCCACAGATGAATTCCACTTATTTTACCAAAAATCTGTTTCCCTAGTGGCTTATTAGGCACTATTTTGCAAAAGTGAAGTCATTCAAAATTTCATCTTTTCAAGTGCTTATTCTTTACTTAAAATTCATTTGTTTTAAACAAAATGGGGTTGGGTTTAATGCTTTTTTTTTTTTTCTTTTGCCCCTTCTTGTCTTCTGCCTTGTATGCTCAAGTTGACATTTTCTTCCTCTCCATCTTAACTATATAAAATGGATTGTAAAAATGGGTAGTTAGGCTTCAATTTGCTTGATTAATAAAATACAAAAACACTTGATTTAGAACCAAGCCAGCATTGCATCCTTGAGAACCACACGAATATCACTTATTAGACTTACTGGAGTGGTCATAGAAAATTTGTCCCCCCTTCATTTTTTATTCCCTTCACTTTTCAAGTGGCAATAACTTTCACAATGTTACATCTTGTTTTCCTTTCATTGATTTAAGTCTTGGAATCTTTGGATGAATTGAATCATATAATTTGTAATTGAATCTAACCATTTTAGAACAACAACAACAACTCAGTCTTGATCCATTGATCCCAAACTAGTTGGAGTTAACTATATGAATCATTTTTTCCCATTTCACGGTCCATAACCTAAATTGGGTGAAAAGGAGATAAACTTCATACAGGCAATTTGACATAAATTAACATTAAAGTGTAGCCTTGAGATGGGTATTTTGCTGTTTTGTACTAATCAGTCATAACTTGCTTGATGTTCCTATAAAAATTTTAGGTGAGATTGCAGATTCAACATTCAAACTTTGTGTTTAGCCAAAAAAAAAAAAAAAAAAAAAAAAAAACCCAAGAAAATTCTTTAAATAAAAAAAAAAAAAAAAAAAAAAAAAAACCCAAGAAAATTCTTTAAATTCAAATTTGAAAATACTTTAAATTGAAATTCGATTATTCAGCAGTAACATTCTCTTCACCATAGGAAAAGAAAAGGAAAAACAAAAACGAAGTGGGTATGAGCAACTACTAGAATACTAACAAAAACGAAGTGGGTATGAGCAACTACTAGAATACTTCCATCACGTTTAGTGTTAGGTGAAACATTTGATAGTGACTTTATAAATATTAAGCAATTCTGATTGGATTATATATCTCCATCCATAGATAACACAATCTTTCTTTTGTCTATTTCCAAAATCTATAAATGTGAATCATGAATATTCTTTTTATTGGATAATCAATATCAAGATGTAAACAGATGTGTGAAGCTATTTTTCAAAAAATTATATTTTGAAAAAATATTCTTTTTATTGGACAATTAATATTCTTTTCTGAAAACTGTGAAGTTATTTTTCAAAAAATTATATTTTCTGTTGTTTTTTTTAAATTGCTTTTTTGAAAACTATACCTAACATACGATAAAAACAAAAAGAAAAAAAAGGTGAAAGGCAAGTTCTATAGAAATGTGTCGAAACCTGCGATGTTATATGTGAATAAATATTTGAACTCCAGTGTTAAAGTGGATACATAGTCACACAATGTTATTAGACAAGATTAGAAATAACAGTCACACACAAATAATACAAGTTGGAGATAAAATGAGAAGAGGACATTGACATGGTTCGAAGATTTCCGACGTAAACATTATATATATGCTGATGGAGTGAAGTTATTTCGAAAGATCTACTATTTCATTACATTAACGGACTTAGTTATGTACAAGTGAGATAGAAATAAAAGATTCATACGGTTAGAACCTAACTAGTTAAGGATTAAAACTGCCTAATAATATATATATCCGTGTGCGTATAACATTTTACTAGCATACACAAGCAGCCAAAGCCATGTGGTGAAACCGAAAAATCAAGCAGACACGATCCCAGTGGAAGCTTTGAGTTGATCATAAAATTTGACAAATTAGCCACTTAATTGTTAATTAATTTATTTATTTATCCATACATTACAGCTAGAAATTAATGGGCTAAAAAGATTTTATAGGCTTAATAAGATAAGTATAGAAGTTTGACTTAATTAGGCAAAATGCTTCCTCATTAAACAAACCTATTCAGGAATCTTTTTTAGTCAGTAGTTGCCGTTTGTTTTTTCATTTTTCTTCCCTTCACTTCCAATTAAAATATTACTTTAACACAGACATATAATTGTATGGAGAGATGGATTTAGAAATATATATATATATATATATATTTATGTTAGAACCCAAAAAAGAAAAATTGAAGATTGTCCTCTTGCATACTTCCCATGAACTGACCACTTCCTTGCACTGCCCTCCACGTGAACAAGCTTTAGAAGAATCTGTGATTCGACTACAGGTGGCAATATGCCATTTTTGTTCTTTCTTTCACTTTCTTGGCTGCAAACTTGTTTGGTTACCAAGAAAACAAAAACAATATAGACATTTACTGAGATATTCTGATAAATGTTTCTTCTTGGTATGTCCAATATGCTTTGATTTCTTTTCTCTCTTGCAAGAACTAGAGATTTAATCATGTCCATAAAGTTACCAAACAAGAAAATATAAAGTTACCAAACAAGAAAATCTTCGTTCTCTAAACTCTCATATCAAAATGCTGCCCTAAGGGTTTTGGTTAGAACATAGAAATTGTAATAATGTCTGTTAGATTTTCAAAAGAAGCAAATACAAATTCTTTTTTCAAGAAACTAACATGTTATTGTACACAATTAATTAGTTAAAAAGAATTTATGTCTGAGATTTTTAGCTAAGCCACCGACCCTCTTGCTTAGTTAATTAATTACTTGATTAAGAGAAGTTTCAAGTTTACTTCATTAATCACATGCTAGAGTTGACCTAGTCACTTACCATTGTTCTACGCCACACTACATATAGATATATATATATATATGCTTTGAGAATTATTGTTATTATTAATACTGTTGTGATTGTTATTAAGGTTGTGTTTTAACTAACATCAAATAAAGACAACTCTCTTAATTAACAATTTACCTAAGCTGAATATAAAAATATTTGGAAACTAATTAAAAATTAAGAGATAATTGAAAAAAAGCATAGCATAAAAAGTTGTATTACTTAAGAAATGATGTCTCCAAATATGCTCTCTCTTTTAAGAGAGTCATGAATTACATTGCTAGAAGAGGCAAAATTAAAGTACTGAGGGAGATTATTTTGGAGAAGGAAAGACTTGTCATCTTCTGGTTCGATTTGTGGGGTTGGAATCACTGGCTCATTTTGCATCTGAATGCATAAAATCTCTGCTTGAGCCACTGCAAGCTGCATTTGAAGCTGTGAAACCTGATTTTGCAGATAAGAAATTGCTCCCACACACCCATAAACTGGGTCTCTCACTCTTGCATTAGCTTCATACACCAAACTGCTCACAGCATCTGCCCTCTGATGAACTGGTAGCTCCTGCTTATATTAACTAAACATAGTTAAAAACCTCACTGTATATATATGACATACTCGTGTATATACATGCACATATATGTATGTATATACACCACATATGAACTCTCTGCAGTTTATAAGTTAACCTGCAGGGAGTTCGTGCAAAATACCCTCCTACAGGTTTTTATCTGTAGGGAGTTTCTAATTGTCAAAAAAAAAAAGATGAATATAAGAAAAAAAGATATAAGAGAGGGAAAAAAAAAGAGAGAGACCTGCAACATTTTGCTAACGTTGCTAGCACCAAAAACCTTGTGGACAATGGCGAATTTGTGAGGATCATCAGAAGGGAAATAGGGAGCAAAAATGCAGTCTTTAGCGCATCGGCGTCTAAGCAATTTGCAGGAAGCACAAGGAGAATTTCCACCCATAACTTTTTTCTTTTTTTGGTTTTTTAGAGAGCTTTTGATTGCTAAAGAAGGAAGGAGAAGAAGAGAAAGGGTAGTAGATGATGCTATAGGAGAAAACGAGTAGAAAACTTGGGGGAAGAATGAGATGAGAGTGTGTATATTTATAATGGCTATGAACGTGTACAATAGATCAGATGCTCACAATGGTTAGGGATATTAATGATTAAATAATTGACTCGGTAATTATTTATTTATTATAATAATTAACTTTTGAGATTAGATGAGAAAGCACTTCTTTCATACCCAAAACTAATTAATTAAAATTATTAATTAGTTGTTTAGGATATGCAAATTAAAAGAAAAGAAAAATGCTCCTGTGGATAATGAATGAATGAATGAATGATATTGATAAGCTACTCCAAAAAGAATCATTTGTCCCTTTGGACCATTTTAGTAAAAAAGAAAATGAGCTCCTAATCAATCCATTTTAGTTTGTCAAAAACATCAAATGATTAAGCTATTGCTTAATTTGTGATTTAGAGCTCATGAATTTTAGTATTATAATCAACGGAGTTAATTTGACCCAAAAAAACTCATATCCAAATAAAAACTCGAGGCTCGAGAAACGCTTTTTTTTTTATAATCTAAGATTTTTTTTTCATATAATTAAGAGGTGTAATCCACTCGATTATAGAGAGTAAAGGTTTTTTTCTCCTAACAAAGTGCATTTTCCGAAAATTACGGAATTGAGGTCGCTTAACACTCCAACCAACACTTTATTAGTCGAAAAATGCTATTTTTAATATACTTAATTTACCACAGTAGTAATAATTTGCTTAAACATTAAACAAATCTTTTGTTTCCACATTTTTGTCATCACAATCTTGTTCTAAAGCTATTTCACCTAATTTTATTATTCTTGCATCAATTACTAACAACCAACCAATCAAAAACAGGACAAGAATAAACTTGGTCTTTGACTAACCAAGATAAAAATCTATTTTAAACCAAAGATATTAATTATATAGCATTAGCCCTTAAAAAGGGGGGTACCCATAACCACAAAGGACAAAATTTGTCTCTCCAAAGCAAATCTTTGAACTAATATTTTCATGTAAGATAAGTTTGAAACTTCTTAAAGAACCCATTTTGTATAATCATTGTACTTAATTAATGAAAAAGCAAAAACAAGAAAGAGTCCTATGAGGAGAAGAAAAGGGTGTAGGGGTGCATATAGAAACCAACGGTTCTTGTTGACCGCCGCCAAAGAGTGTAAGAAGTAATAGGTAAGGCTTCCACGTTCTATTTTGTTTGTTTTGTTTTGTTTTTTTCTTAGAAATTGTGGAAGTTTGTGCTTGTTCTTGTTTTTTCAAGTTAGATAGAAAAATTAGGGTTTCGCATTTATAAGGTTACAAGCACTATGTGAAACCCTAGCCAACACCAAGAGAGGAAAAGACACTACGTGAATGTTTGTTAGACACACAAACATTCACGTGAAACCTCACACATAATAAAACCTCTCTCTCTCTCTCTCTCTCTCTCTCTCTCTCTCTCTCTAAATATGTATTGTGGCTTGACCTACGTAGATAGCTACATTAACTAGTCAATAATGAGGCATTAACTTTTTCTTGGCTCTAATAGGATTTTAATGTGCGATATTAGTATTTTTTATTTATTTATTAAGAGGTCAGATCAGCTGAAATAATATTATCGACTATATAATTAAGATGGTTCTCTCTTAGATTTACTAAATTGATAAAAACTCGTATGATTAGTATTTTTACTTCTCATCGAAACAGAATTTAAAATTGATTAATAATAAAGATTGATAAATAAACATTAGAGAAACAGAATTTAAAATTGATTAATAATTAATACTTTGCAAAAAAATGAAGTGAAAGTAGTTGTCTTTTCATCATAAGGAAAATAACACCAATTCACTACAAATTCGAAAACAGAATTTAAAATTGATTAATAATAATACTTTGCAAAAATTGAAGTGAAGTAGTTGTCTTTTTTCATCAATAGGTAAAATAACACAATCACTACAATCAAATATAGAAAATTATCAAAGAGTGTGAATAAAGACTCATGAACATTAAAGATAAAAGGGAATTTAAAATCATATACTAATATCAAATGTTTTACAGGATATGACTTACGTCTGGTATATATGACCACTCATATATCAATTCATGAAGAGTTTTTTTAATACTATTTCAGTTAGAAATACTCTCGTTTGAAATAATAAAAAAAATTATTAATTTAATATATGAGTGAGCTCAGAAAACAAATCTTTCTCAAGTTTATTAAAATTACATTAATACATTATATACGAAGATTTCAGATTTTAGAGTCTATATAATTTAATTAACTAAAGTCCTTTGTAAAATAGATACTCCATATCAAGGAAATTAATCAGAAGCTAATGACAAATTTGCAATAACTATATATACAATCAACTTCAGTCTAAAGAAATCTCTTTCAGAAATTGTTGTTATTAGGTGCTCACAAACTGATCTCGTGATAGGGTATAGTCTTATTCAATCATTATCACAGACATCAACTTGGATTAGATTTCTAATAGTAGAAGTACATTTTGTAAAGACCATTCAAATTTGAAAAGTTTATAAGTCACGGCTATGTTACTGTATTTGTGTGTAAATATTAAACAGTCTCAATTCTCGTACGATCAAAAATAGAAGTTAGATTTTCGAAAAGCATATTTTTTTTGGGAGGGCTAAAATTTTTATGCTCTTGCACATCTTCACTTATTTTTAATTTTTAATATCTTAAGTTTACGTTATTGATTGAAAGTTTAGCCATTAAAAATTTTGATTTTTTAGCCATCAATTTACAGTGTAAAGCAAATATTATTCTAAATTTCAATAATAAATGTTCAAAATAATTAGGAAAATATTAAAGATCGAAGAGTTATTAACTCTTCAACTGAAATTATAATTAATAGCTAATTGTAATTATTCATCTATAAAAATTGTTGAAGCTCATTATCTTTATCCATTATCATTAGATCTCTAACAGTCAACTTGTTTGAATTTGTTTAACTTGTAATCATGTCAAAATTTTCAAATCATGAGCAAGAATGAAAAGCAATTAATAACTTTACAGTAATAAATAACATTTCACAATCTGAATGGGATAGCACAGTGTAGGGGTGGCCAAAATCTGGTTTTCGGAACCAGAACCATCGGTTCCAAATCGGTGGGAACCAGAACCGAAACCGGTAGGAACCAGAACCGTCCGAACTGGAATCGAAACCGGTCCAAACCGGTTTGGTTCCAGTTTCATCAGTTTTGGAACTGTGAACTGACGGTTCCAGCTCCAATCGGAACCGACGGTTCTAGTTCCATCTGAAACCAGCGGAAACCGTCCAAAACCGGCCGGAATCGGTCGAAAACCGACCTGAACCATCGAAAAACTGGCCGGAACCGTCGATGTTGAAACCATTGAGGAACCGAAATCAGAACCGGAACTGTTTGGTTCCAAACCGTAACCGAAACCGTTAATTTTCGGTTCGATTCCGGAACCGTGGCCACCCCTAGCACATTGGCAAAAATCACTTGCGAGGTTGATCATTAAGGCTTAGGTTATGAGTTTGATTCTCCACAATATAAATTCTCCCAAGACAGTTTATTTACCTCCAAAGACGAACAGAGATTAATTAAATTTATGGACCGGTAAAACGAATACAGATTTCGATAAACTATGCAAGTATAAAAAAGATAAATCATATTTCACATAATTAGTTTTAATTAAGAATATGATTTCTATAGACATTATAATTGCTTCTTGCACGTACAGCCCAAGATTAGCTGCCATAGACTTGTCTTCTGGCAAGAAAGAGTCACTCTCACATGAAAAAAGTTTGTACTAAAATTAACAAAAAGTCTCTTATATCATTATCAAGAACTTTTATTTTTATTTTATACATAACAGAAGAATCTAAATGGCAGAAGCTCTTTTTGGACTCATTGTCACATGAAGTATATATGATTAAATAGTTAATTAATTAGTTGGACATGATTAATTAATAATTTAATAATATTATGCAAAAGGGTATTATTAAAATCATAAAATAATTTAATTGAGACCAAAGAGAACACAACCCACCAAGAAATTAATGAGAGCCTGACATGAAC